AGCTCAGTAATATTGTCTTCTCTATTTTCTCCATTTGCAGCTGAGCAACTACTGTTCATTTGAGGGGGTCCTATACTGCAGACCTCACTATGATCAACTCTTCAAGCGAACTGGCAGCCTGGACAAGAGTTTTGAAGGTAAAAACTAAAAAATAATTAACGTGTGAATTCCTTAAAAGCACTATGTCAATAAAAAAATACTCATTTATTAACTTTTCTTTGTCAATTTTCTTTCAGGGACACCGAAAATTTTGAAGCCGGAGAAACCTTCTAGTGATAAAGAGGTAAATGATCTCTCTTTTTACCCCAAGTGTGGATCTTGTGGAGTTGATATGAATTCATGAATTGTCACTGTGTTGATATAAATTCAAACACTCTAGAACCCTACAGAAAGTGACTTTTATTGTTTTGAAGATAAATAATTATATATGTGCTAATAAGAACTAAATTGGGCTCCTGCAGAATGGCAACTCAGTCTCAAACTTGTTTGCTGGTACCAGAGAAAAATGTGTGGGCTGTCAGAAGACCGTTTATCCAATTGAGAAGGTAATTAAATTTGAAATTTCACAAAAAGAAACAGCTATTATTTATAAAACGTAAACATCTAGCTAATCTTGATTATTGTCTTCAAAGGTTTCGGTCAATGGGACCCCATACCACAAGAGCTGCTTCAAATGCACACATGGAGGTTGCACCATAAGCCCATCTAATTATATTGCACATGAAGGCAAGCTTTACTGCAAACACCACCACATCCAACTCTTCAAGGAAAAAGGAAATTACAGCCAGCTTGAGAATGAAGGCGAAAAGCATTCCATGACTGAGCAAGTCACTGCTATGGAGATTGCTGCTGAATCATAATCCACTTGAAAAAAAAAGAAAAAAAAACTCCCATGCTTTCTTGCTCTTTATGTGATTTCCACCATTTCTGTAATAGCTGTGTCTTATTTTGTTTCTGGCTCTCGTGATACGTCGGTGCTCCGATATATCATGAGATTTATTGTACTCTGATATGAATGGTTTGTTCTGCGGCTTGTTCCTGCATCTGCTTAATGTATGAGGGTTTTTCTGCAGCATTTTGAAGATTTTCGGTTTCTTCTACTTTTCCCTGTGTTGGGTCACATTTCTGAAAAGTTTTAAGTCCCTAGTGATGTTTATTCATATTATCATTTGAGGAGGCCAAGGGAAGTCATTTTATATACCAGAACAGCTTTCATGTCACTTACACAACACGTATGATTAACTAATTGGATTACTGATGTAAAACCCCTAAAACGGTAATTTCCAATGGTTACAAATCACCAAGGTGAAGTAACTTCCAGTAAATAGGTTAATATGCAAAAGCACCATTCCAATACATTAGCATGACAAAGGATTGCATCAGCTTTTGTTAGACAAACTCAACCAATTATCAATATACTGTACATGAGCAACGCATATATACATCCATGCATGTTCTAAGGGGTTGAAATCCCTAATCACTCGTCAGACAACAGATTTAAAATACAATCGGTTACAAATGTACAATGACAAGCTACTGCATGAGCCGGTTCTCAGCCCTCCTTGACTGAGTTTCATTTTCACCTCTCCTTGTGCTGCTGACATTTTCTACTTCATAAAGAACCATCATTATCCTTCTCTCTTTATGGCCATTTACTGAGCACCAATTTCTTCAAAGGTACCAGTTTTGCTTGGCATTCAAGCCATCATCAGGATCCATTACCAAAGTATTTGTAGATCACTTGGCTTCTATCTCAGGAACCGGTTTTGCACATGTTATCCTTCAATATCTGTGCTGCAAGTATTAGGAGCTCCACCATCTCAAATCCAGCAGCAAAAACAGAATCTATCTTCTCGTGGCTGGTCTCCCCAGAAACATGACCAGGCTCGTTGCTGAGACTATGATCATTGAATTCAACATCTGTGTCTGCTGACCAACTGATTGGTAGGGAGCTTCCAAGTGCAGTCTTCACTAGTTTTGCCTCATAAATAATGTTGTTGACAGTTTCTGATAGGCTAGTAACCGTTGTACTTCCAGAAGTTACCGACTCTTTGGCCTACACAGTAGATTAAGGCAGAAACACTGAACACATTGACTTCACTATAGATAAATGAATACTGCTAAAACAGCCTAGCTTTCGATGGACAAACATTGTTTTGATGCTAGCAATTGATTAAAGAATATTATACAATGAAAGTTCACCATATAACAAAACAAGAACATCTTAACTTCCATCAGACCTTTGAAAGAGATAGACGAAGCCTGTGAACTGTAGTAGTCAAATGCTCCATACTTCCCATGCTTTCCCTAAGTGTTGCAATTTCAATTTTCATTCTGAGAGGACACGAAACAAGAGGTATAAAAAGGAATTTTGATGTCATATCTTCTAATGTCAATGAATGAAATCAACAGTGATGCATATGCAAGAACCAAGCACCTATAGTGATGCATCATTCAATTCAAATTTACTCGAAATATATGCACAAACCTGGCAAACTCCATGCTACTATTGGACCTCCTGTTCCCCTCGATATTTAGGCCACCTTCAGCTTCAATTCCCCTAGAGTCTGGAGGGCCAACCCAACGGCTCAAATACGTTTTCTTCAACAAGCTCTTTAGCCTTCCATCCCTTTCATGAGTAACTGCTTTTCGATCCCCACTTTCAGCAAGCAAATTTTCTCTATTTGTCTCCTGACCAATTCTCCTGCACATTATCATCGGTGGTACTTTCAAAAGTTACTGAAGCAACATAAAGGCAATGAAGATAGTATACTCCTTGAAAAAAGAAGATTAGTGATAACATTCTCAATCACCAATCTTAAGATGTTAGGTTCCTTATGTCAGATTCGTAAAGTGTCATATAATCCTACATTTCTCAGTTCAATTTAACATTTGACCCGAACATTCTCTTTTCCCATAAAATTATCACAACTTCTAAATTGTTCATAAAATCTGGTCAATCATATACTATGGCGAATAATTTCTTAACGAGTATGATTTTACATGACTTATTTAATAAATTCCAATATTTAGTCTCATTTTAGGGGGTTTGTTCAAAGGCCCCAGGAAATGTTCACAAAATCACAACGGAGTAAGGGAAAAATTTTGTGGGCGACTCATAAATTGCTAACTCGTCCAGATAAAGTGGGTCTACTAAGTACTAACTCACATTGGCACATCTCAAGCTCCAAAATAGAAATTTCCAGAACTAAAGTTTTTCTACTTATCGTTTCCAGAAATTAATAGTGACAGAAATAACATCATTAATGCCAACATTTTAAACATAAAAGAAGAAATCTCACTCTTTAAGCTGGTGATAATCCTGCTTCAATTGTGCAAACTCCATTAGAGCTTTTACCTTTTCGTTGGTAACCTGAACCAAAAAGAATAATTACACAGTTCATCAATGAACACAAACAACATTACTATTTTAAGGTAACAACGAAACAGGCAAATAGATCTTTGAACAAAGGCACCAAAAAATTTATGCATATAATGGAATAACAAGGCAAGTAATCCATGAAGGTCACTTACCATCAAAATGCTTACACAATATGCAAATTAATGATACCATCAACAGATAAGGTTTCCTTTATATTTTCTTTTCTTGAAGAGAAACAACAAAGACCCTAATCCTAATGTTTCCTTATTACGAAATGGAGGTCAGATATTTAAGTGAGAGTTGTCAAATTAACATGATAGTTAGAGTTCAATCTGTCATATATGTACAGTTCAGTCTTCCATGTGATAATTTATGACTTAGCAGCAAATCGCATACAACACCCCCGAGATAATGGCTGGGCAGTTCAGTCTTCCATGTGATAATTTATGACTTAACAGAAAATTGCATACAACACCCCCCGAGATAATGGCCGGTTAGGTTTAGTTATATTCAGCACATACAAGTAATTCTGACAGACGAGCATTTACAGAAATTACCTGTAGTAAGTTTCTCTGAAGCTCTTCTATTTTTCTTTCAAGAGCAGATTTCACATTTCTGTCCAGTAAATGCCTTTCTTCCTGCTGTGATAAAAGCAATAACGTTGCAACCTGAAAAATATGGTCATGGAAGAAAAAAAAAAAAAAAAAAAAAAAAAAGAAAACCACAAATCAGGAGCATTCATGCCAAAGTGTCACGAAAAAGAATTATCAGAGATTTTTCCAGTAGGTTAAAGAAAGCAAAAACCTTATCTTGCAATGCCTGTGCAAGGGCTTCAGAGGAATCGTTCCCTCCAACTGCCACAAATTCTGATAAGACAGGGCCACTATTCTGCAACCAATATGGAATATATAAGGAACAAGCAAATGTAGAGCACAGAGCAACTCAGTTTATAAGCACCCTCCGAGCTTCTTTTGCCTACTATTATTCTAACTAGAAAACTGAGTCCACCAGCCACAGATTATTATAGCAGAGAGCACTCTCAAGCACTCTAGTGCTTATCTTTGGAGTCATTCAGACTAAAAGTCCACAAAGATGTCTGGTGTCAAGCACCATTGATTGTTAGTACGCAGTTTCCTCCAATTGGGTCAGCGTTGCACCGCCTCTCCTCACCCAACAGACAATAATATAACTTGAAAACAACACTATGCATAAAAAGATCAGTGGTCATGAGTGTGAGTCAACTTCAAAGTCGGCCAAAAGTCTACCAGTCCTATCATTTCAGATTCTCCTATTAATATGTTTCTTGTTTCCTTTCAGCCTTTTAGTGTTCATCTAAGACAGAATGACACCTTGCTCTAATCAGACTCTAAGTGTCTCTTCTTAAGACCAGTATAATTTCAATTCAAGCACCACCTTCCTATTTTGAAGGAACTCCTGCATCGCTGTTCAATAAATAGCTCTACATCATAGTTAATGAACTAGCGGAGATATATGTTGAAACAACAATATGTAATTATCTCCTATTATTCCCAGCTTCCAAGAAACAAACAACTAACTGGATGTTCATAAGATTACGCAGTAAACTCTACCAATAATATATATTATTAATATGAGAGAGAGAGAGAGAGAGAGAGAGAGAGAGAGAGAGAGAGAGGAAAACAAGCAAGCATGCAGCAAAAACCAGCTATGATCAAACCTTGGATAACAACTGAGGTTCAGCATCAGCATTTTCATGTACGTCTTGGCAGTTATTTTTGTCTTGCTTTACATCTCCCGGAGGAGGCCCCACCTTTTGTAGTCTGCCCACATCAATTTGCCTACTCTTTTCCTCTATTGCATCACATATTGATTTGATACTAGCCTTTCCCTCATTAAGTAGATTTATTACATGAACTCTATGCTGAGAATGGTAATGATGCAATTCTGCAATTTCATTCTTTATCATTTTATCTGAAATGATCTGCATGTAAGCCACTCAGAGTTAAAGTAAGCAAATAAAACTGATATTGAACCTTTTCTTATTCAAGCAAGTACTTACTTTTTTCTTTTCCAATTCACCAACTCTCCTCTTTAAATGATTTTCAATTTCCAAACCCTACATGTCACAGAAAAATACATTTTGAAAAATATACAAAGAAATTCAGTGTGCAACACAAGGCTTATGGTACAAAGCAAGTTCCTTACCACTTGTAGCCTGTTTCGAAGATTATCTACAGAGTTCCTCATCCTCTCAAGCTCTTCCTCTAATGCACTCTGTCTGAGGATAAGTTACTCAAGTTGCATACAGGACATACAATCTTAATCTAGTTACTTTGACAAAAGTTTTAAATAGATTAATTCAATCTGGAGACTAAAACAGAAGGGCAACATCCTATTTTGATTCACAAGATGCACAGAGAGAGCACAGTCAATCTATAATACTTTTCTAATCTATGGATTGATTATGTTTTTATGGATTGCCAAGTATTGATATACTAATTCTTATGTTTTATGTGACAAAACAAACTAGAAGATCAACCTGAAAGTTAGCAAAAAAATTGAGAGATATACATGTGTCCCATAATCAGGAATCACGTGAATCACAAGTTGAGAAGTGAGCTTTCAATTCGATTTAAATATAACCCACAACTTGTGTGAGTAGTTCAACCCAAAGGAAAGGCCTTAATCTATATTAAAGTTGAGACCAAATTTGAGCAACTAGTACAAATAACAGTCTTCTAACAAGAAAAGGAGTGTGCATTGACAAGGTATGGCTTGATACAGAACAGGCAAAGGACAAAGAAAAGCAAAAGAAACTAAACTAAAATTTATGATAACTCAATTTCAATCTTGTATTCCCAATATCAACATGCTGGACTATCATTCAACTACAGAGGGTGGCCTATTTGTATATGCAATCTAAATAATGATACCACAAGTACAACAAAAATATCAATTATACAAGAGAAGAACATACTGCCCCCACTTGTTGAAGAAATAGCAACAAACACTACTAACAAAACAAAAAGTAAATAATTAGACTAGTTACTAGTTTTGGGTGTATTCATTAAATAGGTATGTAGGCCACAATTTCCATCATGACTGCTCACAGATTAGTTGTTTTAAGTTGCCTATGTGTTTCCCTTCCCTTCTTGTTTTCAAGGCCCTCAGCAAAGAGATGTCGAATGTTTGGTAATTCTTACGTTACTCCTTTAGATCTACTGTCTCCACTAGCTCAAACTCAGGTTAGAAAGTAACGAGTCTGTGTTGACTGCTAGTTCAACCTCAGGTTATATCAAATTTACAATGAGTCTCTGTTGACTACTAGTTCAACCTCAGATTATATCAAATTTACACCTTCATGGTGATAAAAATGAAAACCAGAAGATTATGAAAACTTACAATATATTTAGATGTTGAAGCATCATTGAAACTCCACCATTCTGCAGGATCATGCAAAAGACATGCACATTTTCTGTCCCAACTAGTATCCTGAAATCCCTCGGGAGAATGCTGCCTGATCTCATAAAACTTATCAATTACCTGTTATGAACATAATATCTACTATGAGAAAATAGGAAATAGGAAAAGTCGAAATTGGGAGTACCACTCAACAGAAACGCACTATGCAACAAAGAAACTAATTTGAAGAAACAACTTTAATACAAGTTCTAGCTATACCTTGAGCATATTTAAATCTCTACATAAGCATGAAATATGGTCTCTAACTACGAATTTCGAGAGGAAAGATATCTTGCTGATTCTTTGGGACTGAAAGTACAACTAAATATTAATATCTAATTTTTCAGGTCACGCCATACGAGCACGCATCAGATGTTGCTTAATGAAGACAACTTGTAGTAACACACATTTATAAAATCACCATGTGTCATACTATTCCAGTTTTTTTCCATTGCTATCAACAAAGAGAATATTATCGATACTTGGGTAACATGAGAGAGAGAGAGAGAGAGAGAGAGAGAGTGTATTCCAGTTTTTTCCATTGCTATCAACAAAGAGAATATTATATATACATGGGTAACATGAAGGGGGAGGGGGAGAGAGAGAGAGAGAGAGAGGAGAGAGAGAGAGAGAGAACCAAAGGATCACCTTCTTGAAACTTTCATTATGCTCCTCTTGCATTGCTAAATCAGTTTGCAGTTTATCATTAAGTTTTTTCTGCTCAGAACAATCTGCAGCAAGCTCTTCTAACCTGTACACAAATGTGATGCACCTCATCTTGAAAGAACTATTGCATTCACTTGCATTATAGTATCATCTTCGCTTTATAGGATGCTAAAAACAGCATGTCAACTGAAAGAAAATAATGAAAATGCCAAATCCCAAGTTCCTAAAGTGACAAGTAGATGCCCGAAATTTAGGGAACAGACAGCCAAACATAACTTTGGAAAGAAAGAAAAAGTACAGCATTTCTATGAGAGATATTTTTCTGTTTTTCTTTTTTTTTTCCATGAGAGCGGTAACACTTGACTGTTTGTTGAACTTTCAAACAAAAGATCCACATCAGCTCAGTTCAACTTTTTATTTTGTAAAATTACTGCTTATAATCAATTCTCCATTCATGAAAGGATGATAGATACCTCTTCTCTATATCGCATAGTTTCTTTGACATAAGCTCCTCTTTCTCCCTAGCCTTCTCAGCCTGTGATAAGGAATGTAACATCTTTAAAACTTTTAATTTTTTTAATATTTCATGCAGGAAATCACTTAATTAGTGTTATACATGTAGCAAATAAGCTTTAAAAAATGGTGGTTGCCATAACCTCCATTATTGAATGATCTCGTTCAGCAAAAGCTGCAGCTACACAGCCCTGGAAAAACTTAAGCTGCTTCTCTGCTTCCACATTCTGGGCAAGAAATTCAACAAATCAGACCCAAGAATACAACAATGAAAGTAATTTGCATTAAATTCCATTATAAATAAGAAACGATTCTTATTTCTCTGAAAGATTCTGCTAGATATTGGGATGCAAAAGAGGATGCCATTATCATTTAATTTTTTCTTTAGATAAGAAAAGAAAGCCAGCGTTGCTCTCCTGTGACATTACTGTTCTTGTTATTGTTTGAACTCTTTTTTAACTTTCATCTTTACCAAATTTGATTAAATTGGATAGTGAATGCAGATGTTTGGTTACATTACAATGCAAAGTCTAGCTAAAGGAGTAAGGAAGGTGGGGGGTGGGAAGGAGGGAGTGGGAGGGGATGGTAAGAGAGAGAGAGAGAGAGAGAGAGACCTTTGCCACCTCTGCACTATGAAGATCAGCCAACTGGCCCTGGAGGTAGAAAGCACATGTATCAGCTTCCATAAGCAGGTTACACAAGTGAAGAAAGTTAAAGTACTCACTTTGATTCTGTAAGTCTCTGAAAGCTCCTCTTGAAGATTCACATTATCTCTAGTGCAAGCAGCTAGCTTCTTTTTCAAGTTTTCAATCTCCTGCTCCAAGCCAGCTGTCCTAATAGGCATTAAATTTTAATGCAAAACATATTTAAGGTTTTCTTGATAATACCACCCCACGGGCCATGGGTGAAAAATTTCCCTTTCCCGCCTGTCAATAAAAAGAAGAGGAAAATGCAAGGGAAAAGAACTGGATCGTATGGGTAGGTAGGAAAATTATACCTTTGAAAATGCATCTTAGTAGCCACAACAAGGTAGCTTGGTCCAGCTTGTTGCATACACAACTGTTCAATGTCTTTGCGTAATTCATCACGCTCTGAAAAACATTACAATCCACATATTTTATCTTACATGTGAGTATAGACTTGACACTGGAATACAAGTCAAGGTCACAAACTGAACAGCATTGTTTACAGAAGCACAATTATATAATTGACGTGCAGCATTGCCATCTTCCAAGAGTTGACAAGTCTTATTATTTTGCAAAATAATTTTTTTTTCTAAAGTGCATGCCAAAGAAAGAAAGAGAATGTATAAAAGCAGGTCTCAGACTGGGTTTTGGGAAAATTATGCAACTAGCTAGTACTGCTTGGTTATATCTTGGCAGTCAAGGTGCACCCAATACAAGTCAACAATGATTGAAAACGTAACAGATTTCCTGTTATACATTGCATCACTCTAAAGTTGCCAATTAAAGTGCTCGGTTAAAAGTAAGAGAAAGAAGATACACATGATATGCCTAGAAATCAGGAAAACAGGAGAAGAGAGATTATTCTTTCCACTTCATCGTATTAGCTATAATACTCCAGTTGGTAAATCGATTTCTTCAAGTTTCGAAATGGGAATTATGGAAGTGATGCGACACCCTGATTTATTTTTCATTACATTGAAACCTTAATAGACTACAAACTAATCCCTTCAGCCAAATTGTAGTTTTCTTACAAAATCCCTTAATATCCCATCATTTCGTTTCATGCAAGGTTTTTAGTGAAACAACCAAGTTGTCTGCTTCCAAAGTCGTACTAGTATTACCGTGAACCTGCACATGCTTGTATCGAACACCAAGACTGACATCCCAAACTTGTAACTTTGACGTGGTTATGTTTTCAGAAGCCTATTCAAAGATGTAAGGAGGGTTCTTGCTACCAGAACCAGCAACACACCAAACCTGCCATCCTGACCAAGCTAAACAGCTTTCGGTCCGATCCGTCATCCTTTTAACACACTTCAAGATGAACCTAATACTCATCTAATACCCACAACATCAACTCCCTAAAACCCATATTTATGCTTCTTTCAAGTCAATAAATTTACAAAACCAATTTTGAATTTTGCTTAATATATTGAGATTGGAGACCCAATAAATAGCACATACCTTGCTCCAGCTGATGAATGCGAGCCATCAAGGATTCCTTGTCGCTTGAATTTTCATCCATTGTCTTAAACAGAAACTGGGTCACGAAGTAAAAACCCATTAACACCAAGCAACAGAATTCAACATAGTCAAACAATTCGCACACTTCCTTCTTTCGGATTGATGTCATTCACAGAATATATGATTCCCAAGTAGAAACAACTACGTTTCACAAGTTAGGTTTTGCAGAACCAGAATTCAACAAAATTAATAACAAAGCTCCATAATTTCATTTATATTATCAGTTCCATCATAAAACAAACATTTAAAATTGAAGGGTTTAGGTTTGTGGGTTGACAAAGAAACGGGAAAAAAAAACACTATTTTTCTTTACGTTTACCTGAAAATGGTTATAAGAACGAAGAGAACAGCTTCAGACAGAAATCAGAATTAGGTTCAACAGGAGAAAGAAGTTTGCTTTCGTTTGCTTTGCTAGCTTGCTGCAAGAAACTCCGAATTGTTCCTATTGGCTGGAAGCCTGGAATCTAACGGGCCGAGGGGGGCGGTTGTTTTTTTTCTTTTTTTTTAAAAGCTGTTGTGTAGTGTTTTTTCTTCTTGTATATGTATTTTAAATTTTTTTAGTTTATTTTTAGGATTTCATCATAAAAAGAATTAAGTATAAAATTAATAATTCTTTTTTTGAATTAATTTTGCACCTTTTGCTACCTTTTATGGAGAAATAACCAGAGTGCCTGATAAAAAAATTAATTAATTAACCAAAGTGCCTTTTTGTACAAAGAGGATCAAAAAATAAAATTTCCAACACTAAAAACTTGGACATGAAAATCCAATCCGGGAAAAAAACATTAAAAACTTGGATATGAAAGGATAAGTAAATTTTTTTCCATTTATACAAAAAAAAAAATTGTTCTTTTCTTTTTAGGGATAAAAAAAAAAAGATAACTAATGTTTATTCTTGGCCTGGAAAAAGAAAGAAAAAACTCATGGGAATGGTCGATATATTGTTGCTGTTGTGCTTGTAGAGGAGATAGACTCCCATGTGATTTTTAAGGAAGCAAAAGCATTCATAATTTTATGAAAATTTCAATATTTTTATAATAAAAGCGCTTTTCCAAACAGGCCCTCAGTCACGGGGGGAAATTTTGCACTTTTAACCCTCTCAAATGTTATACATATCACAAGGAAAAAATGGCTTACCATTTCTATATTTTGTTGTTGAGAATAAAATCTCATAAAACTATTTTTTCCTTTCCGCTCAACAGATCTTAAATTTGAATCTCCCTTCCGCCATTGATAAAAAAAAATAAATAAATAAAAAATACAGGGTCGGTAAAATAAATGCCATATATATTCCAAGTTCCATCTGTCCATTTCCGGCAGTCACAATTTACATAGAAGCTCAAAACGAAGGGGGAAAAACTGTCATTGGGTCAGAGTGAACAGTTTGATCCAAAGCATATACATGTATAAATTAACTCAACTAATGACAGCTACCTCCACTTCTATCTTGAAGGCCCAGAAAAACATGTCAAAATAAGACAATTACAAAACATACATCCAGTTAAAACTAAAAACTTTTCTATCCCGCTATGAGTTCTAGTTTCTGCGTTTGAAATTTCTAAAAGGAAATGAACTACAACCAAGAACCAGATGGGGTCTCAATACTTACTGTCTACAATGAAGCTAATCAACATACAAATTACGAATCCACCTGTGTCGGCCAGTAGAGGTGAATTTGGAATCAATCTCGCACTGCCAAAATGGCCTTGACATAATCTACAAATTACAATAAAACAATGTGTCGATCCCGAGAAACTTCTGATTCATAGCTCTAGCCTTTTCTGAACAATCAAGGTCGATTCATCTGCAGCACATGTTTACAGGAAAAATTAGATTAAATTCAAAAGCTTCATAATCTGTGTGTGTGTGTGTGTGTGTGTGTGTGTGAGAGAGAGAGAGAGAGAGAGAGAGAGAGAGAGATGGCAGTTAGGTATGCGTGACCTCATTATATTGGTTAAACTAAAAATTATTGCCCAACTAGACTCAAAGCCAGATATACCCCCAACTACTTTTATAAGGACATTTACACTTCTCTTATCAAACAACAAAGTTCAAATGCACGCATATTAGAGTTTAGAAGCGTCCACAAACACATGTTATTTGTGCAACGTGGTTGGAGTTCAGGTAGGAAGAGAGAGGTTTTGTGCAGGGAAGTAGACTGAATTGGTTGAGAAAGAGATACCGAGTAGAAGTTGAACTGAAAAACTAAGGTAATGTATAATCATCATACTAACTTGTTTAACAACAAAGGGGATTGCTTCAATAATAGTATAGAATATACACACAGAGAATTACAATTGTGAGACTAGTCATTGTCGTTTTGCCAGAAGTAAGCACTTCAACTCAATCCAAGACAATAAATTCACTGTAAAAAGATAAAATACCATATGAACTTTACCATCTTCGCGGAATTTCTTCCTTTTAGCGTCTTCATTGCCGCGTCTGCAAACGCCTGCGCCGCATCAGCATCAGCTTCTGCAGCCTCAGCTTCCCGAGCTGCCTCCTCAGCTTCTGCAATGGCAGCTTCGGCTTCTTCAACTGCTCGAGCAGCGGCTGCAGCAGCCTCTCGTGGGGTCATCGTCCTCATCTTTGCAAGCTCTAAATCAATCTGCGCTTTCATAAGCATGGTGGCATCATCCTTATCGAATTTTGGAGAAACCATCTGTCTTCCCTCGAAGGGATACATTGAGGAATTTCTTCTTTTTTCAGAAAACGCTGGAGTAGGTGCAATCCTGTATCTGCGTTTTACCTGTGAAAACAAAAAAACATACTAGAAATTAAATCAAACTCGAATCAGTCAAGCCCCTATATTGAACATAACCAACAGAAGCTCTGCCAACCACATTCAATTCCAGGTGTATGATGAGTGTATGTAAACCCAGGGCAACATCTCTTGAGGAATATCATGTTATAAGTAGTGTTCTTTATTTATTTTAATTAAAGAAAATCCCAATTGAAACACACGAACAAAATAATATTGTAGACTAAGTAAATCAGATATCATCCAAGTACCAGTTAGTATTAAATATAATAATATCCATGATATTACTCTTTCTAGCAAGAATGAATATTAGACACAACATTTTTGGATCGTCATCAAAACTTCCAAACTTTTAGATCATCCATATTTCCATCAAGATCCATATTCAATATGAGATATGACCATATATAAATCATATTTATAACTGATAAGCAAAAAGTGGCATTACTTTTCCATTTTTGTCCAATGATGCCTAAACAATGCGATCAAATAACAAATCATTGACAAACTCTCTTGAAGCTATGTTTCATAAATCATGTCTTAACACCTTCATTTACTTATCTAAAAGTTGGTCTAATATCCTCTCTCACAAATAGGTAGATATACACAGCATGGCACACATCCGATGATTTTAATAAAGCTTTAATGTGGAATGAATTAAAATTTTACAACAAATTCAATCACCCATATCATCAGCACATTCAAAGCTTGGAGAACAATAAGCCATCAAAGGAAAGCTGCTTCTTTTTGGTTTATCTGTACTATATCTAAGAAAAACTAAGGTACAAACTCCGTCAGTACACTACCAAGAAAAAATAAACCAAGTCTGGATTGCCATCATTCAAAAATGGATCACTAAAGAAAGAAATAATAAACATAGGAATAAAACAATGATATCAGAATCCAACATGAATATATTAAGCCCTTGTGGAACCAATATCATGGAAGCACTACAGAAACACTGAGATCAGACTGAAATCCTTATCATGAAAACCTAAACCCTAATCACAGTTTAACAAAAGGGGGAAAAATTGGAGTAGGCAATATAAGGAAAGAGAGAGTGGAATGAAGGGAAAAGCAAAATACCGGACTTGAATCTCTTCGACCATCACCCCAAAGCAAGAGCTTTGTGTTCTCTCTCAAGCTTAGTTTTTCGGCCTTGACCCCAAATTGAACAATGAAAACACGAAGGGGAGGGGGGGCAACTATGTAAAAAAAGGAAAAATGGACCAGGAAAAGCAGGACAATAAAGGAGAGATAACATACCAGTTTAAATTGCTATCTGTTGACTCAAAAAGTAAAGTTATTGATCCAAGGTGTCTAGATAGCGATTTAATCAGATATAGAAAAAGTCCGAAAGATTAGTGGAAACTAGAACACGTTAAACTATTTTTCTTGATTTTTGAAAGGAAAAAAAAAAGAATATAGGAACCCCACACCCATAAAAACGGAGTTCAGCTCTCTACACCATTAGGAGTTGAAGCAGACAACCTGAACCAAGGGGCAAAGGTACTACTGTACTACATGGGCCATAACAGTTTTAGAAGTTGCACTTTATCATGTGCCCAAACAGATTGACTGGTTAAAGAAAGATAAAATCTAGGATGACTGCGATACTGTTTAAATATTTGATCCTCTAAACCTCATTAATTAATTCCGATAATCACCTTTAAGGAAATTTCAACCAGAACAACTACTCATTAATTAAAATTGTGTTCCTTTCTTTCATGTAGAGAGTAAATGGACATAGCTCTTAATATTATTAAAATAATACAAATTATTAATATCACATGGGGCCTTGTAGCTCCAGTGGTAGTGAGAATTTACTCCTGCAACCAAGGGACCTTCCATCCCCCTTCGGCCTCATTAATATTATTATTGTTCTTCTTATTCTTATTAACCAGAACTTTTTTGTAGTCCACAACCATAACCAAGGCCAACCATCCCATTCCAAAGAATAAATTACTGTTTAACCAAATACACAAATGGTTAAAAGTGTTCTATAATGCAAAGTATGCAGAAAGCATTCGCACATTCCAGTATGATGATAAACCTTGGGAAACCTAATTTTTTTATGCATGAGGCAATTTTATCCATTTTAGTCCCACTTGTTTGTAAGTTCATAAAAATGGCAAGTCCGTGCACATTAAGAAGTCATTAATTATTCATTTCACAAAAACCACATAATCTAACACCAATAAAAATCATAAAGGCTATATATACAGGTCATTTTTTTGAGATTATTAGACTACATAATATATTTACCTTAATCAGTTTACGGTTTGACGTCAAGTATTTTAATTTCGCAGACAATAGCCTCTTGAAGTCTGGAGGAGCCCAATATTGTTCCTACCAAACCAAAACTCTCAGGGTGAGCAGATAACCAAATAATAGCTAGAAAATAATGCTAGCAATTATATAACTCTAAAGCATTAAAATAACAAATAAGAACTATTAGATATACCCTATGTACAGACAGTAGGTACATAGCATGATTATTGATGAGATGAAATTAATTATTGATCTTATTCAGCCGTATGTAGAAAATTATGATTAAAAACCTATTCGATTTCACATACCATATAATTGGAGTGTATAACCTTGGGATGATACGCAATTACATATCAGTAAACCCAGAGATAATGTTACTGATTCAGTGTCGTAAAAAGTCAACTTGCATTTTTGTTTAGGAGGGGGAGGGGGTTTGCAATGCACTGGCATAAACTCCTTTTCATAACCACTTCTTTAAAAGGCTAGGCTATTATACGGGGGGTTTACATTACAAATTACATTAGCCTATGGCTATAAGATGAAATTGAACATTCATAATTGTTATAAGGAGGTTTGAAAGACATGTTCCCTGCGTAAGAAATCATTTCTGGTGGATAGGGTGTCTTCTTGTAGGGATTAAACAGCAGACCAACCACTATTTAAATTTTTGTTCTTTTCAATTTCTTTAAATATTGGAACCCAAGAGAGCATGGCAAAGCCAATTCCATAATGTTGCATAGGCTTATCAATGAAAATAGAATGCCCACTTGTCTTGAACCATGATATGACTGAAAACTGTCAATCTCCAAAACCAATCAATCAATGGCTATTCGGCTTTAAATTACATTCAATACCTTTTTCTTTTTTCTAGAAAAATAATCCCTCCACAAAACAAAAAAAAAAAAAAAAAAAAAAAAAAAAAAAAGGAGGAGGAAAAAAAAAAAAAAAAAATATCATCCAGGAATCAAAAAGAACAAACAAAGAATGAAAGAATAAAAAACATAAGAGTAATGGAAACAATTTAAAGCTAAATGTCCGCAACCCAAAAAATTATGTGTTTAATCAAGGATGTCTGTATATTTTACAGAGCCTCCCCTGCAAGGGACAATGAAGAGCAGATTCCAGGGCGTTATCTTCTTAATATATATATTCCTTCTTTTTCTTTTTAACTACTGCGGCTAGTAATTGTTTTTTATGGAACCCTGATCCTTTCTAGAACAGCAGTGAGGATGGCATATATGCCAAAAGCCCCTTATGAGCGAAAATGCAACTTGAACTCAAGTATTAAAAACAAAATACACTAAACTCCTTTAAAATGATTCACTATGAAAACCTTAGCTGACTGAGCACACTGAAACACATCACTGTCATCTCAACCTCTCACTTATGTTGTGAAGTATTTCAACTTCATGAAATATTTATACAATCAATCAATTGTATGACAGGATTGAAGTGGAATGTGTCATAGAAATAGCAAGCCAATTCAAAATACCACAGATTTTGTTTGTTGGACATAGAAGGCTACCTCTATATATGCTGCAATAGTTGTTTTATTAGAACCACCAGGCTCCTTCAAGCTAGTTATAGCTTCCGTGATAAGATTGTCCAGCCTACAAGCATGAACAGAAATTAACTCTCAAACATACAGCATAGTTTAAAAAGAAAAACACGAAATACAATAAAACTGTCTAACCTCACAATGGATCTTTTTGGACCAGAAGTTTGCTGTGTATCACTAGAAAATGCAATTGGCTTAGCATCCATGACATCTTCATCGCTTTGAACAACAGTACTGAGAGCCATAGAGTTTTCTTCCTGTTTAGGGACCGGATGCATTCTTCTAACTGCTGTCTTAGCCTTCTCTCGGGAGCCCCATCCATTAGCCATGACACTCATATTTCTCCACTTATCCTATCCACCATCAAAACGAAAAAATTATAAACTATTTACTGAAGCATAGTCTAGCAAAACCGTCAATTTTAATAATCTATAAAGAATTGATCAGAGTATCGCCAAACCTCATATCTGATATCATGAATACTATAAATGCACTGGCTAAACCTATTGATGGTCGAGGCAAAATTTCGAACTTGGAACAAGCATGAAGAAATTAATGATACTTCTTAACAAGTAGTAGTGTTAAAAGAACCCTACCTTAAGATCTACATTTGAACGAGAATACAGGACGCCACTATATTCTGGATCTTTAAGTATGGTTCGCCACTTTCCAGCCCCATGTTTAACAACTCCAGCTTTAAGGGCTGCTTCTTCTTCTGCTGTCCATTTCTGCTTTGGAGCACCCATAAAGAGTAGAACAAAAAACCTCCACCAGAGAATCAATCTGCAGATTAGTGGTCTAGATTAGAACATGCACTCAAGGACAAACTTCAAACATTAATAAATTATTAAAACTAACAAAAAAACAACACTCAACATTATAATCAAAACTGAAAATCAATGCAAAATTCTATAGGGACTAAGATAACTGAATAAAAAAATTCAGCTACTGAGTTTTGCAAAACATAGTTTGCATAAGGATCTAGATTTGAAATGCAACAATTTGAAATTGTGTGAAGAAATATAAAACAAAGAAGGAGTTTCATCCATTGTTCCACTTTCAGTTTCTTTTTCCTTTTGTTCAATTTCATATAACTGGATTCATTACGAGCTGTTTTAAGATCACAGGGATGTCCTATAAGACTCTTTTATTGACAATTAGCATCAATTTTACTCTCAGTTCAGTAAAGTTTACCTCAACTCGGTAGTACTCATATGTGCAAACAACAGTTATCTATAATTCTCGAAAATGAAAACAAGAATTTTATAATTTAATTGCGTAATATCATCATGAAAAAACCGAATCCTTCATACATAATTCAAAAAAGAAAAAAGCCAACCATAAAATCCTCCACCGGGAAAATTCAATGGTTGAACCTGAAACTCCATTTCATACAACCCAGTAACCCTAAAATCCCTAACAATTAATAACCAAAAGGGGAATCCAATACAATTCCATTTCCCTGTAAAATATTTATAAAAATGTTCAAATCACCTCGAATTTCATAAATACACAAAACAAAGAGTCGAAATTACATGAACGAAAGGAAAAAAAAGTAATCAGGAAAGGAAAATTACCAGATAAGCCAAATGACGGTGACGGTTAAAAATTTCTTCGTCCGTTTGTTTCTCTCGTTCTTTTTTTTTTTATTTTTCTATTTTTATCGGTTTTTTAATTATTTTTTTGTTTTTTTTTTTTTTTTTTTTTTTTTTAATTTTTTTTTGTTTTGGGCTCTGAGATTTGAAATTCAGTTCGAGGTCGGGGAAGGTGATGGCATGGTTGCTCTCTGGCGCTTTCTCCTGTCCACCTGGGATTTTTTGCGGATCGACACGAAAAATCTGTTTCAGGCCTTGCTGGCCAAAAGTAACATTGAATTTCCGTTCAACTTGACTATCCTGGTGACATGTATTACAACGGTACACGCATGTGGGGTCCAGGGAGGTTTGCCTGTTGCACGAAAATTAGGGCATTCGAAACTTTTCCGTACCTTTTTTTTAATCAACGGGGATAGAGATTCGAACTTGAAATAAGTTAGACATGTGCAATTTGAAATACCGTTACACTTAGGGTTATTTCAATACGTGGAATTTGAAATACCGTTATTTGGAGTTCAGAGTTTAAGGTTTAGGGTTCATAGATAGGATTAGGGTTTAGAGTTAGGGATTAAGGAAAGGCCAATTTTGTTGGAAACCCTAATCCTAACCCTTAAACTACATATTCTAAATCTTACAACCTGAACCCTAATCTCTAAACATTAAACCCCTAAATATGAATATAGTTATATTATACATGCATAAATTACAAATAAGGTGCGTCTGAGCTTTCGCTTAATTACCTAATTTGTATTATTACCCTTTGAGAAGAAGAAAAAACGGTGCAAGGGGAGCGGTGGGAAACAACAATTTTGATTCCTAGCTTGATCTCGATTTCAATTTGATCCATATAATTTTAATTGTTTTAGTCCATTTTATGTAGTTTAATGTTACGATAATTCATATAATTTAATGTTACAATAGAGTCAAATGTAAATCATGTGCATTGTTAGGAGGCATAAACAAGCTATCATTTTCCGCGAGATTATGCAACTTATGAATCCATTAGTGAGTTATGGTTTATAATTATCTAAAATGAATTCGCAGATGATGAAGATGCTAATGTAAATAGGGAACATATTGGTCATGTTAGCATCGAGGAAACAAGAAACTATTATTCTTTTTCATTTCTTCATAGATGGTAGGATGTGTATTCTTGGAAAACTACAGATTTTTTTTTTCTTGCTAACATTTAGTTGGTTTTTTTTAGAATGAGTATTAATCATAAATTTCCAATTAAAAGATATGAGGATAAGCTCAAACATGCCATGTTAGTGCGAAGTCGTCACAAACCAGAAATGACAAGACCCGTACCAACATAATACAACTCAATTGCTATGTACACGAATATATGAATCCTTCCGTGGATATATTAGTTGGCATTCATATGAATGTGTATTTTTGTTAGATTTTACCTCTTCAATGTCTATTTTTGTTAGAAATTTTACCTCTTGAGTGTCTGGGAAAAGAAGGAAAGATTTTTATTTGTTATTTTTGAAATGAGAAAGATGGAGGCATCGATCGATCTTAGGCCTAACCCTTTCTAGCTATCCTCCCTCACGAGGGGCAAAGTCATGTTTTGACCTGACATAACTTAATCCTAAAGGTCTGAAAGGGAATATATTGGATTGCCTCAAGATTATCTCCTACGTGAATCGAAACTGAATGCACTTGGTGCAAAGGGATAATTTGGTCTACTTTTCCACTGTGATGCCACCTCATGTGCGAAAGGAAATATATTCACCTTCTTATGGGTTGTTACCTCTTGAACAATTCTAGTCATCCTGGGATGAAAAAGTACATATCTTCTACACGTTCTTCATTATGGGTTTTTACATCTTGAACGATTCTAGTTATTGTTGGATGACAAAGCATATAGCTTCAACATATCCTTCATATCTGTTTGCTGACAAATTAGCTTCATTTTTGAACTCTTTTACAAATATACTTGTTTTTGTCGAACTAATTCTTGATCAATTGCTTCAATTGAACCAAAATTCCACCCCAAAACACCCATTTGTGGTATTACAAATTTGCCAACTGGCCACTCTGGCTTTTCTCCCTCTTTTTTCTTTTTTCAATTCTTCAGATGTCTTTGATTTGATGCAAGATTCCATGCCAACCTCCTGAAACTAAAAAATACAAGCCTTTCACAAAGCATCAAATCCAACATATTCCTTAGCTCGGAGGTAATATTCCTCCCGCGTTTTATGATCCCAAAGAACAAAATCCAACCCTTCACCTCAAACAACCCAACAAAGCCAAAATTCAAGCTGGGAGGACCTCACTTTCGCCCCTATTTTTCTATATGCCAGACAACCATTTCTCATGTATGGACTTGTCAAACATGGGAAAGCATTTGATTTCCCATCCCCAACCCTCTTTTCCCATAAACCAAACGGAGCCTAAAAGCTTCCAAAATCATATAGTTCTACAAAGTAAAATGCTTCCCCCCTTACTATATAAGTATGAACTTTTTTATAGTCTTACCAATAGCAATGTGACATGTGTGCGTAAGTTCTTCTTTTTGTATTTTGGATGAATTATTTTTGTATATGTATCGAACTTCGCAGAAATGAGTAATATCTCTTTACAGGGAATGAGGGAAGCATCCTTGTCCAAATGTACTTCCACCACAAAGAACCTCAAAATCTCCCACTACTTTTGCCTTCATCCCCAATGCTTCCAACCCAAAAGAAACATTTTCATAAAATTTTGATAATAACATAATTGCACATAAGAAAATGCAAGCAAGAACCAATGTGAGTGTGACCTTTTCAAGCAGAAGTTCATATCATTTATGAAAATAAACCGTCAAATAAAAATGAAAAACAAAAACTACACAAATGTAACAGATAGATATAAATTTGACAATCCGATAAGGGTATCAAATTTTGTGCGTCATCCAATCAAATAGGCTTCAATTTCATGTTTGATCCACAGCTCCCTTCAAAAGCAAGCATCCAGCAGACAGCAACAGCACAGAGCAGCCAAACTGCAGCATTTCATGCAATTGAAAAACATATCAGACAACGCCTCTTAAAAATCGAACACCATTTGGTACTTATATTCAGAAACGAACAATCGTTGTCGTTTGTTTGTGCGACCTTAAACACATCGAAAAAAGAGAAAGACAAATCAAAATGACTACATTACCCACTGCTCTGGTGGCATGGAAAGGGTAATTTTGGGATCCAGGCTGGTGGCCAAGACTAGGACTATTCATGTGAACCTATCTTTCTAGGGAAGCGTGCAAAACATGTTTGACTGTTAAGTCTCAACGACCGAGTTGACTCGCACCAAACTCGGCTAGACCAACTCAGATAAACCCAGATCTGAGTCAACACCCAACTCAGTTTCACAAATTTTACAAAAACAAGCAGAGGCAATAAGACAGTCCCCTTTCATTCAAATTCAATTATCATTTGTATTCAAAAAAGACAAAAAGAGAGGACAAAATTACATACCAGCCCTCCATACAGCCAGTGCTACTGCTTTGTTGTTGAGGGGGAGGCTGGGCATACTGAGGGGCATAGGGAGGAGGGTACTGTTGGGGGTAGCCCTGAGGTGGAGGGTATCCCTGTTGAGGATATCCCTGAGGGGGATATCCCGCCGGTGGATAAGCATCCTTGGGATATCCTTCCGGTGGATAACCTATTCCATTACAATTTAAACCCACAAAAGTGAATTAAAACCCAAAATCAGAACAAAAACCATTTCACAAAATTCAAATTTAATTAAATTCTTCAAGCTTTTAGATAGATCTGAACAAAATCAAGAAAAAAAAATTATCAGGAAAAGAAGATGTGACTTGCTTGCTTACCTTGAGGTGGAGGAACACCAACAGGAGGCTGTTGCTGGTTGTAATAGCTCATTCTTGGTGGTGTTCTTGATGGATTGCTGTAGCAAATTAAGCCCAGAAACTCAGAAAAGATCTGATCTTTTTTTCTTTTCTTTTCTTGTGCTTGCTCTTTTGGTTATGGAGGAGTTGAGAGAAGTTAATAGTGGGTGGAGAGTTAGAGAGAGAGAGAGAGGGTGTGGATTGGACAGGCTGGATGTGGGAGAGGGGGATTCGTTCTAAATACGTTGTTTGGTCTTTTTTTAATGAAATAAAATAAGAATAAGAAGGGCAGCAAAGGATGAATGCGACATCGGAGTTGTTTTTTTTGTTTTTTTTTGTTTGGGCATGGAACAAAGAGAGGTTTGTTTCTCTGAGCAAAGAAAAAAAGGAGGGGTTTGTTTCTATCAACTTTCAAATTCAAGGAAGGTTTGTTTAAACTAACCTGCACTAAGTAACATGCTGCCTTCTTTTATTTATTTTTTATTATTATTTTAATACAAACGGTAAACTAAATTACGATAAATTATAGAATATTAAATTAGGGTTTTTCACACACATTATCACTGGTATGCAAGTAAAGTCATTTTCTATTGGACTGGACCTTGTTGGCGTCTGTTTTTTATTTTGTTAAAACAAGAAAAAAAGAAACAAAAGTAATTTATTTTTACTGTGAATGTGAAAATTAAACTAGGTGGGGTAAATTTGATAATAGTCACAAATTGAAAAGGGTTCAAATAAATCATTATTTGACCCGAATTGAAGTTCGTGTAGATAGACAATTATTTGACATGGGTTCACACAAACAATAAATAAATCTGTTTAATTTCAAATTCAATAACTCGATTTTGATACAATAAACATGTTCAATTAGTGCGGTATAAAGTAACCAGTTAATTTTTCCAATTTAATTTTTTTAGCATCACTTTATAAATAATTTTGAATTATTAGAAATAAGAAAACTTCTTTTAAGTTTTATGTTCACAACATAAGATGGGTTAATTCATCATCGAATTAAGTAATCTTAAGAGTCATTTAACATAAGTATCATCCAACTTCTTATATTTCATCACGGAAAATATTTCGTTAAGTATTTTATATTAAGAATTAGTTAAGAATTTTAACACCAATCCTTACAAGAGAAATAGCTTTAAACTTGGAAAACATCAACATCCTCTTGCTATAGTGGCAATTTCATGCATGCTATACACGTGCACTTTGTAATTATCACCCCTCTACAGGTTGGAATTTGGGTATGTGGTGTCGAGTTGAGCCTTCTCAATCTTGACTTGGTACCAATTTGATGGGACCAGTGAAAGATTCATGTTGAATAGTCGCAATTGAAATTATGATAGGGTGGTAAGAGTGGTGGTACATAGAGGCCTTACTATTGTCGCCTGACATCATAGGTTTTTAAGAGATAACATTCAAGCCTAAGATATTTGCTCTGATACTATGTGAAACAATCAATTAGAGTAATTTTTGAGACGTATTTTTCTCTTCGTGCATGAAAATATATAAGATTACGTTGTTGTACTAATAAAAAAAAAGTAATTTAAACCCTAATTACACCCAATAAGTCAACTATGAGTAACAAATCTCCTAAATAATATTTACAATTCATAGCACTCCATTCTTCGCTATCATCACATATTTTTGTGTGAGGCTATACGGTTGGGAAAGTTTTGTATAGCATCCTCTCAAATAAGACCAATCATATTCCGCCCCATAAGCAATCCAACATACAGCAACAGCAGAGTGCAGCCAAACTGCACCATTCATCAAATTGAAAACAAATTAATTAGAGAATGCACTAACTTAATAATCAAGAACACTTCGCAAAGGATTCATTAGTGTAATGGTTTGGAATAATTGTTCCTCCATGCAAGATTTTGGTTTCGAGTCTTAGCATTCGTGTAGTGTGTGTGTGTGTGTGAGTTTGATATATTATCACATATCTCAATAAGAAAGGTCGAAAAAAAAATATTTTAAGACCAGTTCATATGTTTCCTTAATAGAAATCAAAATTTCCTAATTAAAAAAATAAGATCACTACAGAAAAGCCAAATGGCCAAAGCACGAACTCCATATCCCCTTTGGCTCCCCAGTAAAAACGAAAACTATTCAAAAACCGATTTGTATATTGCATCAAATGAAAACATACGGCATCTCACGCCCCAATTTAAACGCCAATGTCACAAATTGAAATGGTCAAATCATTCTTAGCTTATCATATGACATAAAGAATGACGTTTTGACAAAAAGTTATGTGCACGCTACCATAAGTCTCAACAAAAAACAACATTCTTAGCTTAGCTTCTCCATTTTTTTGGAGAAGCGTTTTTCAGGCCAAATGACAGCATCCTCAAGTCTCCACAAAAAAAAACACCAAGCTATCATAGCTAAAAATTGAGTTTTTTTTTCCAATTTTTTAATGCGATAGCTCAAAATTGAGTTGAGTCGTACCATAATTTATTTCTATTTCTATTTCTTTTTTTTTCTTTTTTTTTAAAACCAAACTTAAAGTGTCCTAATACTAAATATGGGTTAAGAACCTATGAGCTTGCATAAATCAGGAAGTGAGGGAGGAGAAGAGTTAAGATTTTAGGACGTAACGTAAATGTACATAGAGAAAGAAAGAAAATAAGAAAGGGAATAACATACCAGCCCTGTAGACAACCCGTGCTACTGGTACTAGGATTTGGTTGATGATGGGGAGGCGGTGGACGGTAATGTGGGGGATATCCAGGAGAAGGAAAGCCATGGGTAGGATATCCGGGAGGAGGATAGCCCGGGGGAGGATAGCCTTGGGGAGGATAAGGATAACCTTGAGGAGGATAACCATGAGGAGGATATCCAGGAGGTGGAGAACCTTGAGGAGGGTAGCCCGGAGGAGGATACCCACGATGTGGAGAATGTCCTTGTCCTTGTGGGGAATACACGTCCCTCGATTGTTCTTTTCCTTGTGCTTGTGGGGGATAAACGTTCCTTGATTGTTCTTGTCCTTGTCCTTGTCCTTGCGGGGGATAAATGCCCCTCGATTGTTCTTCTCCTTGTGCTTGTGGGGAATAAATGTCCCTCGATTGTTCTTGTTCTTGTCCTTGCCCTTGTCCTTGAGGGGGATAAATGTCCCTCGACTGTTCTTCTCCTTGTCCTTGTCCTTGTGTGGGATAAACATTGCTTGATTGTTCTTGTGGGGGATAAATGTCGCTTGATTTTTCTTGTGGGGGATAAACGTCCCTTGATTGTTCTTGTCTTCGTCCTTGTCCTTGTGGGGGATAAACATCACGTGATTGTTCTTGTTCTTGTCCTTGTCCTGGCGGTGGATAAACGTCCCCTAAATTTCCTTGTGGGGGATATGCATGTGGCAAATGAGCGTCTTTGGAATGTCCTTCAAGTGGTGGTGGTGGCGGCGGCGGATAAATGTTGTTGGGATATCCGTCATTTGGTGGTGGATAACCTAATTCATTATTTGCAAAAACCAAATTAAACCATACCGTATATAACAAAAAAAATTTTATAAAAAAACCTATGATTTGAAAATTCCAAGATTATATATCCAACAAATATATTCATACAAATTCAAGAGAAACCATAAGGGACAAACAAGGAAAGAGGTTTAAAAAAAACATAATTAACCTTGAGGAGGAACATCATTGGGAGGCTGCTGTTGAGGAGGAGGCTGGTGGTGGCTGTGATCACTCATTCTTGGTGTTCTTGATTGATTGCTAAGTCAAAAATATGTTTAATCTTTCTTGGTTACAATGCAAAAAGCTAGGATCTAGTTTTTGTATTTATTAGGGCAAGGAACCAAGGGAGATTTGTCTCCACCAGTATCCAAAATCTAGGGAGGTTTGTTGATTTAAACTGGCCTGCAGTAAATAGCGGCTAACAAGCTATCTGTTTTTGTTCGACACATCGGATTTTGTTTAGTGAGAAAGATGGTTTGTTTGTTTTTTCTTCGGTACAAAGGAGGAGGAAAACTTCAACTGTTCTGTGTGGAGTAGCTGCTAACCGCCACCGGAAATAGTGTTGCATTTGAATCAGTAATTCATAACATGTGTATAATTTGGAACATCGTCTAGAATACATTTTTTTTAATCAATGAAGAATATAGAGATTCGAAATTGAGACATATTTCATCATTAGAAAGAAGTATCATTCGATTAAGAACTAGTTGTCATGCTTTCAGAACAAAGTATGAAATTTCACTTGCAAGGTAATTCAAAAGTGATTTCCCGAGTGTCAAAATTATCACCTTAAGGGAATGCTTGAATAACTACCACCACTCAACAACATAATTAACATGTTCTACCGTGAAGAAAAGATTGGAAATATACCATCACAAAAGCTATAAATAGCGTGAAAACTTGTAGTTTCAATGGTTGAAAGCATTTATTCTTACTTTCCCGTCCCATAGAGGTTATATGTCCCAAATAAAAGTTACTCTGTAGCACAACAAAATTGTAATTTTGTAAGTTACTGATGCCCAAATAAAACGAACAATAAAAAACTTTTGGAAATTTCATTGAGTCACTTGATCTAGCCTAACAACCATTGCAAAGTCCTAAATCAATCTCAATCAAAACAAGTTGACACATTCAACGTAGCCATATGCTTCAATCAATCAACGATTGAATCCGTCTTCTTTTCTCTCTTAATTTTTTCTCAAACACGCACATATAGATGTGAACACAGCTTGTAGCATGCAAGAATAATTAAATAGAATGTGATGTTCTATTTTGAGAAACTTTTATTCATAGTTTAAAAGAATCTGTTGATAAGTTTTCAAATAATTTGATTGAGAACAAGTCTTCCACTTTTTTTTTTGAGACACATTCAGTGATAGAGTTGAAAAAATTGCTAAATATAGCATCACGATACATGTTTCAAAGTCGGAAGAGGAGTATCACTAGACTAAGAGATTTTTACTTTCATACCTAATTATTTAAGAATAAATTGTTATAAGAGAAAGATTAACTTGATTTAAAATAGATTTTTTATATTAAAAAAGAGAGAGAGAAAAGAATAGATTAACCAGACTAAAGAGACTATTCTCATTTTCTGAACAAATCAACACGGTTTCTTTGCTCGAAAGGAAAGGAATGTCCTTTTGCATTGGTCATTCAATCATTTTCAGGGCTTTTATTTTATTTTTCACAATTTTTTAATTTTATTTTCTACATGCTTAAGTATATATTATGCGTGCTTAATCTTCGGCTAAGGCCGCAAGAACTACTAGGTAATTCAAGCCCCACAAACGAAGCTACAAATTATACTTTCTATTCGAATTTGGTACGTAGAATTGAATTGGATTGAATTTTTTACTAAATTTAAAGTAAATTTAAGCTCCAAAAAATTATTCTGTTCGGAGTAAAAACATTAACGAACAATTGGAAAATGAGAAGAAATATTGTGGATCGACCTATTTAGTGTGAGTTGAAAAAAAAGTAAAAAAATACATATCATCAGCCTTCATACCTAATTACTTAATAATGAATTGTTTTAAAAGTTTTATTATCTACTTGGTTTTGAAAAAGAAAAGAAGACTAAATGAGAGGTTGAAGCCTTGAAGGTGGAAAGATGGGTACTCAACTCATATAATTTTCTGAACAAATCAACTCGGTTGCTTAGCTTGAAAGCCAAAGAAATATCTTTTTGCATTGGACAGTCAATCATTTTCAGAATTTTTATTAATTTTTCCTTTTGTGTGTGTGGTGTGGGTTATTTCTAAGAAATTTTTCTTTGTGCACTTCTATTTACACAAGCCCACAAAAAAATATCACATTGTGCTTCTTGTTTGGGCCTAAACATGGGTGTACTGATTTAAACTTTGAGTTAGGGCTCGTCAATGGGCCGGGCCGGGCTAGCCCTACCCAAATTTAACGAACTTGGGCCGGGCCAGGTCGGGCTTTTTTAGAAAATTCAAAGCCCAAGCCCGACCCATAGGTCGGGCTTGAGAAAGCCCATTGGGCCGGGCCGGGCCGAAACGGGCCTACTTCATTCGAAAAAAATCATAAACTTAATCATAAGGGCATTTTAGTCTAAATTTGAGATTAAACTCACTTAATTCCAATATTTTCACATCAAACCAAATTTATAAAATACCCAATAAAGTCACACAACTTAATAAGATTTTCCACAAAAATAATAAAACAAAGTATTATTTTTGAGGTTATTACATAATTAGACCGTAATACGTTCTAAGAAATAATTTTAAAAAATAATAAGTATCAAAAAGATATTTTTTTAAAGGATGGTATAAATAAATATGTAAATGTTTGGTGATGTGTTCGAGAAAAACATGATTATATTTGGTGGTACGATTATACTTCGTGATATGATTATATTTAGTGATATGATATATTGTTCATCTTATTTATATATATATAATTGTTGTATTAATAATTGACACAAATTAATGTGCTAATCATCCAATTATAAACTAGGAATGAGTAAAGAAAAGTAAATAAAATGAAACAAATTATATATGTGATTTAAGTGATATAATCCTAATCCTAAACTCTTATTTATACATAATTATATACATATACGGGCCTAACGGGCCGGGCTTTTGTGGGCGGGCCGGGCCGGGCTTTCATGGGCTTAATCTGGCCCGACCTATTGGCCTGGCCGGGCTTCAGACACCCAAGCCCAAGTCTAGCCCGGCCCAAGGCGGGCCGGGCCATCTCAAAGCCCATAACGGGCCGAGCCGGGCTTTTTCCCAATGGGCCGGGTGGGCCCCCATCGGCCCATGAGCCCGTGGGCCAAATGATGAGGCCTACTTTGAGTGTATTTAGAAGCTCACTAAAACAAAACTTATACCCAAAGTTCTAATTTATGTTTTGTTTTTTCTTTCATCCACATCCTGTATGAAAGTAACTTTCTCAACAAGATAAAACCCAGTGGAAAAAAGCTATTGATTTACCGACTAGTGATCTCGTGTTCAAATCTCTATGGCACTATGTGTATGAGAAGCCTCATTCCTCCTTGTAGTTTAGACTACCACTTGTGTTTGGAAAAAAAAAAGTATGAAAGTAAGTTTAGCTATGTGTCTATATAACATGCATTTGGAAAAATCCCGTTTGAAAAACACCATTCACAATGGCAAAATCCAATGACTTTATGACTAGATTAAATTAGAGTCCTAACCCAAATTGCCAATATCAAAGCTTGTGATACTAAACAAAGGCAAATGTGGCATTTCTTGTTACCCGAAGAATGTTCTGAGCTCTTCTTTAAGAGGGTTGGTAATTAACTTGGGTTTAGGGATTGTTGTTCACCAAACATAAACCCAACTTTGGGAAAAGGAAGAGCATTAGGGTTGGTGCACCCTCTTGTTTGACCGTAGTCCTTTACTTGCTCTCCATCCATCCATACATAAAAATCCAACCAATGAGAATTGAGAAATTCCAAGAGTAAAACAAGTTTTGGACAAAACAAACAGACATTTGCAGGTTTGAAAAAAGGGTCAAGCCACTTTTGCAGTACTCACAGAAAGAGTACTGCCCCTCTTTTTCAGTCCTTAAATGGGGACGGTTTCTTTGGCAAGCCAACCACCATTTTTTATCTCATCAACTCATTAAAGTCTCAAAAAATCTTTATATATGCACAAAATAATACCAAAAAATGGCTTCTTCTTTTTTGTTGGTAACAGTCAATATTCTTTTTGACATGATCAGAGGATATGATAGGCTGCTGCTGCTGCAAAGTCTGCAACCTGCAGCTCTTGTCTGTCACTGAGATATGGTTTTGGTTTTGCTCTGTAGGGCTCTCAGTCTCTTCAGTTAATGATTATAAAAGACACCATCGACGAAATCGTACCCCTTTAACCTCTCAACTCATGTCACACTTTTAGACAAGAGAGACAACACACCCCAGCAGAGAGTAACATTACATACAGAAGTTGAAGAAAGCAGAGAGACTCTGCGTCTGAGAGCGTGAGCTCCATTAGCCTTTTGCTTTCTCTCCAACAATGGCTGTAGGAGGTGGAGCACAAAAGGTGGATGAGCTCCATTAGCCTTTTGAAAAAAGGGTCAAGCCACTTTTGCAGTCCTCACAGAAAGAGTACTGCCCCTCTTTTTCAGTCCTTAAATGGGGACGGTTTCTATGGCAAGCCAATGGGTCGGGCCGGGCTAGCCCTACTCAAATTTAACGAACTTGGGCCGGGCAAGGTCGGGCTTTTATAGAAAATTCAAAGCCCAAGCCCGACCTAGAAAGCCCATTGGGCCGGGCCGGGCCGAAACGGGCCTACTTCATTCGAAAAAAATCATAAACTTAATCATAAAGGCATTTTAGTCTAAATTTGAGATTAAACTCACTTGATTCCAATATTTTCACATCAAACCAAATTCATAAAATACCCAATAAAGTCACACAACTTAATAACATTTTCCACAAAAATAATAAAACAAAGTATTATTTTTGAGGTCATTACATAATTAGACCGTAATACGTTTTAAGAAATAATTTTAAAAAATAATAAGTATCAAAAAGATATTTTTTTTAAAGGATGGTATAAATAAATATGTAAATGTTTGGTGATGTGTTCAAGAAAAACATGATTATATTTGGTGGTACGATTATACTTCGTGATATGATTATATTTAGTGATATGATATATTGTTCATCTTATTTATATATATATATATAATTGTTGTATTAATATTTGACACAAATTAATGTGCTAATCATCCAATTATAAACTAGGAATGAGTAAAGAAAAGTAAATAAAATGAAACAAATTATATATGTGATTTAAGTGATATAATCCTAATCCTAAACTCTTATTTATACATAATTATATACGTATGCGGGCCTAACGGGCCGGGCTTTTGTGGGCGGGCCGGGCCGGGCTTTCTTGGGCTTAATCTGGAGGGGCCTATGGGCCGGGCCGGGCTTCAGACACCCAAGCCCAAGCCTAGCCCGGCCCAAGGCGGGCCGGGCTATCTCAAAGCCCATAACGGGCTTTTTCCCAATGGGCCGAGTGGGCCCCCATCGGCCCATGAGCTTGTGGGCCAAATGATGAGGCCTACTTTGAGTGTATTTAGAAGCTCACTAAAACAAAACTTATACCCAAAGTTCTAATTTATGTTTTGTTTTTTCTTTCATCCACATCCGGTATGAAAGTAACTTTCTCAACTGGATAAAACCCAGTGGAAAAAAACTACAAATTATACTTTCTATTCGAATTTGGTACGTAGAATTGAATTGGATTGAATTTTTTACTAAATTTAAAGTAAATTTAAGCTCCAAAAAATTATTCTGTTCGGAGTAAAAACATTAACGAACAATTGGAAAATGAGAAGAAATATTGTGGGTCGACCTATTTAGTGTGAGTTGAAAAAAGAGTAAAAAAATACATATCATCAGCCTTCATACCTAATTACTTAATAATGAATTGTTTTAAAAGTTTTATCATCTACTTGGTTTTGAAAAAGAAAAGAAGACTAAATGAGAGGTTGAAGCCTTGAAGGTGGAAAGATGGGTACTCAACTCATATAATTTTCTGAACAAATCAACTCGGTTGCTTAGCTTGAAAGCCAAAGAAATATCTTTTTGCATTGGACAGTCAATCATTTTCAGAATTTTTTATTAATTTTTCCTTTTGTGTGTGTGGTGTGGGTTATTTCTAAGAAATTTTTCTTTGTGCACTTCTATTTACACAAGCCCACGAAAAAATATCACATTGTGCTTCTTGTTTGGGCCTAAACATGGGTGTACTGATTTAAACTTTGAGTTAGGGCTCGTCAATGGGCCGGGCCGGGCTAGCCCTACCCAAATTTAACGAACTTGGGCCGGGCCAGGTCGGGCTTTTTTAGAAAATTCAAAGCCCAAGCCCGACCCATAGGTCGGGCTTGCGAAAGCCCATTGGGCCGGGCCGGGCCGAAACGGGCCTACTTCATTCGAAAAAAATCATAAACTTAATCATAAGGGCATTTTAGTCTAAATTTGAGATTAAACTCACTTAATTCCAATATTTTCATATCAAACCAAATTCATAAAATACCCAATAAAGTCACACAACTTAATAAGATTTTCCACAAAAATAATAAAACAAAGTATTATTTTTGAGGTTATTACATAATTAGACCGTAATACGTTCTAAGAAATAATTTTAAAAAATAATAAGTATCAAAAAGATATTTTTTTAAAGGATGGTATAAATAAATATGTAAATGTTTGGTGATGTGTTCGAGAAAAACATGATTATATTTGGTGGTACGATTATACTTCGTGATATGATTATATTTAGTGATATGATATATTGTTTATCTTATTTATATATATATATATAATTGTTGTATTAATAATTGACACAAATTAATGTGCTAATCATCCAATTATAAACTAGGAATGAGTAAAGAAAAGTAAATAAAATGAAACAAATTATATATGTGATTTAAGTGATATAATCCTAATCCTAAACTCTTATTTATACATAATTATATACAGATACGGGCCTAACGGGCCGGGCTTTTGTGGGCGGGCTGGGCCGGGCTTTCATGGGCTTAATCTGGCCGGACCTATTGGCCGGGCCGGGCCGGGCTTCAGACACCCAAGCCCAAGTCTAGCCCGGCCCAAGGCGGGCCGGGCCATCTCAAAGCCCATAACGGGCCAGGCCGGGCTTTTTCCCAATGGGCCGGGTGGGCCCCCATCGCCCCATGAGCCCGTGGGCCAAATGATGAGGCCTACTTTGAGTGTATTTAGAAGCTCACTAAAACAAAACTTATACCCAAAGTTCTAATTTATGTTTTGTTTTTTCTTTCATCCACATCCTGTATGAAAGTAACTTTCTCAACAGGATAAAACCCAGTGGAAAAAAGCTATTGATTTACCGACTAGTGATCTCGTGTTCAAATCTCTATGGCACTGTGTGTATGAGAAGCCTCATTCCTCCTTGTAGTTTAGACTATCACTTGTGTTTGGAAAAAAAAAAGTATGAAAGTAAGTTTAGCTATGTGTCTATATAACATGCATTTGGAAAAATCCCGTTTGAAAAACACCATTCACAATGGCAAAATCCAATGACTTTATGACTAGATTAAATTAGAGTCCTAACCCAAATTGCCAATATCAAAGCTTGTGATACTAAACAAAGGCAAATGTGGCATTTCTTGTTACCCGAAGAATGTTCTGAGCTCTTCTTTAAGAGGGTTGGTAATTAACTTGGGTTTAGGGATTGTTGTTCACCAAACATAAACCCAACTTTGGGAAAAGGAAGAGCATTAGGGTTGGTGCACCCTCTTGTTTGACCGTAGTCCTTTACTTGCTCTCCATCCATCCATACATAAAAATCCAACCAATGAGAATTGAGAAATTCCAAGAGTAAAACAAGTTTTGGACAAAACAAACAGACATTTGCAGGTTTGAAAAAAGGGTCAAGCCACTTTTGCAGTCCTCACAGAAACAGTACTGCCCCTCTTTTTCAGTCCTTAAATGGAGACGGTTTCTTTGGCAAGCCAACCACCATTTTTTATCTCATCAACTCAATAAAGTCTCAAAAAATCTTTATATATGCACAAAATAATACCAAAAAATGGCTTCTTCTTTTTTGTTGGTAACAGTCAATATTCTTTTTGACATGATCAGAGGATATGATAGGCTGCTGCTGCTGCAAAGTCTGCAACCTGCAGCTCTTGTCTGTCACTGAGATATGGTTTTGGTTTTGCTCTGTAGGGCTCTCAGTCTCTCCAGTTAATGATTATAAAAGACACCATCGACGAAATCGTACCCCTTTAACCTCTCAACTCATGTCACACTTTTAGACAAGAGAGACAACACACCCCAGCAGAGAGTAACATTACATACAGAAGTTGAAGAAAGCAGAGAGACTCTGCGTCTGAGAGCGTGAGCTCCATTAGCCTTTTGCTTTCTCTCCAACAATGGCTGTAGGAGGTGGAGCACAAAAGGTGGATGAGTTCCAACCACACCCTATCAAGGACCAACTTCCCGGCGTCGACTTCTGTGTCACATCTTCTCCTCCATGGCGTACCTCTCTCTCTCTCTCTCTCTCTCTCTCTCTCTCAAATACACACACACAGAGCACTACCCTGTTTCCATTACATTACCTTACATGGATTATAGGATAAAGTTTCCGTTTTTGTTTTTGGGTCAAAAATCAGTGTGAAAATATATGTATCATTTTGGTTATGGTACTTGTAAATATTCTCGGTTTCTGGGTAATGTCAGTTTTGTTTGGTTACCAAGAAAAAAAGGGATTGTAAGAAAAGAAAATGGTTTGCAAAGACTAGTCTCTGTGAGAATATTTGATAAAGTTGAAACCTTTGCTAACATAGTGCTTTTCTCTCATCTCTAAATAGTGAATACACAAATCCCATCAACTTTATCGTCCCTTTGTGTTTTAGTGTTTTCTCTTGAGGCCTTAAATTTTGTGATTCTACCTCTTCCAAGTTTCACCCCTCTCTCTCTTTCTCGTTTTCCTGCATCTCCCGGCAAACATATCAGAGCATTCCATTTGGAAAATGTTCTGTTACTTTTTTTAGACTCCCATGTATTTTATATTGTGTTGTCTGTTTTCTCTGTCCCCCTAAGTTTTCTTCTTTTCCCGCTAAAGATTATCTTTTGTGATACTATTAGCTAACATTTGTTTGGTTGGATGCAGCTCAAAACCCCGCTGTAACCATATATGTATCATGTTTACTATATATTACTTCTACATAATCTTAGCTTTTTGGGTAATGTTAGTTTTGTTTGGCTACCAAGAAAAAGGGATTGTAAGAAAAGAAAATGGTTTCCAAAGACAAATCTTTGTGAGAAAAGAAAACGAAAGGAAGTTTGGAATTGGATAAAGTTGAATCCTTTACTAATACAGTACTTTTTCTCATCTCTGAATAGTAAATACACAATAATCCAATGAACTTTCTCTTCGCTTTGTGTTTCAGTGTTTTCTCTTGAGTCTTTTACGTTTGATGATTCTACCTCTTTCAAGTATCACCCCTCTCTGCCTCTCTCTTTTTTCTGCATTTTCCTGCAAACCAATCAGAGCATTAAAGTAATTCCATTTTGGCCTACGTTCTATTCCTTTGATTAGGCTCCCCTGTATGTTAACATTTGTTTTCTGTTTTCTCTCTCTAAAATTTTATTCTCTTCCCTCTAAAAGTATTATATCTTGTTATACTATTTACTAAAATTTGTTTGATTGGTTGCAGCTGAAGCCATACTTTTGGGATTTCAGCATTTCCTGGTAATGCTTGGGACCACTGTGATCATTCCAACCATACTTGTCCCTCTAATGGGTGGTGGCGATGTAAGACCACTTTCAGAAGAAAAATCTTACCTTTTTGTTTCCCATTTCTGATTCATGCTTGCATGGTCTTTCCAACATTAAGTGCTCTACCTTTATGTTAATAGGTGGAGAAGGCTGAGGTGATAGAAACTTTGCTCTTTGTTGCGGGTATTAACACACTCTTGCAGACTGTGTTTGGGACTAGGCTTCCTGTTGTGATGGGGGGTTCTTATGCCTTCATCATCCCTGCTGTCTCCATTGCTTTATCCAGGAGGTTCAGTGTATACATAGACCCCCACCAGGTTGGTCTGATCCAATTTGTCATTTTCCTTTCTCCTATTTTCAGCACTCTATTGGACTCTAGGGCAGAATTTATGGATGGTAAGGAAAGGGTTTACATGGAAATGATTACCATGTACTCTTTCTTTCTTTCATGTTTGATGACTTATAAAGGGAGCCGGATGGATTTGATGTCCTGTATTTTTTAGTTCATTTGTACTTATGGTCTTTCTTATGGGTTGTGAATGTTTTGTTAGAGGTTTAAACAATCCATGAGAGCAATACAAGGAGCAATCATAGTTGCATCTTTCTTCCAGATGATTCTTGGCTTTCTGGGGTTTGTGAGAATTTTTGGGAGGTAGGTTGTGGCACTAAAGCTATTAGAATCTGATGATGTGCTTATTACTTATTACTGTGTGTAAGAAAGAACTTGATTATTGATGTGGCTTGATGCAGGTTTCTTAGCCCTCTCTCTGCAGTTCCTCTTGTGACGCTTACTGGACTAGGGTTCTTTGTATTTGGTTTCCCTCAGGTAGCCATGCTGAACCCTTCATTGCCTTATTGCTCATTGCAAATGATTGGTATATATGAAACTACTTCTATTTTCCCTCATGCACACCATGAGTTCTGATTCATTTTAAGTCAACAAATCTGATATGTTGGGGTAAAAATTAACATGGATTATATTCCAAGGGATTGTGCCTATGTGAAAGCCTGGTGGTAAGCCACCAAATTGACAGGACCCATCTGAGGTACGAGTCAGTTAGTGTTCCTTGAACTTGCATAGGAATAAAGAAATAGTCTGAAACATTGTTATACATTTTGTAATAAATTAGCTCTGGTTGATTTTTATTTAGATATCACTGTAGGTGGTTGAGAATAGTTTTGCAAAACTTTTAAACTTTTAATCTCAAAGACTCTTTTTAGTTTCTCTTTCAACTAAATGGAGGTATTACTTTGTTTGGATCATCACATCCTTCCTTCCTGCTTGATGGTTGCAGCTGGCAAACTGTGTTGAAGTTGGACTACCAGCATTGATTATACTGGTTTTTCTATCGCAGGTAGGCAGAATCCTCAACTATCATTTTCTTGCAGTCATCTTCAATTTAATTATCAATTTATCAAGTTATATTGTTTTATAGAATGTAAATCCTGCATATCTACTCTGATTAATTGTCTCTTCTAATATTTAACCATTGTTACTGCAGTACACGATGAAGTTAAAACTGCCTATATTTCACCGATTTGCAGTACTATTTTCTGTTGCAATTGTATGGGTATATGCAGAAATTTTGACTGCAGCTGGTGCATACGACAAAAGATCTCCTATAACTCAAAGAAGTTGCCGCACTGATCGTTCTGGGCTTGTTAGCTCTGCTCGTTGGTAAGCTTAAAGTCATGTTTTGAGTAATCATAGGATCTTATTACTTTTCTGTTTGGGAATAAAAGCGAAAACTGAAGTCTGATTATCATAGGTCATTTACTCAGGCTCCGTAAACAATTCCCCCCACTCCTATTTAGTTTCATGTTCCAGAAGTGTACTCCTGCATTGTCAAAACTCTTGTATCATTGTAACACAGTTATATAAATATTTTTCTTAATTTAGAGAGATGAACAATAGTATGACATTGAATAATGTTTCTTCTTTTCACCATATGTAGGATAAGGGTTCCCTATCCATTTCAATGGGGGCGTCCTGATTTTAATGCTGGTGATGCCTTTTCAATGATGGCTGCAGCTTTTGTTGCCATTGTTGAGGTAAACACTTATGAAGTTCATTCTTGTTTTCTTTATTGAATTTCCTATTCTCATTTTGATACTTCAAGATTACAATTATGCATACAGATGTTCATTTTACATAGTATATATACATAAAGTAGACCAGACATCCTTGTTAAGATGTCTTTAGGAAACTTTTGTTGGTATGCCTTCAGATATGGTTTTCTTGACACTGTTACAAAGAATAAAATATAAATTAAATGCACTTGTGATTTGTAAGGATGCGTTGTGTAACTTTCTCATTGTATGTTAATGCTATCTTTTTATTTGAAATATGATTCTCTATGAAAGGTTTGTAAAATGAATACACAGTACCTTCATTTGCCCTGACATATCCTTTCTCCCTTTCATTTGGGGCAGTCAACCGGTACCTTTATTGCGGCATCAAGATATGGGAGTGCCACCCCTCTACCACCTTCTGTTCTCGGCAGAGGTATTGGCTGGCAGGTAGGAAGTGGTCCTATGAATTGCCATGTTAACCACAACTTTATAGTTAGATTGTAGACACTTTGTAATTGTTAGTTCTGCGACACTTATTTGGTCTTGTAAAAATTTCAGGGCATAAACACTTTTCTGGATGGCATATTTGGCACATTAACTGGCTCCACGGCATCAGTGTAAATATTTAACTTATGAAGTTATGACATCCTTTGTTGTAGAATTCTGGGATGAGGACAAATGCTTCTCTGGCTCAACTACAGTGTGCATAATCAATTTGTAAAAGGTTTAACTGGCTTACAAGTGCATAGCCAATATTGCTAGAATGTCATATTACCTTTACCAATTTTTTATCACTGGGCATATAAAAAAGATGAACAAAGTGCAAAGATGTTGATTTATACGAAATCTGGAGATTGCTTAACGCAATTGTTGGATAAGTTTGTCTGCATATAATCCTGTAGAACAGTACATTAGTCACAGTTCTCGATCTATATTACAAGGGCCCATAGTTTTGTGCATTGAGTGCGTGGGTGCCCTAGTTGTAGGCTTTTAGCTCACTGCATTTTCTAGTGAAAATATATCTAAAGAAGAAATAATTGTTGACTCAGAGAGAAATATTTGCCATATTGTGTAAACATGTGATCTAATGATCTTACCCTGTTTTTCTAGTGAAAATGCAGGTCTTTTGGGATTAACGCATATTGGAAGTCGGAGAGTAATTCAAATATCGGCAGGCTTTATGCTCTTCTTCTCTGTATTAGGTTCGGTGTTCCGTTTAGCAATCTAAATCTTGAATATTCTGTATTTTGTTGGGCTAACTGTTTATCTAATTTGGATACTTAATTTCTCAATAAGAATATAAACTAAGTGAGTGCAAGCAGGAGCTTAGCATGTTATTGACTTTGCTTACATTATGTGGTCTAAGGTGTCATTAATTATGTCATTCACAGGAAAATTTGGGGCTGTTCTTGCTTCTATACCATTACCTATTGTGGCAGCTTTGTATTGCGTCCTCTACGCCTATGTTGGTGCGCATTTCATTCCTATATCATAACTATGTATATGTTTTATCGACTTTTTTTTATATAGTTTATGCGAACATACTATGAATAATTCTCAGTTTATAGTCTATGCTTGGTCACATATAAACTATAAACTGAGAATTTTTATCTTAAATCTTGTTGGAAATGGATTTGCTTATAAGAGGATCTGACAGATCCTCTAAACTGAGCATATGTATTTGAAATTTTGATGATATGTACTGTCTGGTGTGCAGCTTCTGCCGGTCTTGGTTTGCTCCAGTTCTGCAACCTAAACAGCTTTAGGTCAAAGTTCATTGTTGGCTTTGCTCTCTTCATGGGTCTTTCTGTGCCCCAATACTTTAACGAATACCTCGCAACTTCTGGTCATGGTCCTGTTCACACTGGTTCTACTTGGGTAAGTAGTTGAATTGCAATTTATCTTCAAAGATTCACTGTTGTCTTACAGAAAACTCTGCTAACACCTGAATGCTGGTTATTTACTCTTGCAGTTCAACAATATAGTGCAAGTAATTTTTTCATCCCCAGCAACAGTGGCAATTATAATTGCTTTCTTCTTGGACTTAACTGTCAGTCGCGGACACGGCTCAACTCGGAGAGATAGTGGCAGACACTGGTGGGGAAAGTTCAAGAATTTTGGCTCAGATACTAGGAGTGAAGAGTTCTACTCATTGCCATACAACCTTAATAGGCATTTCCCATCAGTTTGATGCTAAGCATCCTTTCACTCCATCCAATACTTTTCATTAATGAACAGCTCAAATAGAGGAAACTAAGGAAGAGCGTCTTGTGTTTTGTTGTCAAGTTGACAAAGGAAAAAAAAGAGGATATGTATAGGAGCAATTTGGAATGGGAAAAAATCTTGGTAATTGAATACACACTGAGCTTGTAATTATGTTCTTATAGCTGAAAACTTGGTATTACATTTGTAATGGAGCTTGGAAACCCTCTAATTACTGATTTTTCAAGAATTTGATATGTTGTGAAGAGAACAACTTTATATTGGAATTGTTGCTGGCATTCTGTCACAAACAAAAGACTAGTTCACTTTTGGGGTTTGGCTTTATTCTCTGTGGTATCAAAGGATCTGTCAATCTGATGTCTTTGCCTTGTTCTGGTGTAAATGTATATCTTAAATCTTATTGGAAATGGATTTGCTTATCTGGGGTTACCTTATCCTAATTCCTTAGGGTTTAAGATACACAATACAATATGAATATTGATTATAAATAGACAAGTAGATTAACATATAAACCCCTAGGGAATTAGGATAAGGTTATCTAAATAAGCAGGCAGAGTGGATTCAGAATTGTATTTCTGCATTGGCATTATTGGAGCCACATCAAAAGTTGGGTTTCTGAATGGACTTAAAACAAAGAACTGTACCTAGGAATCAAAATAGAATCCAGGTAACCAATTGAGAACAAAATCCAAACCCAAAGCTAGCTGGCTGTAGTACTTTGGTATCTAAAAAGAACCAGCAAAAATTACATACCAGTAAATAAATGAATTTCAAATTCCAACTCCAAAAAAAAAAAAAAATAAAAAAAAAATTCAATCCACATTGCTGGGGGTTAAGTGGGATCCAAAGTCACAAGGCCTCTGTTTTGTCACTTCCTTGTTTTTTGTGGTCTGCACTCTGCTCTATTCTTTTGCTGTCAAATGAAGCACAGTCAACTTGGACATCTTCCATATCATTCACAGTGGTGCACATTGCTTACATTTTGTGTTGGAAGTTACAATGCTTATGAATGTGAGTAAATCTTTCTAATCTTCAAGTAAAATGAAAACTTCAATTTTTTTTTTTTTTTTTTTTTGTCTCATTTATAATATTTGAATTAAAAATATACTTGCATAAAGTGAAAAATCGGTGTTACTAAATTAGATGATCATGTATGTAACTAGCACCAGAACTAGGTTCGGGCCTTAACACAACTAGCATAGTATGAGATGAGTAAGAAGAGGGGTAAATCTTTCAAATTTTCATATAAATAGAGAACTCATAATTTTTTAGGTCAATGGTAGTTTTTATTTTATCAAAGAACAACTTCATTATATGATCGTCAACAATACAAACTATGATATCATCATGACATTCAAAGAACCAAGCTTAAGAGAGCAACATGACTAACACGCTAAAAAGCAAAACTAAAGCAGATAAAAGCCGCACTAACAACTGCTAACCCACATCATTACAATTAATCATAATCTCAATCAAACCGCACAAAAAAAGTGTCATAGGTCCTATTCAAGATTGGCTACAAGAAGAATGATTTTTTATTATTATTTAGTTTTTATAAAACAACCCACCTGTACCCCATCCTATCATTTTGGCATTTTGATACCACAAGATATCCATATGCATATATGTGACCATTCGACCATCATTTTCAAGTTACATTAAGTTGATGCAGACTTGGGGGAACACAAAACATATAAGCTGTCATTTTAAATAACGACAGTAGACCAGAGGAAAAGTCATGTGCACCTCTGATATTTTTGAGCCATTGTTGAAGAATTAAATACTCAACTTAGCTTGCCCCAACTTTTGGTCTGTTTTATTTTCCCACAAAATTATGGATTTACCATCTATCTTCTCCACCTACCGCCCTCCTCTCACCAATTGAGCTAAAACCCTAGAACACGTTTCACCTATATAAATATATATCGGAGTGACCGTGATGTTTTTAGTTTTAAAATTTTGCTTAAAACAGGCAATGCTACAGAGCTTGATCTATTTCTATACACATGAAATGTCTTATAATGTAAAGCTAGGGGTGAAGAGAAAGGTTAAGACTAAGATAAATCATGGGTCCAATCTCATCCCAATGTACAAGAAAGAGATGTCTTATAATGTATGTCACATTTTATTTGATTAACGAGGAAAATCTTGGCGACTCGCTTTTTCATTGCACAAAATAAGTTTCGAATATGCATAATCATGTGTAAAATACACGTACAAGAGTTTAGACCAAAATCATTAACAGCTCGTTATATGCTAGTTATTTTACCACTCAGCTACTCGCGGGGGTAATGCAGGTATGTCAGTTATTTTTTTGGGGTAAAATTAAATGTGTGCGACATAAAATTCAGAATGTAGTGGCCATCATGCCCAATCTGCTTTCAATGTGGAATCCATCGAGGCTTGAAAAATAAATAACTAAATAAATAAATTCTTCTGGTTGACATTTCTTAGCATGGTTTTTATTGACATGGTTTAGACCAGGTGTGGGCCTATTGGGCTACTCTCTGATTGACGGTGGTGGTTTCCGACCAATGTTCAAACGGTGGTACGTTACGCTTCTAAACCCTATTTCGCACGTAATAATTTAACTTTGTTCAAAGACATAATAAGGAACTAAAAAACAAAATTTCCTCCAGGAGGATGCCACCTATTGTATTGAACCTTGCAGCTGTCCCGTGGAAAGTTCTCTCCATCGAATGAAAAAATAATGAGAGAGAAATAAATCTACCTGTATGTCAAATCAAATTCATTTTAACGCTTTTCTAAATTTTAATTTTGTTCATATTAAAATCTCAATTGAATATATCGATTATTATAATTTAGCTTAAAACTCAGTAGAATTATGATAAGTTGCTTAAAAATCAGTTGAATTCCTTCGGTTTTAATGGGTTTTCACACCCTATAATCAGCATTTAGTTCGTGTAAGTTGGGTTTTGAAATTAGCACGCAATAACTTTGGATTGGATTGAATTGGTTAGTTTAATAGGTTTCGATTGAATTTTATGCACACTTATGGTCTACTTGCGAGTGCTCTTTATGAATTGGTTTCATCAATATCAATTTTGTTAGAAACAGGTTTTAACAAAATAAAATGGAGAATGCTAGCGGCCTCATCTTTGTTTTCACAATCTACTGAAGTGATCATCCTATACTAGAGGTAAACATGACTGAGACAAAATAAATAGAACATATGTTTTTCTCTACAATGTTGTATGGTAATTCGTGGTCATTCTTGCCAAAAAAAAATTAAAAAAAATTGGAAATTGTTTACCGATTTCATTAATTCTGTGATGGGATGGTTTAGTTTATAATCAGGATGAGACAGAAGATACCGCAATGAAATAGAAGATACCTAACATTTTCATTCAAGACGCGTAGCAGCAAGCATTCAGTCTCTACTACGTCTTGTCCTCCCTTCACACCATCTCTGATACAGATACAGCATCCTCTCTCTGTCTATCTCTCTTCAGCCAACCAACACACACAAACAAACAAACAGACAGACAAACAGAAGAAAACACACAAAAGTGCAACAAAATAAAGGAAAGAAAATAGCCAACACACACCACCACCACACAACAGTCTCACTCTGAGAGACAGCAAGCGAAACCTGCAAAAACACAATGCCTCCTTATGCAACCCAGCCATGACCAAACCCAACTCTCCTCTAACCCAATGTCTTCCTCTTCCTCCTCCTCCTCCTACGACACCTCCAACTCTGTCGTCTCATCCCATCACTCCCCACCGTCCGATGAAACCGACGACACCGCCGCCATCCTCACCCGTCTGATCGACTCCGAGCTCAATCACATGCCCTCCCCAAACTACATCTCCCGCCTCCGCGACCGTTCGATCGACGTCACCGCTCGCCAGGACTCAATCAACTGGATCTTAAAAGTCCACGCCCACTACCGCTTCTCTCCCCTCACCGCCTTCCTCTCCATCAACTACTTCGACCGCTTCCTCTCCTCCCATTCTCTCCCGGTAAATCACTCTCCTCCCTTTTCCGAGAAAACGTCGCATTTTCCGGGAAACTGTCCCTACGTGTCTGACTTTTCGCTTGCTTATTTATTTATTTATTGCTGCAGCAGCACAATGGGTACTGGCCGTTTCAGCTGCTGTCTGTAGCTTGCTTGTCTTTAGCGGCGAAGATGGAGGAGCCCAATGTGCCCTTCATTTTGGACCTCCAAATCTTCGAACCCAAGTTCGTGTTCGAGCCCAGAACGGTTCAGAGAATGGAGCTCCGGGTCATGACCATTCTCAACTGGAGGCTCCGATCCATCACCCCCTTCGATTTCCTCCACCACTTCATCGCCAACCTCCCCTCTTCTTCTTCCTCCTCCTCTCTCTTCTCAGCTTCCTCCGATCTAATTCTCAGCACCACACGTGGTAATACATAGAAATAAATATAACCCAGTTTTTATTTTGTATTTGTTTTTGGATTTTTGGTGTTTAAATTTTGTTTTTTTTTTATACTGTATTTCAGTGATTGATTTCTTGGGTTTTTCGCCTTCCACGATTGCCGCGGCGGCGGTGCTCTGCGCCGCCCAAAAAAGCGTCGACTTTGCGGCGGCGGAAGACCGTGAAGCGGCGTCGTTGTTCCACGAAAGAGTAAACAAAGTATATATAAATCCACCGCGGGGTCTTCTTAGCAAAGCTTTGACTTTTCCCGAGGCTGTTTTGTAAATAATTAAATTTTGTTTTTATTGAGGAATTCGAAGAGTTTTGAAGGCATAGAAAGCTGTGTTGACAAATCCGCGCGGTAATAAAAATTTGTGTTTCTGTTTTTGTCTTTGTTTTTTGTTGGGGACAGGAGAGGGCGAGAAGCTGTCACCAACTCATGGAGGAGTATCTGATCGACACGTGTCCCTCGTCCCGCCATAAAGAGCCCGTCGTTGGAACGGCGTCTTCGTCCCCAGCCAGTCCAGTCGGGGTGCTCGACGCGGCTGCCTGTGGAAGTTGCGACACTCGGTCAGAAAATCCCGGCTCCACCGTCGAAGCCGAGCCGCCAGCAAAGCGGCTTCGACCCTCCTCTGCCTCTGATGTACAGCCGCCGTAGATAAAACAGAGACAGAGAAATTAAAGACCCACCTATTTAAATTAAATTAAATCTGTCTCTAATTTTTTGTCCTTATATTTTTTTTGTCAACTCTCATCATGATAAGATGGACGGTTGGGATTAGAGATTATATTTAATATAATTTTTATATATTTTGAGGACGATGGGTTTTATTTTGGGTAAATTAGATTTATGGGTCTAATTTAGGGTAATGATGTTTTAAATCATGTCATGCATGTAAATTATGGATCTTCTACGAAATACGTGACGGTTTTGCCACGTGGCGGGTGAGGGTTTAATTAATGTAATTGAAAATTATTAATAAAATGGAGGGTAAAATAATAATTGTGCTGGGTTAGGAAAGGACAAGGAGTTTTGAGAGTGGTGTCGGGAGGGAGGTTTGGCGGGAATGACGTGGGGGTGATGGGTGCTTGACACGTAATGTCGGGAGGAGAGTAATTGGAGGGAAAGAATCTGAGTGGAGTTGGGGATATGGGATACAGAGAGGTGAGGTGAATCGGAGCCGTCCACGTGTAAGGAGGGAAGAGTACTGGTACGACCATATCATTATATGTGACTAGTGAGAGGCAAAGATTTGATTTGATGACTGGAGACCACAAGAGGTCACATCGGAGCGATATTTATTTTGTGTATCAAATCATGCTCTATTTTTTTTCCTTTTTTTTTGGGGTTTATTTATTTATTTTTGGTATGTGAACCTGCTGCATGATATATTAATTTTTCTTTGGGTAAATAAATGCATCACATTTTGGGTCCATAAAGAGATGTTAAGCTTTTTATCATCCTGGCGTCGAGCTATTTTTCCGCAGGACCTACCCTACAGTAGTCACCGCAGTTTTTCTAATATTGAATGCGATGAACTTCTTATGTCAAATTGAGGCCACAATTGAAAAACAACTTACAAGGTTAGATCATTCATGGAAGGTGGTCTTGATTGCAAGAGGAATTTCTGTCTGTCTTTGTGGGGAAAAGTTGGCACTCATTATTGTTTTTTTGAGAGTTACTAATAGTTGTCCAACTTGGCTTCCACGATCGGATTTCTGAGCTTTCTCTGATGTGGTTTAAGGTTAAATTTAGGGTGGAGAGGAAGTAATGGTTTGATTTGATTGTTAGTTCCTTCAAATTTTGGTCCAAGGGCATTTACTGTCAGAAAAATTCTACTATGCAATCATCTCATGCAACAACTCTTCATGTGAAAAATTCTATTTTCGTGCGAATTACGAGATTATTGTTTAAGATAATGTTTTAAATGCGACGAAAGATGATAGAAATTTGTTATCCAAACATTTGTTACTTACAATTTGTTCCGTAGAAAAAATCTTTCATATTGTCATTTCAAACTATGACTCTCGCATTCAATCATTAATGCATTAAGCACATGATAAATGAAAGTAGATGATATGCAGTGAAGAGAATTTTTCCTCTCTCACATGATAATATAATCAAAATATCAATAAAAATAAAGTATATTTTAGCTCGTCCATTTTCAAGTGAGTGTTTCATTGATTACAGACAGCGCTTGCCCAAAACCTTTGAATTATTGTGATTTTGGCCTTGACGTGGTGGGAAAATGACCTATAAACAAATGGGACAAGAAAAATTTGTCTCATGATTTCCAATAAAATAAGAGATTAAAAATTAGGCGTTGTGGGACTCATTTCCAGGCTGTATGGAAAGGTAAAGATGGGACCCAATTTCGTTAATTTTTTTTAAAAAAATACCATGAGGTGTCCCTAAACTTGAAGGGTGGAATTAATCTGCGCTTAGGATTTGGTTTGTACATGTGAGTTATTTTATAGTGAAGATATTATATATGGCTCTTAGGTGATGTTCTATTTCTTAATCGTTAAATTAGGCTAATCAATTTGATCCAACGACTAATTAATTTAATAAATAATTCGGTATAAGTCTAATTCTTATGATAGAATTTGGGTGCAATCCACACACGTATTGTTAGTAATCCAAGTCCTCTGACTTCAATGCCACGTAGGATTACATTCCTTTTCTAATTTTATGATGTAATCATATATATTTTTTCTTTTTAAATTTATTTTCATGTTCCAATTATGCCCTTATGATTTAAATCGGGAAAGACTGATTCATATAATAATAATTAGCTAATTAATACAACTATTGATTCTGATTGCAATTCATAAACGAGTAAGAAATTGATTTTAGGCCAATAATTACTATATTTGACATTTTGGTTAATTATTATTTGAATTTATAAAATATTTTATTGTCTATCCATTTTAATTTTGAAAATTTCATAAACATGTGCTGATACAAAAAATAAATAAACAAATTTCCTATAATCTTTCTTCTTCATCTTGTTCATCTTCTTCTTTCTTCTTCCTTGTTTTTCTTCTTACAATCCTGTAGAGGAGGTATAATTATCTATGGACTAGGAATATACATGAATGTTAATTAGGTATGGATAGGTAAATTACCTATGGAGGAGGTATACATATGAATGCTATTTATCTATGGAGGAGGTATACATATGAATGTTAATTACCTATGGAGGAGATATATGATATGAAATTACCTATGAAGGAGGTATACACAAACTTGCAAAGCAGGTAAATCAAACCACCCGAAGACATATATACCTCACCACAAGGTATTCACTAGTTGAAAACTTTTGATAAATTAAGATTAATTGTAGAAATGTGATATTAATTTATTGATTGCAGTAATTAATAAAATTTAGAGGATTGACTGTACAATGGCAATATGTGTAAATGTTTTAAAAACGGTGACCAAGGCTTTGTATACTTGGATGTCCTGTTGAGTCATTGGACCCAATTCTGCGTCAAAAGAGAGGTGGATTGCATTCATAATGCAAACTCAGAATTGGACTTATATTGAAAGACCGCTTAATTTAATCCAACGATTAAGAATAGAGTCTTACCTAAGGTTTATATAAGTAATGTGGTTAAGAAGAGTTTTTGTGTACATGTGAAATCTGGGCTTGGGACAAGAACTGGGCCCCCACAGAGGCCCACAAACCTAGGGCAGTTAAGGAGCTTATGATAAAGGCCACTCTCCAGAGAGAGAGAGAGAGAGAGATTATGACCCTGCAATTGTAGGACAAAGGACCTTTCCAAAGTTGTCCTTGGAGAAATGGGAAGAGGCCAAAGCAAGAGACAAAAGGGCATTAACAACCTTCACAAGAACCATTCATCCACCCACCCACCAATAGCATCTCCAGTGCTCTCTACTGATTTCTTATCTTTCTTTATATAAGAAATCAAATGAGAGAGAGACCAAACAAGTGTTTTGCCCTGCATGTCTGTGTGATTGGCATCTCTATCTTTCTTCTGTCCTTTGAGGAACCCCCTCATCAATGTGTTCTTGGAAAAATTTGCAGGCTTGTTTCACCATACACATAAATCAGCCACAGATCACATGTATTGGGTAAGTTTTGGTGTTTTTTTGTTAGTAAAAAAGGAAGATTCGAATTCAGAGCTTGTAACTTTTACGACTTGTCTAGCACACACCATTTTACGGCCATTAAATTTAGAATCTATGTGAACTTTTCAATTACAACATTGTAACACTTTCAATTATGCATCATATATGTTCAAACAACAGGAAGAAAACAAAACAAAAAGGAGCGAAGGAGGGAAAATCCTTGGATCTGACAAATACAAGACCTAAAATTAAGCAAATTAGAATAGTCAAAGTTTCACATCAAGGTGGAAAGTCACAAGTGCAACCGTGAAAGATATTCACCTTTTGTCTAAGTTTTCTAGTTGCGTTTGACAATTGACATTGGTATTGAGATTAGATGACATTGTTACACTATAAATAAAGTAGCAAATCCAAAATGTGTTGCCACAAAATCTTCAACTATAGATTATGTATTTGAAATTGGGTATTGGGTATTGGGTCCCAACTCAAATTGCCTAAAAAGGGTGCATTATTGGTTTTACTACATTCATCATAAGATTGAGACAACATACTGTAAAAGGAAAAGGAGCCAAAAAAGGAATGGTAGTTGTTATTCTCTTTTTATTTTTTTTATTTTTATTTATCAATTGAGATATGTAGGTGTGATATTTGACCGTAATATCTTTGTGATTTTTTAAAATAAATAAGAAAGTGATTTATTTGTAAACATATAGGATCAACTTCAATCCAAAATGCTTGCTTGAAGTTGAATTGGAAATTAATCACCGAAAATTTTGTCAATTTAAAAGTAATAACGTGTCATGTACCACATCATTTGATAAATCTGTTGTATCTAACATTATTATTTGACATTTTTCAGTTCGTTAAAAACACCGTCCCTAAATCTGAGACTCACACGGATTGAGATAGGGTTCAACATATTCAACAAATTTGACTAAAAATACCTACCAAAACAGTTGGGACAGCTGGGCCTAATTATTTTTCGTACATATTTTCACAATAGGGATGGAGTTTTTTCTTATAATTTCTATTTTCATTATCTTTAATGTGTACAAAAATAATATGATTGAACTTTCAAGTTTGATGAGCAAAATAATGAGATATTGGAGGATACTATTAGGAGTAAGTGCATGGAATAGAAAATCAAAGAAAAATTAGGTATTAGACATAACTATCTTTACTAATTAGTAGTTGAGATAAACAATATTTCTGTTTGGGTTTTAATACCTAGGAATAAAATTTTGTTTTGGATTTGGCCAAAGAGGAGGCCCAGATTCGTTGGCCTACCTTATATTAATCACTGAAAAGACAATTATACCCTTTTTGTTTAAAAGATTCGTTGGCTCATCCCTTCGGCCTTCGCCGGCAACTCCAAGGTCTTCTGGCTCAAGATGAAGAGCATTACGATCGCTATCTTGCTGAGTTCAAGATCGGCGCCAAGCACAATGACCAATCAACCCTATTTGATCTCATTCTGGTACGTCAAAACCCTATATGAACTCTAATAACGATTTGCTTCTTGGTCACGATTGTAGTGTTTTAAAGATTATGTTGCTTTTTTGCAATTGTAATGTTGGGTGAACCCTCAGTGTGTATTGTTGAACTTTCATTTGTAGAATTGTTAAGTTTCCTATCCCACAAACGATTAAGGTGAAATTAATTGGGAAAATGATTCGTATCAAAGAAAAAGGGAAGATGTTTTATTTTATTGACTAAATTCTATTAAACTGTTATGCAGCCTTCAGGTACTCATGTTTCCTTTGCTCTATTCCTATTCAATTATCGTTAGATCTTTTCAAGTAAGAAAATCCAGTTATTGAGTGCACCCCTGAAGGCTGATTAGCCTATGCTAGGTAAAGGCTGTTGGCCTATAGCTCATTTTATCCTTCCCACTTAAGAATTTTATAATTTGATTCTCTTTTTTTTTTGCTACACAAGATAATTGATGAATTGTTGATTCATTAGTAAATCTATCGTATTTTCATATGATACCTTGACAATAAACAAGGTAATTCTGACTTCCTAAATAGTAAACTGGTGATTCAAGAACTGAGAATCCACAGAATGCTTTGCAAGTCAATTGGTTTCAATAAAATGTCAAATTTCGATTTTCTTCTTTATTGCTGAAAAAGTTCACATACACGTTCTCTGGTCTTCACTTGCATGTTCACTGCTTTCTAAATTGCTAGGTTGGTATGCAGTTTTCACTCTAATTTGTTGTGAACTTAATGTTATAGCTCGTAAGGATTTCATTCTTATAAATAAATAAATTTTTTGATTTTAATGTTTCTTTTTCCCTTTTTGATTTTAATGTTTCTTTTATCCCAGAACTACTATCCAAATTTGATTTTAATTTATTGTTTGCTTTATAATGCAATTATTTATCTATTCTCACACATTTGTAACAATCATGCAAGACGTATATGAACAAAATAAAGAGTTGATTTTACTTGGAGAGAGGGTTGTTCTTGCAACTCTTGCTTTTGATCTTAATGTAAACCATCCATATAAACTGCTGGTTGAGGCAATAAAGAAATTCAAAGTAGCTCATAGTGCCCTTGCTCAAGTTGCATGGAATTTTGTTAATGACGGGTATGGTTCTCTTAGTTCATATATCTTGCTTGTTCTTCTTGGCCTTTCTTCAGTTTCTTCTTGAACTTGGAATGTGGTATTGTATAATTATGCTTGTAGCTTACATGTTATAGTCTTTTGTTTTAGGATCAAATCATGTGGTAACAATTTGACTTTAAAAGGATGGCGCCTCACAGTAAGTTTTTGATGGCTGGATAGATTTTTAGATTCCTACAATTAGAAATTTTGTTGTGTCTGTTTGGATAATTTCTTTTCTTTAGTTTCCAATCCTATATTAACACAATGGTAATATATATATGTTGAATGCATCAAAGTGACATTCTTTATGAATTTTGAAACTCAATTGTTCGTTGTTGTCTATCTCTGAAGTTGAGAATCTCAAAATGACCAAATTCTTATGTAAATTCATAATCTTTATTCTTTGCTGGGCCTATTATGCCTATTGAAGATACAAATATGCTGATTAATGTGCTCTTATCAGAAACTGCAATTTCCGTTTGTTGCAATTTTTGATAAGAAACTGCAATGTAGTTTCCTGTTCCATATTTTGATTTTAGAATAATTTTTTAAAGTCTATGGGAATGTTACAACTGCTCATCTACTTATATGTATTTTGAACTTAGTTTTAGTACTTTGATCATAGCTTTGCCTTTTGGTTTCTTTTCACTTTTGGGCACATATTTTTTCATAAACTGCACTGAAGTTTCCATTTGTTGCACCTCATCTTACTCTTCTTCTTCTCCAACTTCCTTTTTTGCTTTCCCTTTCTCTGTTTTTATCTTTTGTTTTGTGTTGGCCTTTTCTTTCTTTGGTTTGTTTGCCACGACAATTTTCTTATGTAATTCTTCTTCTACGAGGCCTTTTGATGGTTTTGTTTTTGTGTTTTGTTTGTAGTTTTGGTTTTTTTATTTATTTATTTATAATTACAGTTTTTGCATGAATATGTGTTGAAATAATTTTATTTTATTTTTATTTTTTAAATCAATGATTGTTTATATAAAATATTGTGTAATTGAATAGATATCACAAAAACAAGTTTGGTGTAGTGGTTTGTGAGTGAGGCTTCCTCCTTTGAGGGTCAAGGTTCGAGTCTCTTTAATGACACAAATTATTCTATTTTTTTAGGGTGAATAAAGAGCAATGGAGTTAGTCCCCGGTTGGTCGAAGATGGGCGGCGACAGGTGGCAGTGGTTGGCCGGTGATGGGCGATGGCGGTAGGTGGCGGCGGCTGGTCGGTGGTGGTGGCAGCTGGCCTGAAGGGGGTTGACCGGCGGCGGTTGTGGTGGCTGGCCGGCGACAAGTGGTGGTGGTTGACTGGCGACGGCGGCGGTAGCTGGTCGGCGGTGGTGGTAGCTGACCGTTAGGGAGATTGCTAAAGGTAGACATGTTGCATAGTGTGCTTGCTTTTAAAGGAGTGGCATTGTGTGTAATTTTGATGTTTTTTAATTACATTATTGTAAAATTAGTACTAATTTTTGGTCTTTGGCCTTATGTTAATTAGATGAAATTGTATTTCTATATTCTAAATTAGTAAACTATATAGTGTCTTAAAATGAAAGCTCCCTAGTATCAATAATATTAAGTAGTTGTGTAAATGTCTGGACTTAAAATGGGAGGGTCGACCAAAGCGAGCCAACCCTTTGAGGTCCCACAAATTATGTCGGCCATATGTCTCGATATCCATACGGCACTCACCAAGCTAGGGTGAGAGTGGCATATTTAGCCAACCGACCCTTTTAAATTCCACCGTTAACCCACCAACTTCTATTTATACAAGCTCCTTCTCTTGTTCCTCCTCTTTTCAGCCGATGTGGGACTCAGTTGCCCATTGTTTCATTTCAAACTCACATCACTTCTCTATTTTTTTCCTTTTTCCCGTCATCCTTGTTCTCTTACAATCTTGTACTTATAGAAGAGAGAAAGCAAGAGTGAGATAAAAGAGATCCATGCAACAAAAATGTCTCTGACACCTTTGGAATTTTTTGCTTTGAATCTCGCCTTGAAAAAGACCAGCTTATTCATTAAATTCATATTATATGTCAATTAAACTAGTTGAATAAAATTAAGAAATAAAATACATTGAGCCCAATTTCAAATTTTGAACTATAAAAAAAGAAATTTCTTAACAACAAACACTTTTCTCTTTACACGTTCTCAATGATTTAATAAAGGTTGAAGCTATTTAACATGTATGGTGATTGACGATTCTTTTAGTTTTGAATTTCATGTTTTGTTTTTTGGGAAATTAATCTTGAATTTACAAATGTCTAGTAAAGATATACAGTTTTGAAAAATTCTCTGGTTTATATGGGTAAGTAAATATGTATTATTGTACTAGAATTTTTTTGTTTATTCCTATCTTGTTGTGTATAATGGGCTTGTTTGGCGCGCATGATAAAGTAGGTGAATTGGATCTAGAATCATAGTCCAGTGTTTGAAGGCCTAATGTGATTACATATTGTTTGTTTGTCTGTTTTTTGTCTATTTAAATGTAACAATATTAAATTTGAGTTCATATAATATAATTACAGTAAAAATAAATCGAATGAATGTACATAGAAGATTGATGGCCACATTTTTATGGTTCACCTAGGGCCTCTACGACCTTAGGACCGCCATTGCCTCCCACGGCTCATATTCATCACGCATTCATAACACATTCAATCAATACCAATGCCCTTGCGCTATGCGTCAAAGGGGTTTCAAGCAATAAAAGCTACATACATTTTTAACATAAATGATCTTCATATCAGAAGTATGCGTAACATGGGCATGCTATTGTAGAACTTGTTAGAACACAACACTAGTGTGACATATGGAGATCGGCATGATCTTCGAATTCAAATTGATGAGTCTATAGCTGAAAAGTTTTGCACAGCACAAAGGCAAAAAGATTATAAAAAAAACAAAATCTATAAACTTGGCTTCACCGAGGAAAAAGCAGGCCAAAGCAAATGCAAAGAAAAATATTGTAACTAAGATCAAGAAAATGGCTGTCTAAGATATTGCAGCGGGGGAGGAGTTTGAGTCGATGGCACATGAATCTTAATCTTGATAGATGTATGATCATGGAAATTAATATTTACCGAATATGTTAGTTTCTTAAGCATGCCCCTAAGATTCTTGTGCCTTCAGCTCAGCCTCCACCTCCGCCTTCACCTTTATGTTGGTTAGTCATTTTCTTCCGTTGAGATATATATGTTTCTTTGCATTTGCCTTGGCCTTCTTTCACCTTTGTGAGTTACACAAATAACAAACAAAATCGCATATTTGGGTTAGGCCAGTTGGTCAAGGTAGTGATTCTATCCCTTCGCACTCAAGTTTGAATTTCTCTCTGTGTAAATTAGGTTAATTTAGAGTAGATTATCGCTTCTATAAAAAAAACAGAACCTAGGTGTCAGGGAAAACCATTCCATATAATTGATTACAATAATAACAACATTTATAAAGCATGTACTTCTTACACACATGTCCCCATTAGGGTTTTGGAGTTTCAGAAAAGTTGATAGCTTCTTTCTCCATGGTAGGACTAATCTTATAAAGATGCTGCAAATAGTCACCCACAACCACCTTCTTATACTCCTCATCACTCAAGGAACAATCCCTAATGGGCTCAATCTCAGTTTAGGGAGATGGATTATAAAACAAAGCCACTGAAAACCGATCTATGTCCATTTGGGTCACAACCCTATGCCACGGGCTCTTCAACCTCCCATTGCTCATGATCTCTAGCAAATCTCCCACATTCACCAGCAATGCCTCTGGTGGCCAAGTCACACTGACCCATTTCATGTCTTTCAACACTTGGGAGGCCTCCGGCAGTCCCTGGGTCGAATTGCATGAGGAGGGTGAGGGCCCTGGCATCAGAATGTGGAGTTAGACCAAGGACAAAGTATGGTCTAGGACATGGTGGTTAGTAGTTGACTCTTACATTGATCTCACTTTCGTTGGGGTCAAAGTTTTGGAGGAATGCATGTCTTTCTAGCAACAAGGCTTCGGCTAGGGCATCCAATAAGTCATTCAAGATGTCTCTTGCTTCTGCAATGTATTGCTCTATCGGTTTACATGCCTGCTTCTATAGCATGCCTGCTTACCAATGTCACAAAATTGATGTGATCAGAGGCCCTCTGTGAGTTGGTCAAGAATTTGTTATAAATACAAAGTTGGGCTTAAAATCCACACAAAAAAATTTCAATTGGACTACTTTTTAAGGCCGTTTGGTTGGATAAGAGAAAAATATAGAAACGCCAAAATGTATGCTTGCATTTGCACATAGATATTATTTATGTGATGAAAGTAGGGCACCTGAAAATGGCAGGCCTTTGAGGCCAAACGTGGATCCCTTGGGTGGCTCCAGCAGGAGCTGCTTTCATAGTCACACGATCAATCCAATCCAGCGGCTGATCTTCCGACTTCACAAAGTTCCTGCCATAACCCATGTTGTCTACACTCACATAGGACAGCCCAAAGAACTCCTTAACCACATCCCTCACACCTTGCAAAACAGACCAAGTACACCGTGGTCCTTGATTACGAACATGCCCCAAGCTCTTGCCCCACTTGCTAGCTTGGCCAGCTCTTGGGCTCGGTCCTCGGGTTTGAACCGGGCCCGTAAGTTGGCCATACTTATTGACGGTAGGAACTCTGAAACATCATCAGCTAAAAATGAGGTAATCAGATCATGATCGTGTTGAAAATACGCCCTAGCAAACCTCTTAGGCAAGTGTTTAATCCCGCGAGGCGACGAGCGATTTCTTGAACCACGGGGCACCCTTGAGGTTCTAAATTGACCTTCTTGGTCTAGGTAGCTAGCTTCGTGTAAGAAATTGTCACTCCTCTCCATATAGGTTTCTCTCTAGCTAAGCTATAGCACTTTCTATTCTCCTGACATTGGCCTTTTCAGTTGTGTGCAAAATGTGCTCAATATTTGTAGGATGGCTAAGCAAATAGTGAAAGTTTGGACCCCTCCATCCACATCTTTAGTGCTAGTTGGGATTCTTTGAGTGCATGGGCAATATGAAAATGAAATTTTTGTTGGATAGGCCCAGAGCCTTTAAGAATTTGTACTGCTTTGCAAGTGGACTGGACTTCCAAAAAATTCCAAATGCCTCAGATTTTTTTTTGGGACTTCCAAAGGCCTCACTCTCTCTCTCCAAAAGATTTGATTGAGAATTAATTTTGCAAGGGTCTTGAAAGAACAAACTGATACTTCGTGTTTGTCATGTGATTGGGACAAGTTCTTGATTGTCCATATTTATGGGTGTTCCTGATGCCCACTTCCCACATGGGAGCGACCAAACACCCACTTTTGTAAGCAGGAGGTCAAGTTTCTTGGTGCCACATATTTATGTTTATCTCTATCATCTTCACCAAAAATAGAAATATTCAGTAATTAAATTTTGAAATCTCTATCCTCCACATGATTGAATAAGTGAAAGGTGCACGAGTACTATTCTTAATTGGTGTGGAACAGTACAACAACAGGGAATTGTGCAGAGAGGCCTTGATGGTTTGGATAAAGTTTATTTCACTCAGTTATCCAGGAAAATGACGATAAGAACAAAGACATGGAAATGCATCAAATGTTTATTATTATCACTGTCGAGCTCGTAAGTCATCAAACGTGTCATAGCCACTTACGAAATAAATGAACATCTAACACTAGCATACTTTGGAAATACAATTGAGGTATATATGCAATTAAGGCTTGAAGTTTTGATTGCAAAGTGTTACAAGATTCCAAAAGACTGGACATTATGAGAATCTTCGAGGATACTGAATATGCATTGAAATTTGGAGGTTTTCACTTAGGACCACGCTAGTGGTAGCCACCTGGAGCTGAAAGCTGAACACTTTCTCTCTCAACTCTTATGAGAGAGGAAAGAGAATCCTATGATCGTCAATTCATCAATTCATCATTTCCTACCACCGTCCACTTGCTAAGCAAAGCCCCAAGAATATGGGTAAAATCTCACACCACCTCGCGAGCCTGGAGGAGAAACACTGATGACCTTATCTCAATCTTGGTCCGCAAGGGCATGGTTCCCGCGAAATAATTGGGCAAGGATCCACGTGGCGTCCAATCACACCATTCCTTCTGCCCTGTCGAAATCTGCGTGTAGATACTGGCATCGCCAGTGGTCGGTGCAGCTGGCCCTCGTACACCCGTCCGTACGATGTACTCTTGCTATACGACAAATCGTGATTGTGGTTAAGGTCCCTCTTTTGGTCTTGGACCCACCTGAGCTTACTTACCAGCTGAGCTGGGGTCTATTAATCGCCCACGTGTATCGCTTTCTTTAAATAACGTAATATTTATAGAGTTATTCGTTTTATTTCTTTATGAACTTAAATCCGATTTGTATTTGAGTCCCTTAATTTTCAAAATCTTTCTCATGGTCCTTCAACTTCAGTTTCGTTGGGATAAATGGTCTTGCCATCAATTTTGTTAACTTTTCTGTTAAATGTAAGGGTAAAATAATATTTTTATATTTTTTTAAATTTTAAATTGATTAAAATATGAATAAAATATTTTTTAAAAAAAATTCAAGTTTTTAGGAATAAGAACAGGATAAGAATAATATTTTTAAAATTTTTAGTTTCTAATTTTTAATTTTATTTTTTTGGGTAAAAGGAATATTCAGAAATTGGAAATTAAAAATAATACAAAATACCATTTTACCCATGCATTTAACAAAAAAAAAAAAGTTAACAACATTGACAGCAGGATCATTTGTCCTAACGAAACTAAAGTTAAAGGACCACTGGAACGATTCTGGAAATTTAGGGACTCAAATGCAAATAGGGTCAAAATTCAGGGACTAATAAAATGAATAACCCAATATTCATATTATATATGTAAGTATGTATGTTTTAATAATAATTTCGTTTTTCATACACATTTTAAAGAATAAAGAATAGATAAAATACATATTTTTAAAAAATCAAACATATAATACACGTACATACATATTTTCATGTTTTATACACATATTTTTTAAAAAATTCAATAATACAGACAAAATTCACGTATTATACACACATTTTTCATATATTATTGAATAAAAATAATTAATTATATTAAAATATCATATAGTGGCCAAACGTTTTAGTTGTATCTTGCCAAAATTTTGCTAAATAAAACACGTATGTATTTTATTCGTGTTTTTCCCATTTCATATTTTACTAACTATCATATTCACAGTCTGACAATATAAATATACGTCTAAAGATTTAAATATGAAAATTGATTACTACTACCAAATGATGACATGATAATACCATATTTATTAGAAATTTAAGTATTACAATAAGAAGTTAAGGATGAATGACATATGTGATTAGAGAAAAATAAATTTTAATATGATTTGTTGCTTGTAGTATTGCTTCTTTGCTCAGTGGTAAATATGATACAAATAATTGTTGTATTGGATATTCAAACTTTGAACAATGTTACAATTATGAATTAGAGATTCAACAAGTTTCATAAATTATAGTTGTGACAGAGATTAAAGTTATGTTTAGTGAAAAATTAGTATATCATAATAGCTAATTTCAAGATTTTGGTTTTCTGAGATTATCATATTAGTGATTCCCCGAGGCCTACGGCAAGCATTACATTTTGAGGATAAGTGTGTTATTATGAACTAATTAAGTAGGTTAACTGCTCATCTAATTAAGTTGACCAATTCATTGAGGTAGATAAGGTCAAAACAGAGTCTGGGACCCAATGTTTGTTAAGCCCCCCAATCAGCATTTGTCAAAGCTTGGTCCATATGAGCTGGATGGGACATGGGTTACCTATTCATGGTTCAATCAAATTGAGAGAGAGAAAGAGAGAGATTTGGCCAGTTGGAGAGAGCTCACAATTTAATCTTGGATGGTGGTATACACTACTAGACACAGCATCTGTATCCCAATTTGGATGGGTTTGATAGTAACACTTCGAGGTCCCTAATGAATATCATTTGGATGGGCTATATTAATAATGAGTGATCCAAGAGGGAATGCACATGGGTTTTAAATTTTTTACTTTCATTTTCAATGCTATCATAAGTTGCCGGAATTAGCAGTTTAGTGCGTGTTGGCAAAATCTAACTGTTGATGCATTGTGAGTTCTATACTCATCAATGTCCAAATTTAATTTATGTATGCATATAGACGGCCGACCACAACATATATCTATGCATATATGTACATGGCACTATTGACTTGAGTACTCATAGACCATGCACCAATTATTATGGTTAAACTTGTTGATTATACGTTATGCGGCTATGGATAAGTTTAACACCTATTATTGTGGCCTTTTATTTTGACCGCCACATGCGTAATATACTTTGCTTTCCTTAATTTATAATTAGGGTGATGAGCTATTCAAATATAATAAGATGCCTATATTAGGGCACATTGTGGTTCACAGTGATTTATACATAAAAATAGGAGGAGAAAAAGAAAAAAGAAAAAGAAAAAGAAGATAAATGAAAAGGAAGATGGGAAGGAAGCTAACATTGGAACTTTGAAAGGAGGACCAAAATTAAGAATATATATCAGAATTCACAAGTGACAATATTTAAAATGGAGCTTTGAAAGAGCAATTTAGGTTGAAGTGCGTGTGCACGTGCAGACATGTGTGTAAATATGTGGGGAATTCTGCATTATGCATATGCACACGTGCCCACATGCGTGTGTGAGTCCTTAGAGGTAAAGAGTAAATCCCTGCACAGCACTATTCTCTCTTGAAAAGGAGAGAGAGAGAGAGAGAGAGAGAGAGAGAGAGAGAGAGAGTTAAATGTGATTGCATGTGGATTCATAAACACCCAGTCCAGTCAACTACACTTTGCCCCAAGAAATTTCTACAGTCTCCACTCATGCAGTCATGCCTAACCTTTTTGTGTTAAAACCCTTTTAATAATTCTCACTTGATTCTTGAGACTAGACAATTACATACAAATAATACACCAACTTCTTGTTCATTACTATACGATACTATAGAGTTTATGCATGCGTGACGTGAATGATTATGAACTGTTGATTCGTATGTTATATAGATTTATAATTGACACGTAACAAATTGCCTTATATACCATATCTATGATGATATATGAAAGGATCTTGATAAATCTAGTAGTATTGTATTCATAATACTCTTCCTAACTCTTTTATATGTAGTCAATCAGTTGGAGTTGAAATTAAAATTTGGTTCCCTAGGCATTTTCATTACAAAAACTACAAACTAGTTAGCTTCCATTTTTCAAGTGGGAAAGGCAGGAGATTCCCAAGTCCTCTTGGCTGAACAGTAAACGCTACACATAAGCTAACTAATATCAGAAAGGATGGTAAAAGTATCTTGAAGACTATGTGCAATTAAGTCCAATAACATGCAGCATATACTATTGCTTTACATGATACATCTACTAACTAAAACATCTCTAGCAGGAGGACCACAGATAGCTCAAGAAAAATCTCATACTAAAATCACCCATGCTGATCCAATCAAGCTATGTGCTCAACAAAAAAAAGGCAAACACATCAGAGAGAGAGAGAGAGCCAGAGAGGCATGAATGGTACTGCTATGAAGGGATAGGTGTCATATACTGAGGAAGGGGAAATGGACGTGTACCCCCGTTTTGGTTAAGAGGGTACACAGTGCCTCGCTGTCTTAGCATGTGAAGGGATATTGTATGCCTTATTTTTGATATTTCTCTCTCTTACATGCACCCACTATAACCCTCCCAACTGGCATTTTTGATTCATTCACATACAGAGCTGAATGGGAAGAGGAGAGTCAGGACAAAACAAGTCTAAGATTTCACTTTCTTTTTATACCTTTTTATTTCTTACCACACTCCAAAAACTCCTATATCTTTACATAACTTGGTATGTGAAGTCCAAATATAGAGAGACACATTCCATCAGTCCTCCATTGAGATATTCATCTTTATCTACTTAGTTACTTAGAGAGAGAGAGAGAGAGAGAGAGAGAGAGAGAGAGAGAGAGGGAGTTGTTGATATTCATCTATATATATATTTAGTTGTTCACCTCTCTTTTTGTTATTAAAAGGAAAATCCATTAGAGGGTATTCTTTGTGAAAAAAGAAGAGGAAAAAGATGAATGTGTTGGCCTCAGAATGCAGTAGTGGTTGTGAGTCTGGTTGGACTCTATACTTGGAACAGTCTAATTTTCTTTCTCATAATCCAAGTGCTTCACATAGAGATAGTGGTTTCTGTGATGAGTACAAGGATAAAAGAAGTAAACAAGCTGATGGTGATGAGGGGGATGAAGAAGAAGAGGACCAGTCAATGGTTTCTGATGCATCTTCTGGGCCTCCACATTTCAATGAAGATGAAGTTTACTTAGACGATAATACTAATAATAATATTAATGGGTGTTTCTGTCCTCCATCCAAGGATCTTGGACCTTTGAAGTTTAGAGGAAAAAAGCAGAGAATCAAAGAAAAAGGTAGGCGCTCATGTGGTGATCAACAACAACAACAACAACCATCTTTTCTAGATGACACTGCCAGCTCCCCTGTCTTCAACTACTCCAAGGTAATTAATAATTAATTAATCACAATTTAACTTCATTAATGTGACTAATTTGATCAACATGCTCTGATCCATTGTTAATGGGATTAAATTATATTTGATGGTTGCTTGACAAATTTGCAGAATAACTTCATTGTGTCCAATAATCAAGCTTCTGGGGGTAGTAGTAGTGTCCTGGATTATTCACAAGGCTTCTCATCTACTCATTTTCAGGTACTTGGTTTTCTAGTTTTGCTTTAGTTTTGGTTTTTTTTGTGTCTTTTGGGTAAACTAACTTCTAGGTTCTTCTTGCAGGGGAGATCTGCATACCAAGACCACTTTGGTTTCCTACAATCTACTCTATCTGGAAATAACCTTCAGAACAACCAGTTGAGTGGCTATTTTTTATTTTTAGTTTAGTTAAAATTATGCATCCATTTACAAATACAATGCAGTGTTTCCTTACGTTCTTTAGACTAAAGGAGCCTGTTTCTTAACATGCAGATGGTTTCAAGGGTAGGGGATTGGCATGAGATGAAGGAAAGGGATATCTTCATCATCAGTTGCTGGTCTCTTCTTGTTTCTACCACTACAGCAGCTGCTGTATTACTTTCTCAAGTAGAGATGGTGGGGAGAGGCTGCAAAAAGTAGAAGGAATTGGATCTCAAAAGGGATCTTGCATGTTCCTTTTTATTTTCTTTTTCTTTTTTCATTTTACCTGTCAATGCAGTGGGAAACAACCTAAGAGAGAAGAAGTTAGAAATAAATTTTCATGCTTCCAAAATTAAATTAAATTTTTTGTCAACTAGCAGGTGGTGCAAATGAGCTGGCCTCTCTTGCTTATCCCTCTTTTCAACAAAAAGAAAAAGGCTAAGCCTTTTATTTAGGCAGCCTATGTGTGACCAAACTGGCACTATTTTTTTTTCCATGGAGCTCCATGCTCTTTTAATCATGCCATTGCAGTGAAAATCAACTCAGCTAGTAGAAAACTATGGAATGAATAAGAAGGCCTTAAACATCAACAATCTCTCCATAAAAAATAACAAAAAAATTTGTCAACTGCCATTATTCTCCACATAATTCATGTACTTTAGCGGTCCAACAAAGTAGATAGATGTGTTTCATTAATGATTTAACCTGGCTAAATCAAATAGTAGGACAAAAGGAAGCATGCACCTAACTCTGTCGGCCAGTCTACAAAATACATGATCAAAAGAACAGGCTAATACTAATCATCATCAGATTTGATTAGGTGGGATTTGCTCAAATCTACATCTTGGAAAGCTTCCTACCTATCCATAATAAGTAAAACCAAATATTGGAAAAGGCTTAGGCATTAATAAAGACAAGACCCTTCCTAGCTTCATGTCCCTAGAGTCCAGACAAGGCTCCATCCATGCTGAATTATATTCTTCTTCTCCCAAAAAAATAAAATTTAAGGCTTAAAAATGCATATGAAAATTGGGACAGGATGATGCAAAAGTGTAATGAGTGATGGGCAGTCTGATGAGAGCACAGAAATGAGGGAGGGAAAGGCCAAACTTGATGTTGGAAACTTGGAATATTTCATATGCATTTTCATGACTCTTTTTCTAAACCCAGGAGATCCTGCCTGAGATCTCCCTGACCCAATGCAACATGCCCCATCTTGTTTAATATGTGCTCTTTATCTCATTTGGAAGGATCCCATTTTAAACAAATATTTTAAACACTATTTATTAATGTAATTTTGCACACTTCAAGTCTGTCTGCTGTGAAGCTGTCATTGGACTTTATGTCTTGCACAATTCTGTGTCATTCTTGGCATTTTTAAATTCCTAAAACTATTCCCAGTCAGTTCCCAATTGAAATAAAAACTTTGTTTTCTTTTCAAAAAGGCTGAACAAGGATAAAGATGAGATAAGAAATTGGGAATTTAGGATGTCAAAGCTGTCAAAATTCCAAGTCCTACACACATGTTCTTTTGTATTTTTAAATTTGGTGGTTCTGCAATGGGAGTCTTCCATGCAGTCAATCAAAAACCACCCCCAAAAAACAAAAAACAAAAAAACAAAAAATATATAAATAAAGAAAACATTGAATTAAAAAATGAAGATATATAAAAGTGATGGTTAGTCATGTTTTGCCTCACTGCATTCCATCATATTGCAGAAAAGCACAGATAATTGGATAAGAAGAACCCAAAGGGTATGGGAAAACATCATTTGCCCTTCCAACCACCTACAAGACAAAACCTTCAATTCCTGCAAAACATATACACAAAGCAAGGGAAGGGAGGGCTTTGTTGTTTCTTACTTGTGTTGTTGTAACATTGAGCTCCTGCCAAAACAATGCCATTTTAATTCCAAGTGTTCCCATTTCCTAAGACAAAGTCTCAGCACCTCTTATCATCTCTGCCATGGACCTGCATGTCATGATACATATCTGTGCAAATTATGAACTAAGTCAGAAGGTACCTGCACTGCACCTGCAGGTAAGAGGAATACCAAGATCTACCACCGTCTCAGAATTACAGATTTTGATGTATACAGAAGTGAACCAAAAAAAAAAAAAAAAAAAAAAAAAAAAAACCAACCCCCCCATCCCCCCCCCCATAGAAATTTTCAAGATATAAAAATGTGTAGATTTACTGCTTGATAGAACTGGGAAGCACCACTGCAAATAGTTTGGAACATAAAAGCACGTTGGGCGAGCCAATGACAAATTTCACTCTCTGCTTGCCCAATATCATATGGCAACATGCAAAAACTTCGACTTACTGCTTCCAATATAATTATTGCAATATAGTTTCTTTTTTCGAGAAATTTCACATTTGTTATTGGGCCCTTGAGGCCCAGAGTTGTTGATTCTGGGCCCTTGTTGAGATAAGTCTTGTAGACCCAGAATTTTTATATATATAATAAAAAATCAAAAAAATCAAAAAAATCAAAAACACCTGCAAGGCATTCCCCAACAGACAAGGGTTTTCATTTCAGGCATGTTTAGTTTCAGACAATGAGTTGTGAAATGTGAAAACCAAAAGTTCATTAAAAAATGCATGTAAAACTGTAAACTGTAAACCAGGAGCTCTTCTTCCATGTCAATCCCACTCTGCTACAAGCCTTCTGGGCTCTTGCTACATTCACCAAGAACCAGAGGCCCCTTACTCTGCAATCACAGCAGCAGCTTCAGCAAACAAGAACAAACTCACAACAACTGGACCGGGTTGAAATTTATTCGGGGCAAGAAGCTGTTGAAGGATCTCAGCACTTGGGGCATTGGGGGCCCTTGTAATTATTTTATCCAAGTCTTGGATCAAACCCAACTTGTTTCTGCTATCAGGTTTTGCTTTGCTTTTCTTTTCTAGTACTAGTATGTATTATATAATGCGATTTTGATTGTGGGTTCAAATTTAGGAAGCTGAGTTCTGGGTTTTTTCTTGTGGGTTATCAGATATGCTTATGCGTTTTACCTGTCTGAAACATAGTCTGTCTGTTTAAGACCATTCCATTTGATCTTTCTGTTTTGCTTTTCGTAAAGACAGAAAATTGGCATCAACTTCTGCTTTGCAGTCAAGATTTTTGCTGAGTTAATAAAGTAAACTAATTTATTCATAATTGGCATTAAATTCTGTAAAGTTCCTTGCTTTGTTAACAACTCTGCAGATTCTGTCATGAGCATTCGATTAGGTTCGTTATCATTGGCAAAGGCTCAAACTGTTTATTTGATGATTTGGGTTTTGATGGTTGTGTCATACTCAACCGGATTGAGTTTTTGGAGAAGGAGGAACCTGGTCTATATAGAGTTGGAAGTGGTTTCCGATTTAACCGGTTAGGGGTACACTGCTCAAATGAAGGATTCACAGGGCTTGAGTTTGCTGGGGGAATTCCTGGTACTGTAGGAGGAGCTACTTATATGAATGCTGGAGCAAACGGGCAGGAGACTGCTGATGCAATACATAGTGTTGACATTATAACAATGGATGGAAGGCTTCATAGACTTAATAGGACTGATCTCAATTTCGGGTACCGTTCATCTCCATTTCAAGATATGCAAGAATTGGCATCTATAACTGCTGTTAAATTTAAGCTGCAGCCCTCAGGATCAGCAAAGAGAAGGCAGTATGAATACATGGAAAGGTAGTTAACATCAACTAGAGAAAAAGTGAGAGATAAGTTCTCCTGTAAGACTTCTAAACTTGTAGATGCTTATGGGTTTAGTGTGGCTAAATTTGCAGGAGAAGAATTTCTCAACCAGTTGGGGAACAAAGTGCTGGCTCGGTCTTTCGAAATCCGTTGGATGTGGGAGTTGCTGCAGCTGAGTTGATTGAGAAAGCTGGGCTGAAAGGCTTTAGAGTGGGAGGGGCAATGGTATCCAAAATGCATGCAAATTTCTTCATAAATTGTGGTGGCTCAACCTCTCAAGACATGCTCGACCTCCTTGCTTTAGTGAAGGAAAAGGTTGATCAGAAATTTGCAGTACAACTTAAGGAAGAAATATTATATGTCCACCCGCATCGTAACGATGTGAAATCAAAACAAAGATAAATGACTTGTCAATGTATCTGATGAAGAAACTATGAGATCAGTGCTTGCAAAGGCACAACATATAGATTTGTAATGCTGATAAAAGTAAGAATCTTCATTCAAATAAAAAAGATTGGTGCACAACCAAAACACCATATGAGCAGCTTCTTTACTTTGAACTTCAAGTAGTTGTTGTAACTAAAAAAAGTGGTTTTCACTTGTTATTTTCAAGCCAATCAAGAATCCCCTTCTCTGATTTGGTAAGCTCCCCTTGCTTCGCCCTTATAGTTCCTCCCTCAAACTCAAAGTAATCCTTGTAATTGCGCTTATAGTAACTGTCCATTCTCTGCAAATATATTTGCGTAAGAACAAAACATATAAAAGAATGAAAATTTGCATTATTATTCCTCTAGCATATGAGCAAAATGCTGAAGAATGACTTCAAAATCTTTGGCAACACTTCCAACTTATGAAGAATGCCATGATATCCAAATTCACAAGAAAAGGGAAATTCAAGAAATTTTTACCTCCTTGTCATTCTTGGCCTTGTTCTCTTCTGACTTCTTCAGATACTCTGATACAAATTTCAATCACTACTAAGTCATATAAACCAAGAAAAGAAAAGAAGGAAAAACCCGACAAGAAAAAAAAACACATGGGCAACCCACAAACAAGCAAAATAAGCACAATGAATTCATCAGAAGAAAAAAAAACCCCAAGAAGATAATAATATGTGCTGTACTTTTAAGAAGCTCAGCCCCAGATTCACTGACAGGGGGAGTAGCAAATGCAGCAGATAAGAGCAGCCCTCTTCTTCCAAAATCGTTGGCTGCCTTGGAGGAAATGGTTTTCTTTCTATCTTTGCGTTGCCTTCTATGGACTGCCTGCACATTAGATGAAGCAAACTTGTTCACTGTAACAGTCAGGGCCATCAATATGCTTTGGCCTATTGAGCTCATGGCTTTTCCACTACGACCACTGGTTTTCTGAACATGTAGATTATGATGACGACGATGCGGCTTTCTTTGTCCATGTAATTATTCAACTTATCCCTTGGGTTTTAGCTCTTTGATTACAATTCCACGTCAGCACGCTTCAGCCTGAAGAAGGCTTATTATTATTACTTTTACCATAAGCTTCCATTTTCATATTTACCTATCTTTAACATTTTTGTTGGTTTTAAAATCAGTATTACAGAGAAGTTTTCTTAAAAATTGATGTCATACAAAAAGTAATAGTTGCGGAATTAGCTAGGTCAAGAGTTTGATTCCCCCCTTTTTCCTTTTATTGTACCTACCTACACATGAATTACATTAATTGATCGCATTGCTGACCATATTGGGATGAGATTCACCTACATAGATTAGTCCCACGTAAATACTTTTACGCATGGAATGGTCAGTGATGGGATCAGTACAAACATTTGTCTACAGGCAACAAAAGCAAGAAGGAACCCAACCATCCTTTACCAATTTAAATTCTAAGTACATAGATATTTACATGAAAAAGCTTGAAATGCCATACAAGATGCATTCATAAGCATATTCGGACATTCAAGGCTTTTGATATTGAGTGAATAAAGGTCAAAAGTACAATGCTAACTTCTCTAACATAACTCCAAATGAAATCTGTCAACCGCTCTTATTAGACTAGCAGGGTTGCAAGTTGAGTTCGGCCAATTCAGGTTGCCTAATATTCCTCCAACTTGATTCCGATCTTCATAAGCAGCTACCGATTTCTCGACTACAACTCCACTTAATGATCAGGAGTTGTCACAGAACACAGGGTAGGAGGGATCACCATTTTAGATCAACTACACACCCTGAAACATTATTCTCTTACCAAACTAAAGAACAATGCAAATGCTGATTATTATTTATTACATGCATATTTGCATTACGTATGGTAAACAAAGAAGTAAGCTGTATAGAGAGTTGGGTGTTTGTCCGTATAAAGGATGTCTACCAAAAGACGGCATACACTTCAATTTGAGGTTCTTTTCTTAATCATAAAGGGGCTTGGCATCACTACTCCAGTAAGCGTTTATGCTTGCACCATCCAATAGCAATCACATATAAGAATATGGTCCCACCAGTACTGCCACCAACAGTCCACATGAACTCTCGCATCCCTGCTTTATCTGAATCAAACAGCTCAATTTTGATATTCATGCCGAAGATACCAGCTATAACAACAAAGGCACTCACTACCAGGGTTGCTGTGGTCAACATGACCCCCATTTGCAGGAGATGATTCTGTTTGTCATCCAACATTATATTGATGTAATCCTCTGTGTCGTCGACATACTCCCTCAGCTGCCAATAAACAACCAATATAAAAAAAAACCAGTAACATGCATGAACAGATGTGTTGATGACAAGAGGAACAGATTCCACATATAAAGATGAATGTAAAAAGATTTGATGTGTAAACTTCATAAGACGTTTTGATACGAAAGAAGAATAGGGTGTTGAAAAAAGGAAATTTTGGTCTTAGGGTTTTGGAAGGTATTAATGAATACTATCAATAAAGATTTAGCAGACTAGCAACATGCGTTTCTTTCCCAGCAATCCCATATATGATGGCTACGAAATATCAAGGTTTAGTTATCTACTTTAAACAAAGGAAAGAACTTGAAAATATTTTCCTTGTATATATAAGCTTGTATAGCATCCCACTTCCTGCTAGAGAAATGTGCAATAAAAGTGCACCGTAGTGAGAAGACAATGACCCAGATTTTTCTGTCACAGCGGAAATTCTTCCCACCAAGGAACCAAATTACAATATAATGAGCCCACCTTTTCCATTCAATTAGTAAGATCTATCTCTCACTTGATCAAACAAGCTAGAAAATTGGTTACAATTATCTACATCTTGATTAAGTCTCTATTGAGGGATAGCTTCAACAGAATCAAAACTGTGGCTAAAAACATCAATTTCATATCTAACTGTGAAGAATTGGCGTAATGGAAGGAAAATCTACTTTAAGGCATTCACGGCCCCTTTCGGCTTCCTTTGAGGTATTAGAAGTAATTGAGGCAGCCATGCAATTTGGAGAAGACAAAATGATGTATACTATGCTGCTCAGAAATTTTTTTCTTTTTTGGATAAATCACAGCAGGTGAACATCAACTAAGAGGGCTGCCTTAATAATTTCCTACGTCAAGGGTATCCAAATATCCTTTTTAAATTTTTTTTTAATACCCAGAAATCCACCAATCCTCAAAGCGGACACAGATTTGAAACTGGGGCCCCCGCCGAACCCTACAATCTTTGGGAGGCAGGAAACACTAGCAAATAGCTAGGTAGGTACCTTTGGGGATTTCAAACCTCTTTCCAACTAACCCCTCGTTAGTATCCTTTAGAACCAGGAGTACTTGAATATTTTTAGAGTGGCGCTATTCTCATCCCCAGTTTACTCACCCCACCCACTCTCTAAACCCATTATTATAACCCTAAGATTATATATATCAATAAATAAATAAATATATATATATATATAGGAATATTCTCTAGTGCGGACGTCCAGAATTGCTTAATGTCTGGACTCGTTTTGTTTTTTCACATGATCAGAATGAATTCATTCATTCAATGGAAAGGAAACCATTTCCATTTTGTTTTCTGCATTTCTCTTCTTTATCATTAAAAAAAGGAACTAAAGCACACATAACAGCCTCCAAATTCTCTCTACAGTCCACCAATGAAGGAAAAGCCCAATCTAGAGGTGATGGTTGACTTTTAAGTATTGGCAGAGCATGGTTTCTATTCTAACTTTACCAAGAAAAGTAATAAAAGTGTTTGGGTTGATTTATTAGCACAATGAAGGCAAAAGAACAAGTAGTCCGGACATTAGAAAAAATACGGACGTCTCTAGTAGAGAACAACTCTATATATATACCTTAATTTTATTTACTTGAACAGCAGAGGCCATCCACCGCCATGAAGTCCCTATGGGAGCAATGACCAGAGGCCACCATTGGCTGGCCTTCTAAAGATGGAGATCACCGAACTGACCTCTACTGCCTAGGCTGGCTTCTCGCATCACCACTGGCCAGTGATCTCAACTGCCATTTTTTAAATTTTTACTTTTACATGTTGTCCTTCAGTATAATTCAATACAGGCTTTAAGGTGGGTGGAGAATGCAAGATGTGAGTGGCAATAGTGTCACTCTATTTTGAATTATGTTCACTTAAAGATATTCACATAGAAAAAACTGACAGATAAAATGTACTTGCGTACCGTGGATAGCTTGTTTAGTGTACCATCAATTTGCACAAAGTATGCCTCCAAAAGCATTTCAAGCTCCTCTACGTCAAGGTCCTTTCCCATAGCACTATGAGTGGAGCTAGAAGTGGTCCCATGGCTGTCCCTGCTAAGGAATTGATGCTGGGGATTGTCAGGGTTTTGAAGATCACCTTCAAAATTGGAGGAACCCCCGGAAGCTTCCAATGAGATTTCAGTAGGAATCCTAACAAAAATAGAATGGGAAAACTTAGGAGTGAAGAATGGCATGCCTATAAGTTAAAATGAGAATGAGATTATGAGCTGCCTTGCCTGTCATCCATGTCTCTTCGTGGAGCTTCATGATCCATGTCCTCGCTCTCACTCAAAGATGAAGTGGTCGAATTTTCAAAATGTTGTTGAACCAACTTTTCAGTTAGATACATCTCGGCCATATCTTCATCATCATCAAGCAAGTGTTCTAGTTCATCCCTCACCTAGAGGTCAACATAATAAAAAAACAAGTTGAACTAAATCATCTCATTCAAAAAGTGATTATACAACCACAAGCATCTATGGCCTAAGCCTGACCACTTAATCTTCACCATGAAAGTAAAGGGTATGTGTATTATCAAATGTTAAGCTAACCTTCTGAACGCGACCGGTAATTGCAACCAAGCGACTCTTGATCTGGCGGACACGTTCCAAATTGAGAGTACTGATCTTTGAAGTGAGCTTATCTAAAGCTGGATGAGCTTCTTGCTCCAATGTCCTTGCCTGTTGTCAATTCACAAAACAAAACAAACAAATAGAAAAAAAACAAGTTAGAAAGCACGGAACAGATCATAAAATGAGGCAATGAGGAATATGATATTCACTCACTTCATTCTCTAAGCAACTGCATGCAGCCTCAAGGCATGCCTCCAATGCAACAAACTCAAAAGGCAGGACCTTCAACGCATCACGATTCTCCTCCAGACCTTGCTTCCCTGTTGCCTCATCTTCATCATTACCACCAACAACACGTCTCAATTGTGCATCAGCCTCTGCCTCTTCCATGTCATACCAATTTGATTCTTCACCATTGCCCTCCTTATCCTACCCAAAATCAACAACACCACACAACACCAAAATCACAATTAACAACACCAAAATCACAATAAAGAACACAACCCAATACCACAAATCACAATTACAACCACATAAAATCATAATTAGACAAAAAAATGACGACTTTTTGGTACCTGGGTTTTGGCGGGTTTGGTGGTGGCTTGGTGATGGCGCAAAAGCCTCCGCTGAAGCTCATCAATAAATGGCGTCACAGATGGGTCTCTGGAATTGAGCAAGAGGACCTCCTGAGCGGTGATGATGGCCTTGATGTGCTCCAAGTTGATCACGATCGCTCTCTCTCGACCCAGTACTGTAGACGGGTACGAAAGAAGCGGATCCAGGATCCGAAGGTCACGGGCGGGTAGACCCGTTCGGCGCATGATGGCATGTTTGCCCGCCTCTACCACCTGGGTTTGGCCGCTGGCGTCCAGAACCAGCCATGGGCGCACACCAAGGCCCTTCTTCCGCATCCCGGCGGCCACCGACATGCCCATCCCTGGCATTGTGGGCCGGGTCGGGTCTGGGTCGTCCTCCGCTGCCCCCGACTTAGAGGGGTGGTGAATTGGATTAGGAGCTCTCATGGCTCTTTGGCTTCGCGGGTTGGGATTGGGATTTTGGGTACTCTCTCTCCGTCTCTGTCTCCCTCTCTTTTGAAGAGTTGGGAAGATTTGCTTTGCTCTGTTTTAATTTTTCCTCCTTTTCCTCCAACGTGAGAAGTTCAGTGTGTCATGTCGTCATGTCATCATGTGTCACTTGCCTAGTTGATACATCTAATACGTACTCAAGTATAACATTATTATTAGGGTTAATTACATGTAACGGTTTAAGCCCCTATGTTTTAAACTTGATAAAAACAAAACCTAAAGTTACAAGTTGTTACATCATTAGTCGATTTGTCTCTCAATCTATTAAGTTCAATACTTTTTTTATGGCACTCGATATTCGAATACACGCTATACTTTTAAAATATTCAAATGCACGCTATACTTTTCAAATATTAATATATTTTAATATATTTAAAATATTCGACTTATAGATGCGCAGCTATACTTTTTAAATAAAATTATATAGGTCTAGAAATTAGGAAATGCATATTAAACCATATTAGAAGAGTTGTGAGAAATATACATCAATAAATCTATATAATTCAAACCGGAAGAAAGATGTGACATTTTGTTAGAACACTACATCAATAGACTCACCACTTTCCACATAATGTGGAATATTATAAACTCACATGATCACATCAGTAATTTATAAATACATTAGATATACTTAATAAATACATTATTTAACTTTTAATTAGCACATAAATTAATCCAGCAAGCGTGAATGCTTATACCAGGCAATAGCAATGACAAATAAGACAACGCTCCCAATGGAACCTCCCCCAACAGTCCACAAAAACTTTGGCATCCCAATTTTGGTTTCTTCCTCGAAGAGTGCTATTCTTATGTTCATCCCAAAGACTCCAGCCACAACGATTAAGGCACTCACCACAAGGGTTGCTGTGGACAGCACCACCCCCATCTGCAGCAGTTGGTTCTGTTTGTCATCCAGCATTATGTTTATGTAGTCCTCTGTGTCGTCCACATACTCCCTCAGCTTCATCATTATTTTTGAAGCCCATCACACACAAGCCAAACAAAAATAAAGTCGAACAAAAATAAAGTCAAACAATGGTTACAAGGAGGTGAACTCTAGTAATTAAATGGCTAAAGTATGATTTCGGTCCTTGTAGTTTGAGCGAAGTTTGGTACCTATAGTTTCAATTTCTGCGATTTTAGACATGTGGTTTGCTAATTGTTTCAATTCAAAGACAATGCCTCTTGTCAGGTATTTGTTTTTCCGACCGAATTGCATATGAGTGACACATGTGAGGGTAAGTTCAGCTTTTTAGGGATGTAACACCTCAAATGTACCCGTCATGTGTGCTCAATTAAAAAAATTGACAAAATTAAACTATTGTCTTTGAATTGCAATGACTAGTAAATTATATGACTAAAATTGCGAAAATTGAAACTAGAAGTCAGGGACCAAAATCATAATCTGGCCAAAGTATAAAGATTACCCTATTTTCTTACCGTGGATAGTTTGTTTAGTATGCCATCAAGTTGGACAAAGTATGCCTCCAAAAGCATTTCAAGCTCCTGCACATCAAGCTGCTTGCTTGTAATAGTAGTAGTTGTACCAATTTGGGCGTCCCTGCAAAAAGTAAGGCAAAATAAAAATTGCTGCCCTATATATTTATATCAAAGTAGAGATAGAGAGATTATTATTAGCTACGTGCATGCCTGTCGATTTCCATGTCCGCTTGAACAATTTCATCATCCATTTCATCGCACAGAATCGGCTCGTTCATGGATGAAGATGCAGAAGAATTAACTTCTAGGTCTCGCTCAACAGACTTTTCAGTCAAATACATCTCGGCCATATCTTCATCATCATCTAGCAAATGTTCTAATTCATCCCTCACCTGCAGATTAACAAAATGCACCATCCATATCATTTAAATACCCAAAAAGAAACACATAATCACGTGTATAATTAAAGAAAAATAAAAACCCTCAACACCCAAGTGCCCAATTCACCTTCTGAACACGTCCGGTTATAGCAACCAAGCGACTTTTGATCTGGCGGACACGTTCCAGATTGAGAGTACTTATCTTCGAACTCAGCTTATCCAAAGCTGGATAAGCTTCTTCCTCCAATCTCTTTGCCTTCAAAATAATATACAAAAACAAATAATTACTTATTAATGAAACAATAAAAACAAAAAAGTTATAAAATTTGGAGTAACTGGAGTTGATGTTTATACTTCATTTTCTAAGCAACTGCAAGCAGATTCAAGGCAAGCCTCCAATGCAACAAACTCAAAAGGAAGAACCTTTGATCCATACAATCGATTCTTCTCAACTCGACCCTGTTCATCAAACTGATCAGAAAACCCTTTTGGGGAATTCTCACGGCTCTCACCTCTCGACTGAGACTCTCCCAAATCATGCAGCCTGGTCCAGTTTGACTTCGACCCATCTTCTTCATTCCCCTCCTACACATTTTCACAAACACCACGCATGGAATTACTAAAGGGACTCTTATCCATCAAAATCTCTCAAGACATAAAAGAAAAGATCGCATTGTACCAACCAGAGCTGCTGTGGTTACTTGGTTATGGCGGATTAGCCTGAGCTGAAGCTCGTCAACGAAGGGACTGACAGAAGGGTCGGCGGACTTGACCAAGAGGACCTCATGGGCGGTGACGATGGCCTTGATGTGCTCCAGGTTGATCACAATCGCTCTCTCTCTACCCAGAACCGTCGACGGGTACATGAGAACCGGGTCAAGGATCCGGAGGTCCCGGGCGGGTAGACCCGTCCGGCGCATGATGACGTGTTTACCCGCTTCCACGACTTGGGTTTTCCCGCCGGAGTCCATTAGCAGCCAGGACCGGACGCCGGTCGTCCCCTTGGAGCTCTTCTTCCGCTGGCCCCCAGTGGGTAGGGAGGCCATTAACGGGGCGGAGTTTGACCGGTGGGGCAGTTGTCGAGGATGATGAGGAGAAGGAGGTCTAATGGTTTTGGCTTCCTTATGGAGTTGGTACGCAAAGGTGTCACTGGTTCTTCATGGAAGAAGCGAATGAGACATAGACATAAGCACTAGCTTTACTCATTTTTTATTCTTTCTTTTCTGTTTTTCGTTTTTCTGATAGGTATGTTGTTGTTGGAGATATCTGATAGGACTTTTTTATTAAATAAAAACAAAAGAATTCTTAAATGATTGTTTGAACCTTTATCATCTAGGGAAGGTAAGCGCCAAGTAAACCTAATAATAGGTATGCCTCTATCTCTAGAGGTGTCAAATGGGACGGGCCGGCCCAGCACGGTACGAGCCCAGCGCATTTAAAGGAGGCACGGCACGACACGATCTCGAATATTAATGGGCTGTGCTCGGCACGGCACGAAAACTTGGGCCGGGTCGGGATAAAAAAAATGAGGTCCAATGGACCGGGCCGGCCCATGGCCCAACATGGGCCGGGCTTGGCCCGAGCACGCTTTAAGCATGGCACGAGCCTAAGCACGTCCCACTTAACATTTTTTTCTTTCTCAAAAGTCAAAATGCAATAATTTGACATCTAATGTCATTATTTATATGTTTTTTTTAATCATAAATATATATTTGATGTCTTTCATTTTAGGGAAATTACTTGGGTCCTTAATTAATTAAACATATCAACTACAAATTAATTAAACAACATTGGACTTGATATCTAATCAGTACATATGACATATATGCTTCTCTTATAATCAAAGCAACATATTATTTCACATATAAAACAATAAGTTGTTTAAAGATGAAAAGTTGAAGTGGACTTTGTAGAGTTTGACACTTTTTGCCCTCCACCATTTCATATTGTTTGGATGTTTGATAGATTAATGTTTTCAAATAGTTCATCATTTCTTGCCTCTAATTATATTTTTAATGTTTATAATTTGAATTATCTAGTGGAAAAAAAAATGAAGTGAAAAAAATTCAAATTAAATGGATTGGTTCTTGGGCCCGAGTATGGCACGAGCAAGGGCACAGCACCAGCCCGTTTCAATATGGACATGGGCTTTGGGCCGTGCCGGGATAAATGATTTTACTAAATGGGTCAGCACGGTACGACCCGATAAATTAAATGGGCCGGCCCGGCCCGACACGAAAACGTTAAAATCACGAGTTTAAATGGGATGGACCGGTTCGGCACGGCCCGTTTGACACCTTTATCTGTCTCTCTCATCCTTCCCTACCTCTCTTTATCGCTTTCCTTTGTTAATTAGGAGTAGTTGAAAATTGACAGTCTTTTCATTTGATACATATGCAAGCTCTTACTTTTCAGAAATTTGATATCCTTGAGTCCAAATTAGAGGTGTCAAACGGGACGGGCCGGCCCAGCACAACACGAGCCCAGCCCGTTTATATGAGGCACGGCATGGCACGAGCACGAATATTAATGAGAAAACTTGGGTCGGGCCGGGATAAAAAAATGAGGTCCAATGGACCGGGCCGGCCCATGGCCCGAGCACACTTCAAGCATGGCACGAGCCCAAGCACGGCCCAAGTACGGCCCACTTAACATTTTTTTCTTTCTCAAAAGTCAAAATGCAATAATTTGACATCTAATGTCATTGTTTATATATATATATATATATATATTTAAATCATAAATATATATTTGATGTCTTTCATTTTAGGGAAATTACTTGGGTCCTTAATTAATTAAACGTATCAACTACAAATTAATTAAACAACATTGGGCTTGATATCTAATCAGTACATATGACGTATACGCTTCTCTTATAATCAAAACAAGACATTTTTTCACATATAAAATAATAAGTTGTTTAAAAATGAAAAGTTGAAGTGGACTTTGTGGAGTTGGACATTTTTTGCCCTTCGCCATTTCATATTGTTTGGATGTTTGATTGATTAATGTTTTCAAATAGTTCATCATTTATTGCCTCTAATTATATTTTTAATGTTTATAATTTGAATTATCTAGTGGAAAAAAAATCAAGTGAAAAAAATTCAAATTAAATGAATTGGTTCTTGGGCCCGAGTATGGCACAAGCACGAGCACGGGCACGACACAAGCATGGGCACAGCACGAGCCCAACCCGTTTCAATATGGACATGGGCTTTGGGCCGGGCCAGGATAAATGATTTTACTAAATGGGCCGGCACAGCATGACCTGATAAATTAAATGGGCCGGGCCGGCCTGACATGAAAACGTTAAAAGCACAAGTTTAAATGGGATGGGCCGGCCTAGCAAGGCCCGTTTGACACCTCAGTCCAAACGTTTGAGAGAGAGAGAGAGAGAGAGAGAGAGAGAGAGAGTCGGTTCGGTTCAATATCAGATGGTTTAGGTAAATGGATACCACAACTGCAACCGAGAGGGCATCAGTCAGTTGTAGAACTGAACGCTGATGACCAGAAAGGCATCGGTTGGTTTTTCTCGGTGGGCTTCGGTAATTCGTTTTTTTTTCTTTCTTTCTCGGTGAGCATTCACAATCATGCTATCTATTTTTAAATTTTAGCTAAAAACATATAAAAGTTATTTTAGGAGCTCTCTATAAAATTTAAACTCTAATCGTGCTCTCTAGTTTAGGGAGTCATAAATACTATAACTCTTTTTTGATTGATCAATCTCTATTAAAAAATAAAATAAAAAATAGTTAGCATTAAATAAAGATTTGAAATACTCATTAAATAAAGCAGTATTAAATTATAAGAAGCCACTAGGAGTCCTTTCTCTCTACTCAGATTTAGGAACTCCTAAGAGTATCTCCAACCGATATGTCAAAAGTGCCACATAGACATTAAACGGTTAGAAATAACATTTCACATCACTCCAACCGAATTGTCAAAGCTGATGTGGAATGAAGGTTTGAGGTTCAGCTGTTATTTTTGACATCCCAAAAGCAAGATGTCAAATAAATATTTTATTATTTTTTAAAGATAGTTGGTTGTAACTTTCATTTATTATTTTCCTTTTTATTATTTTTCTTCTTTATCTTAAATGATTTGACTGTTACAATAATTATTTATTTGACATATCCGGTGGAGTATAAAACTATGTAAATGTCAAATTGCCACATCAGTCATCAAATTTAAATTTGATGTTTGGTATTTGGCATCTCCCTTGGAGATGCTCTAAAGGACTCCCTATTTTAGGAGGTGGATAGAGAGCGTGGTTGAAGTTGTGTTTTTCCAATTCCTCCCTAAAATTTGTCAAAGAAGGTGGTTTAAGGAGCCTATTGTGGATGCTCTAATGCCCAACACAAACACTAACTAACAACAAACCTGAGTGTAGAAACCCTACACAAATCACTGAAAATTAACTTGTTAACAGCAGCTGGGGGAACATCCCAAATATGGAGACCCAAAGGCTTAGTAATCCCAATAAAAGCCCCACCAGCCATAATAGATTTGCAACTGGATAGAAGACTGAACATCACCACTGAGATAAAATGTTACACCGTTTCCCTTGTTTGCCTTTATGGAGATAGAAATGGATGAACTAACAATAAATGTAATAAATATGTATTTTTATATTGGTAAGTGATTTTCGCAATCCTATTTTCTCAGATAAATTTATAATTAATTAATTAATTAATATATTTTTTTTATCAACGAAAGGAGGAGTCTCGGTTGCCAAATCCATTGAAGGCATCATAGTTGAAAGTTAATGGACCTCCACAACAGTACTGCTGGTTAGGCCTTCATGGCTCAATACAACACACTAAACAAACCATTTTGAATCCTTCGTTTTCCACAAGTGGGCTCAACCCATATAAGTTCACTTTTTTATTTTTCATTTTTTCGGACATATAATAATTTGAATTTAAGGTCACCTTGGTTTAGTCCAGTTATACAATGAATGCCCATTAATGAACTGTTTGCACGAGACTTGTAGCTTAAGAGATTAACATCAATTATCTCTGTACTTGAGATCTTATATTTGAATCCCCCATCACTTAATATCGCTTGTAGAAAAGGAAAAAAAAACATAAACAAACTGCCTAATAACAATCTACTATTAGGATATTTTTATATCGTCTTCAATTAATGATACTTCATGAACATTACACAAATATGAGTTCCAACTTTTTTTTATCTTAAAAAAAAATGGTTTTGACAATCATGCAACACCTACATCATGGCAACCTTGATAACTAATTAAAGATAGTAATATGCAAACCACCTATCCATCATGGCAAGACATTCCTATTCTGGAGCTGTGTGGCCACCTCCCTGTACACATCAAAATTAAATTAACTTATTTCCCCATTAATTATTTTAATTTTTATTTGAAAAGAATTATGCAGGATCTCCTGTTCTTGCCTTTACAGTCGCAAATGTCAAAGTGTACGCTTTCTTTGTATATGCTTCAGTGTACCTAATTTTTTTTTAAAAGAGCACAAATTTAATTCGAAATTGCAGTGAAATTAATTATGAATTATAAAATCATGATCAAGTGAAATTGATATATAGTAGCAATCAACCCTGCAACTTGGGCATTGACCAACCATGGTCTCATGCATGATGTGTCCCTCAAACTGCAATCTTTCTTTTATATTTTTATAAAATAAGGGCGCACCTCTCGCGAATGTTTAGAGCATTTTGGACAGTTTTATCATTAGCCCAAATGAAGGCGAATAAATAGTTATAACTCTGCAAAGAAGTAGGGGGTAGCAAGATATTAGCATATGCAACAAATAGTTCAGTCATGTACATATATAAATATATGGCTAAGTTTTTATTTTTTTAAGTGTATGAAATTTGACTCATTTCCCACTTTGGTCTATATGATTTCAGTTCCGGCCATTTTGGTCATGTATGCTTGGTTGGTTTGCAATCAAGTTTAAATCGTAAACTCAATCAAATTCATAGATGACATCCTGACATGGTAGTAGGCAACCAAAACATCTGCATTTTTGTCTCCACAAAAAAAAGTTTGCAAGCAATCCAATGGGGAGGATGTTAGATTTTTTGACTTCATTGCCAGCTAAACAAAACTATAGAATTAAAATTGCCAAAATGGATAACACATAGACCAAAATGAAAAATAAGTCAAATTTGAAGAACCAAAAGTGTGATATTGACCTAAATTTATAGATATATATTGTGGAAGCGAAATAAGAAATAAAATAAAATAAAAATCCAAGCCTGTGGATGGCTCGGCCCAATTCAAAAACCCGCCTAGGCTTGGCCCAATGGGTAGGCCTGGGTCAAGCTCTTTGAAACCTCGGCCCAACTAGAAAAATAAAAAAGCCCGTGAAGGCCCGGCTTGAGCAGCCCCAATAACAAACCCTACCTACATGACAATTTGAAGGGTAAAGTTTGCTAGTTTACAATTTAATTAATTCAATGTTTGACTTTTCTTTTTCTTTTAAATCAAACACTAAAATTTAATTCTGTTTAATAATACCAAATTAATATTTAAATAATAATTCATTATTATTCACTCAGCCTCTTGCAGGCTTTTACCATTCCAACACAGCCTTTGTTGTTCCAAAATTTAATAAATGCGTTGAAGAGAAAAAGTATACTCGTCTGTTTATGAAGAGTGAAGGAAGAGTCCTAGATTTGGTAAGTGGGTTTGACAAGGCTGTTGGAGAAAGTTTTGCTGATGTGGCTCACCTATTTTAGTGTCCTAACTCTTTTAAAGAGATTGTTAGAAATGCTTAATAGTTTAAGTAGATTTAGATATATAATGGATGAATTTTATATTGTATCAAGAACTTGAACATCTTACACAAATGAATTTCAACATAAAAATGATATTGACATCCAAGTGACAATAGTCTTACAAATTTCTTTGCGTAAACTAAAAATATTCTTACAAGAGATGACTCAAATAGACAAATTTTCAATACAAATTTGCACTAAAGATTATACTAAAAATTTGCTCGATCATCCGTCGTGCTAAATATTATACATCAAGAACATGTGTTACACAAAAGTGACATTATACAGTTACATATCCAATTGACAATATTCTTGAAATCTAATCACCGAAGCAGTACCAGCTGCAACATCCAAGACTTTTGGGGTACGAAAGTATTGGAATGAATGAGCTAACTAAACATAGTAATATGCAAACCACCTATCAATCATGGCATGACATTCCATAGGCTTGAATTCTGGGGCTGTGTGGCCACCTCCCTGCAAAGGTCAAACAAAGGTTAATTTCCCCATTATTTTAGGTATTTTGTTTTTGGAGAAACATAGTTGACAAGAATTAAGCAGCAGGATTTCCAGTTCTTGCCTTTACAGTCACAAATGTCAAACTGTAGGTTTTCCTTGTATATGCATTGGTGTACCTATTAGAAATATATATATATATATATATATATCAGAAATTGCAGTGACATTAACATTATGACTAACTAAAATTAAGAGTAGCAAGTAGCAACCAACCCTGCAACTTGGCCATCAACAAACCATGGTCTCCATTGATAATCAACACTCAAATTGAGAGATTTTATCCATTCTTGAGTGCCCACGTATGGAATAAGCATGTCATGATCACCACTGTACCGAAAAAATAAAATCTACAAATTAACTATGATATTTCAGACAGAGGAATTATTCATCTATTTATTTGCACAAAAGTTTGTGGTTTTTTAAGGATGGAAATGGAGAAAATTAATAAAATTAAGAAAATTGTAACCTGTAAACCAGTGCTCTAAGGTTTTTCTTGGTGAGGTTTCGATGATAGTCAATACTAGTTCTAACATCATGTGCATAATTGCTAGATATGCTCTGATTGCATTTTTCCCAACCCTTTATTGTTCCCTGCACATTGTAATGGTAAATAAAAGTGTGAATATTTTATGTGGGTATTGTAATTCTCAAAATTAATACTTACCTCTCGAACGTGAAGTGCATTTTGGACTGTTTTATCATTAGCCCAAATGAAGGAGAACAGATAGTTATAAGTCTGCAAAGAAGTAAGGGTAGTAAGGTACTAGCATGCCACACAGTAAGTATAAAGTCTCTATAATTTGACGATTTCATGAAAATTTGGTGTATATCATGAAAATTTTGGCGATTTCAGTTTTGTAATTTTGTTTGGTTTGTAATCAAGTCCAAAATGTAAACTTTTGTAAATGAAATTCTGGCAGGGCAACAGGCAACTTCCACATTTGAGGGCATTTTCGTCTCTCCGAAACATTTGCAATCAACAGAAAACGTAACTATTCAGAGTTCTACACTTGATTGTAACCTGAACTGAATTATAGGAGTAAATTCTCAAATCTAAGTTAAAAACGAGTCAAACCAAAAACGAAGTGATTTGACCTAAATTTATAAGGGTATGTATTGTCAATGAGAGAGAGAGAGAGAGAGAGAGAGAGAGAGTGAAATTTACACGACACCATGGTTCTGTAGAATGATGTAGCATGTCTAAGAAGTCCTCGCCATCGAAGTTTTGATCCCATTTGAATATTTTTGGGTTTGGAGACATAGTACTACACTTTGGCTCCAATATTTGGTTATAATATATCTTCTGGGTGCACTGCAAATTTGTTAGAGTGGCAAATGGATCTTCAGTTCAAAGTTTGAAAATAAATGTGAACTAAGAACAATGTCGTAAATTAGTAATTCTCACCTCAGTGACTTCTTGGAGGTTTAAAACACAAGGTGCATTGCTCGGATCTACTTGAACATACTCGCCCTTGCAATTTGTTTTAGTTGACTATATATAATGCGAAGATATTAGATCTCAAATTATTGCCCAATAACAGACATTATTTCAGTGTTTTGCTTGGTCATTTGCACAAAAATTATACACTCAAATGCAATTTGCTAGGTTTAGTGAATTCCACACCTATATAGTTAAGTTAGAGACAATATTGGTGTTAGTTGTAGTGAGCCGCTAAACATTTTACACATTCATTCAACTTTCAATTTTCTTTCTTCAGAGTTTAGGAAAATCAAGGAAGTAATTTTCACACTCTCATTTTACACTCTCCTTCTCTTTTCTAGTTTTATGTTTCATCAATAATTACTATCGCTTTATTTAAATAAAAAAAGGTTCACTAGAGAGCATTTATACCTCATAGAGTGTATCGGAAATAAGTGCCATGCGGTGAGCAAATTTAATTCGTGAATTCACGTCATATGTTGGTTCTGTAAATGGGTTGCCTAGCACATAACCCTGAGTTCAAAGTAGCCCAAAGACCAAATAAGGGCACAAGACAGACAAACAGAGAGCACAACCAATGAGCCACAAACAAAAGGAGAAGGACTAAAATCAAACAAGTTTAAAATCAGATTGAATTAATTCTTACTTTGAGATTCAATGGTGGTTCATGCCCGACTTCATTGCCTACAACAGTTTAGATTCAGAAAAAGAGTTGCCTCATAATTTAATGGGAGCTTCACTATTATATCCAATATAAGAGCCCAAATTATAAAAAAAAAACCCTATTTGAAATGGACTTTAGAAACACACCCAAAACTCATTTACAAAATAACAAAAAGGCTTTTAACTTCTTTTAAATTACAAAACTGCCATTAATTTCTTAAAACAAACTCAACCCAAAAACATCATAAAAAAAGCCCAAACACTCAATGGGACATCAAAATAATTTAATAATCAAAATTAAATTCAATATATCCAGCTGTCATTTTTGGGGTTTTTTTTTGGGTTTGTTTATAGAAATTAAATTGTGTAGGGTTTATTTATAGCTTTAGTGCTAAGAATGTATATATGACTAAATAAGTTTAGTGGGGTAGCTGAAGAAGTCTTCATCCCCAACAAAAAGTTACCGTTGGACACTTCCTGAACAACGATGGGAACAGTTATGCCTGAATATGAATCACCAGCAATGTACAGTGGATTTTTCAGAAATTCAGGATGATCTTTAAGCCACTGCAGCACCAACATACATATAATTAATTAATTAATTAATGAGATTTAATATATAATTTTAAACCCTTTTAAAATTACTTTAACCAATTTTCACCTTCCTTAGAAATTCATAGGTATGAGCTGCGGATGATATATCACCGGTCTCGTATCCTTCCCAACTTTTTGCATAGGAGAATCCACTACCAACTGGTTGATCCAAAAATATTATGTTGGCAACCTGAACATTGTGCAATGCATTTGGGTAAAGTTCTTGACAAATTAAGTGCAGATTAAGTAGTAGGTTTACCTTTGTCCATGAGTATGGATTCAACACAAGTGTTGGTTCGTTCCCACTAGAATTTGCGTAGTTGAACATTATTGGACCTACCAAACAAATCGAATTCAAGGCATAACAACTTTCATTAAATCTATATATATATAAAGCAAAAGGCGGAGAATGGTAAAACATTTAAAATACCAGAAAATGCTCTTGGTTGTTGGAAACATTAAGAATTGAAATGATTAATTAATTGAGGATAATATGGTAAATTCACACTTTTTCATATTAAAAAAATATTTAAATTAAAAGAAAAATCAGATAATGTATCATATTTTTATGGAACACAACTACCCATTATATTTTTTAATTCGAAAATAAATTAAATTTTTTTAAAAAAAAAGCCTTTGGTAGACGCAGAAGCACATGTGAAGAGGCTGATTGATTTCTTTTATATATGATTACAATTGTTTAATAGAGGAGATAATAATGTCTTGCATACTTAAAAAAAAGTAATCAGATAAGGTAAAATAATAATATACCTATTTGATATGCAAGGCCAGAAAAACCGGAGCAACCGGGACCTCCGGTGAGCCAAAGCACCAGGGGGTCTTCCTTGGGACTCCTCTCCGACTCAATGAAGTAATAAAATAGCTGCACATCATCCAAATCGCCCACCCCCACATACCTTTATTTCTTTCATACCAATTAGTAACTCATAGTGGGAACAACTAGTATTTAGTTGTGTGTATAATAAGAGAAAAATTGATTACACCTAAGATGGTGTTGATAATAGTTGAAAAATTACTAACCCGGTTTCAAGTTTAAAGGGGAGTTCATCGGAAAAGCCTGGTAGGGTGTCGATGGTGGATTTTGATGCAACAATAATGTGACTGTTAAGGAAGACCAGAAGAAGTGCTAGAGGCAACATGGTGATGATGCTCTTGAAATGTTGGAGGTCTGATAGAAGGAGACCCTGCTCTCACAATCACAAGGATATATAGATGATCAGAACATGTGGTTCGATAGAACAGTTACGTGAAATAAACTCTTTGACTTTATCCATTTAGGGTCAATGTATCGTTTACCGTTTTTCATAAATATAGAAATACCTAGATATATATCTATGGAGGGGGAGTGCCATTCAAAAAAAAAAAAAAAAAAAAAAAAAAAAAAAAAAAAAATTTTGCCATGTTTCAATTCCTTAATTTATTTATTTTTCCGTCTAAATTAATTGGGTTTTCAACTTGTGTTGCGGGTTTCAAATCGGGGAATGAAGAAGGCCATAGAAGCTCTAGTGAAGGAAATGAGTCTTCGAAGATTCGCAAAGTTGGTTTTAGAGTCAATCTGAGTTGAGCATCTGTCTAAACTGATGGACATTTTTGTGTAAAAAATGGTCAAAGAACTATGATAGTAGAAGTAGAATTTACCATATGCTCATTGAATTAAGGGTAGTAAGGTACTAGCATGCCACACAATAAGTACAAAGTCTCTGTAATTTGACTCATAATCCACTTTGGTTTGTAATCAAGTCCAGAATGAAATTCTGGCAGGGCAATAGGCGACTTCCACATTTGAGGGCATTTTCGTCTCTCCAAGACATTTGCAATCAACAGAAAACGTAACTATTCAGAGTTCTATACTTGATTGCTAACTAATTCTCAAATCAAAGTGAAAAACGTGTCGAACCATAAGAACAAAAAATAAGTGATTTGACCTAAATTTATAAAGGTAGTATTGTCTGAGAGAGAATGAGAGTTAGAAATTTATACGACACCATGATTCTGAAGAATATTGTAGCACATCTAACAAGTTCTCAAATAATGCTACACTTACCACATTTTTAATGTATAATTTTATTTCTAAAATAACTATATAAACTATAAATACATAAAAAAAAATGATCATAGATGTTTAGCTAATGACTTTAGCTAGCCCACCCATTGAAAAATTCATAGTGGTTGTACGAAGGACTTAATGAGAACGATTTTATTGCTTTGCCAGAGAGACGTAAGGTGCTTGATCTCAAGTCAACCAATATGACGTGGTTGATTTCGAAGAAAGAAAATGCAAGCTAAGAAGAAAATAAGGGAAAAGAAACATGGGATCGCAAGTTTCAAGATTCTATGAACCAACATTTCGTGGAAGCAGAAAATCCGAGTTTCTTTTAGGACCACAATTTTTTTTTTTTGTTGGTATCCGCATTGCTTGCATGTCACCAAAATTGAACTACTGGCCGTGGCAGCCACAATATTTTCGGATCCAACTAATGGTCAACAACCCATTAGTCAACCTACTTAGTCTTCTCTGCTCCTCTCTTTGATTGTTGTTCAAAGGGTAAGACTTCACAGAGGATCATCCAGATGGTGTTTTTTTTTTGCATGGTTTTTGGTTTGTTTACTACATAACACATTAAAGAAGGATAATCCAGATGAATATATATATATATATATATATATATATATTAACTAGTGGTGTGTTTATAGCACACAGAGGAATTGACTCAAACAACATGAGGTCTGGTGTGTTCAGAAAATTTAATCTCAGCTTTCGGTCAAGCAAATTGCAGTGCGGAATAATTTAATAGTTCATGATTGGTCTTGGCTTCTTGCCTTTATAGTTGTATATATGTCAACTGGTTCTTTTTATCTGAGTATCTAAAGCGAACAAAAAAGGCACAACTATGAGACAGTTGTAATATGATTTTCTGACTATATTCAACTTAAACAGAAGAAAGATTAACGACTTGATGAAAAGATAAAAAGTAAGAACCAACTAAGCTGAGATAGATATCAACCCTGCAACCTGTTCGTCCACGAACCATGGCTTCCGACAACTGTCAACGGTCAAGTTCAGAGATTTTATCCAAGCCATAGTACCCACATATGGAAAACCCATGTCATGATCACCACTGTTAATAGACAAGCATTGTGTTAAGAACTGATAATTTGAGAATGAATTGATTGTGATGCACCGAGATTAGCACTTACATATATGGACCATGGGAATAGAATTCATGCTCGGGGAGGTTTATTCATTTTTATACCACATGATATGACATATCCATATCATATGTCACATCAATTAAATGAATGAAGTGTATTTTAATAAATAAACTTAGGGGGGTGTATTCAATTGAGATTTTAAAAGACTATTTAAAAATAAAAAAATTCAGCAGATTTAATCAGAATGTAATGACTTATAAGATTTTATTGATAATTTTGTATAATCAAGATTTTTAACTTTTGGATTTTAAAGATTATATCATAAGATTTTATAAGATTTGAAAGAACCATATGGATTTATATCATAAGATTTATATCTGGGTCTAACTAAATAGGGCCATAGCCCAAACCAAAATTTGAAATTTTTTTAAATACCTAGCCCAACAAATATAGTGAACTAAGAACATGGGAGGTTGCTGGTTTTACCATCTTAACGTTGGCTGCTGCACAACTGGTAACTTCAGTCAAATAATATAAAAGGAACTTGCTTGTGTTACCTTATGAACTGTTACTGTTTTGAGATATCATGTGGTTCTATGCAAGTGAAGTTTCTGCCCTATGTTTTTTTGGGTGGTAGTATTTTCTCTTCTATTCCCTACCACCTTCTTTTTCTCTTCTATCCATGTTGACTGAGGCAACAAGAACAAAAAAAAAGTATTCTCGTTGGTCATCTTGTGTGTGAATTTCTAGTCTTGTTCGTCTAATGGATAGTTTCATCATGAATCTCAAAAAAAAAAAAAAAAAAAAAAAAAAAAAAAAATAAAAGAAAAGTTGACATGCATAGGTCACAATATGCTTTGGCTCAAATGTATTCTATTCCCCAGGAAAAAAAGGGAAAAGGAAAGAAAAGACGAAAAGTTACTTCCCTTGAAATTCTCCCAAACCTCCTATGAGTAAACAACGTGAATCATGGCTATATGCAGAGAAGGTAAAGTGGGTTTGCAGGTATATAGTAGAGAAGGTGAAGTGGGTTTGCAGAGTAGAGTTGCAGAGGGATGGCTGAAGTGGCAGTGAAGCTGTTGGTTGGCTTGAAGTTGGCTTTGAGGAGTGAAGAGCAAAGTAAAAAAAAAAAAACAAATCTCAAAAAACAAAAAAAAAAAAAAAAAAAAAAAAAAAAAAAAAATCCCGTGGGTTAGGGTGGGATTTGAGATAGGGATACATCTCACTAAAAAGTCTCACACAATTTCGCATTTGAAAAAATCCTTCGAAATTAACAAGTTTTTGAATACCATAAGACTTTTTGTTACTTGTTTAAAGTTTTAATTGAATACCACAAGATTTTGACACTCTCTTTAAAAAATCTTAATAGTCTTAATGGAATATCACAAGACTTGTTTAGATTATTTAAAAGTCTTAATTGAATACCACAAGACTTATTTATCCCAAAATAATCTTTTAAAATCTCAATTGAATACACCCCCAGAAAAACAAAAACTTGTATTTTATATGATGTGGTATGTACACATCTGCCTCATCATGTGGTATAAAATGTGGTAAGTCTAGTATAATAAATAGGTGTTTTAATGATCTATAATTATTACCACATTTTTATCCCACATTTCTATACCACATGATGTGGCATATCTATATTATATGTCACATCAATTAAATCAATGAAGTGTATTTTAATTAAGACAATTAGAAAAACAAATGCTAGAATAAATCATAAAATAAAAGAAAATATCAAATAATTTTAATTGATGTGGCTGTCCACCTCAGCTGCCACATAAGATGATATAAAGATGTGGAAAGTGTATCATTATTCTTTTGGGATTATCTAGATTCATGGAGTAATGCTACACTTACCACATTATTATCCCACATTTCTATACCACATGACGTAGCATGTCTATATCATATGCCATATCCATTAAATGAATGAAGTGTATTTTAATAAATAAAATTAGAAAACATAAACTAGTATTTTACATGATGTGGTATGTACACATCAGTTGCCACATCATGTGGTATAAAAAATGTGGTAAGACTAGTATTATTCAAATTCATGATATAATTATGAGTAGTGTTACACTTACTACATTTTTATCCCATATTTCTATACCACATGATGTAGCGTTCCATATCATATGCCAAATCAATTAAATCAACGAAGTGTATTTTAATAAAGAAAGTTTAATTAACAGTGTTTTTTTAAGTGTCAACAAATTATAAAAGAAAAGAGAATGTTAAATAATTGTAATTGATGTGACTGTCCACCTCATCTGCCACATAAGGTGGTATGAGAATGTGATATACAAATGTAATAAGAGTAGCATTATTCTATAAGTATCTATAAGAAATAGGAGGATATTTGGTTCAATGTAAGTCCTTATATCTATAAATAGTTTGAGAACGCCTAAAAGGGGTGATAGGGAACTTCAATATGAGCAAGACTCAAAAGAAATCACCACAAAGGTTTTTTTTTAAAATTTAAAACGCCTCAATGGACGACCCAACAGAAAAAAGCAAGGAGAAAGAGGAAGGGAGGAGGGCAATGACACTTCTTCCTCCTCCCCCTTCATGGAGTTTTTCTTTGGGACTCAAAGAAGGAAAGAGCGACTAGGACTTCTCAAGTGTAAAAAGTACACCCTACTCACTACATAATCAAATGTAAGCGCACCCTATATTGATTATTATTATTTGATTGACTTGTAAATGTATCGACTAGACTATATGTGTGATTCATGTGAGCAATGAAGTCGTGGCTTCTCTCTCTCTCTCTCTCTCTCTCTCTCTCAACGTTTTCCCTTGTCATTTCTAATCAAACTCCACATCGTATGAATGAGGATTAATGGGTCCTCCATACATATATGTCAACATATTTGGCTAAGAATTCAAAATGTCAACTTCATAAGAAGTTAAAACATACAAACAAAGACAAGCTTGTGAATGGTTGTTAGAGATATCATATGAATTTGTTTTGTAGTCCAAATTCTGGCAGGCAGCCTTTCTCATTGATTAGGAAGAAGTGGGTGCCGTGCAGGTTTGATGTGTTAATTTGATATTATACCAGAATGATCTTTTCATTGATAGGTACAATTGCTTTATAGAAGAGTATATTAACATTCTCTCTCAAGTTGAAGAGTAGATATCAAGAACTCTCAACTTGCGAACAAAATTGTTAAATTCTTCTTTTCCCAATGCTTTGGTAAGAATGTTGGCCAACTAAGAGGACGAAATCACATGTTGTGTAGCAATCAAACCTTCCTGAATTTTATCTCACATAAAATGGCAATCCATTTCAACGTCTTGTTCTCTCATGAAATATTGGGTTAGTGGCAATATGTAAAGCTGCCTTGTTGTCACAATACAACAACGCAGATTGGCGATGATGGATGAGCAAATCCTTGAGAAGAGATCGAAGCCAAGACAACGCACAACATGCCGTTGCCATAGATCTATATTTGGCTTCTGTTGAAGACAAAGATATGGTTTTTGTCGCTTCAACTTCCATGAAATTAAAGAAGATCACAAAAACACACCATATCCTGTAGTAGACCTTCTAGTATTAAGACACCCTGCCCAATCAGAATCACAGAATGCAAGCAAAGTCAAGTCACTATGAGAAGACAACAATATCCCTTGACATGGCGTGTTCTTCAAATAACGAAGAATGCGAAGCGCGGCCCCCATGTGAGGTTTATGTGGGGCATTCATAAACCTGCTTAAGACATGAACATAGTAAGTAATATTTGGCCTTGCGATGATCAGACAAATCAAACGACCAATAAGTCTCTTATAGTGAGTTGGGTCTTTCAGCAATTCACCTTTATCAGAAATCTTAAGACCTTTTTCCATAGGAAAATAACAAGTGTGGCACTTAGGAGCTTTGCATCCTTCAAAATTTCCAACGCATACTTGCATTTGGATAAGAAAAATATCTTTCTTTGATCTTGATACCTCAATCCCCAAAAAATAATTTCAAATATCCAAGATCTTTAATAGAAAAATGACTGTGCAAAAAATCTTTGAGTGTTGAGATAGATGTAGTATCATTGCCTGTAATTACAATGTCATCAACATAAATCAATAATGCTGTGAAAGATTGCTCCTTATTGCGTTTAAACAACGAATAGTTAGCTTTAGATTGAACATAACTAGTAGAACAAGGGGCCTAAAAAAACTTAGCAAACCATTGACGAGAAACTTGCTTTAAACCATAAAGAGATTTATGAATGTGACATTTCAAGTTCTCCCATTGTCGCCGAAGACCAGGATGAGGGATCGTATAGGTTTCCTCATGGAGATCACCATGAAGGAAGGCATTGTTGCCGTCAAGCTGATGAAGAGGCCAATTACAGGCGATGGCAAGAGCAAGTAAATAGCGAACTGTAGGTATCTTTGTAGTAAGAGAAAAAGTGTTATGATAATCGACACCTTCCATAAAGTAAAACCTTTAGAGACCAAACGGACTTTGTACTGTTCGACAGACCTATAAGATTTGAGCTTAATTATATACCCATCGACAACCAATAGGTCTTTTTCCAGCATGTAATGCAGTAAGACTCCAACTGTGATTATCAAACAAGGCCTGTAATTCAGATTGCTTGGCTTCTTGCCAATGAGAGTGAGGAGTGACTTCTTCATAAGAATTGGGTTCAACCAATTGACTGACTTGTGCAATGAAAGAGAGGTGAGTCGGGGAATAACGATGATAGGAGAGGTAGTTATAGAGCGGAAAACGTGTACCTTTAGTAGGACCCAACAACAAAGAAGACAATTGATCAGGGATGGGCAATATAACCTGATTGCAGATATAATCACATAAGCAAACGGATGTCACCGAGAGATGGTCAGACCAGTGAAGAGGAGGTGGTTCAGGTGTGGCTACAGGTGGACCAGTGACAGATGGACTGGGTGCAGGCTCGGTCGATAGAGATAATGGCAGGGAGTTAAGCGCATCCGGCTTTGGGAGCGGATGGGGACGAAGGCATGAGACCAGGAGTAGCAAGTTCAACTATGGAGAGTGATGTGATTGGGCTGGTGCTCGACAACCTAGATGGAGTAGTGACTAAAGAAGAAAAAAATTGGTCCAGGTCAGATGAGGAAGAAACTGCCCGAAAAGAAGAGTAGACTGAAATTGGAGAAAGAGAAGATAAATGTTGATAAGGAAAAATATTTTCAGGGAATATAACATCACGACTTGTGAAAATTTTATGAGACTCAAGATCATAAAGTTTGAAAGCTTTTTGACCAAAGGGATAACCAAGGAAAACATAAGGAATAGCACGAGGAGCAAATTTATGTGCCACATGAACATTGGTGACATAGACAAGACAACCAAAAACACGAAGATTTTTTTTAAAATAAAGACGTTCAAAAGGACTATTAAAAGAAAGAAGAGGAGTAGGAAAATGATTTATGAGATGAACTGCAGTTAAAACACATTCCCCCCCAAATTTGGAAGGAATATGGTGACCCCATTTTGTTGTGGTGTATAGACGCAAGAGTGTTGAAAAATGACACCTTGTTCATGAAAAAAAATTCCCCTCCATTGTTGGTATAGAGTTGCTTAATTTTGGAAATAAATTGAGTGCCAACAAAGGAAAATAAATTTTTTAAAAGATTTTGTCTCATGTTTATGACACATTAAAAATACCTAAGTAAAGCGGGAATGATCATCAACTATGGTGAGAAAATAATGAGCACTAGAAATTGTCGAATGCTTATAAGGGCCTTAAATATCACAATGAATTAAATCAAATGAGGTGATAGAGGAAATTGAACTTGTTCCAAAAGGGTGATGACTCTGTTTTGCCAAAGGACAAACATGGCAAGGATTATTTGATACAAAAGGGAAATCTAGTAAATGCTTAGACATAAAATTTAATTTGGAAGAAGAAACATCGCCAAGACGACGATGCCAAAGATCAGTTGAGGTGACAGTAAGATTGCAGAATGGATGGTGAGGGAAGAGTGGTTGGTTGTGTTTGAGGGTTTCTCCGCCGACAGTGCCACCAAATAATAAAGCCAGCCATGTTGCTTACTAGGTCTTCCTCGTAACAAGGTCTTGCAAAATACACCAATATGGGAAAAAAATCACTAAACAATTCAAATTTTTTGTAACTCTACTCACAGACATCAAATCTATTGTGAAAGTAAGTACACATAGCACATCATGAAAAGTATAAGTAAAATTGAGAGGGAATGATCTTGTGGTGGTAATTGAGGCCTTCACCCCACTAGGCATAAGGACTGGTTGGAGAGAATGATCGACATTATGATGAACTAACAATTTGGGAGACGAAACAATGTGATTTGTTATGCCATTATTGATAATCTATCATTGAAATTTTAATTTGGAGATACCTTTATTGGTAGCGGCAGCATTGACATGAGGTTGCTCGCCAGTCGCTTCTTTGTCATTCATGATAGCCAACATTTTCTGAAGAAAGGCCGGACATAGTAAACTGCATCTCATTCTTGGTTGGGCCTTTCGAAACATGATTTGAAGATGGACCACCACGAATTTTCTTCTGTTTGTGGCGTGGATGACCTTCTGGATACCCATGAAGCTTCCAACATGCATTGATGAGATGACCATCGTCATCACAGTGAGTGCAATGAGGCCGATTTTTGGAAGATCCGGCGCGGCGGTCTTCATAGTTAGAGGTTTGGGAACGGTTTTGGTTTGACCAATCAATGCAACGATCATCGTGGTTGGTGGACTGATTTTGATTGGGTCATCCAGTTCTAATAGCCATGAATGCAGCATCGAAGGTTCCAGCAGCTCATGAGGCTCCAAGCATGCGTTGCTTCTCTTCTTGGTTGACGGAAGCTTATGCTTAGAAAATGGTGTGCAAGGGATTCATTAAGAGAATTTGGCCTCGAAGGAATCACCCATGGTGTCTGGCAGTGACGGTTTTGCGGCACGAGCAGGTAGAATGTGGCAGAGAAGGTTTTGAGAGAGCTAGGGTTTAATTGCCACGTTTTGATCCCATGTGAATTTGATATTATACCAGAACGTCATTAATAGGTACAATTTCTTTATACAAGAGTATATTCATGTACAAGGAAACTAATCCTGTAATCTAGGAAATCAACTAGGAAAGCAAAATCTTAATTACAACACTATTGATACTAATTGATATTATACAAATAGACTTCTTAAATTCAAAATGTCAAGTTCATAAGAAGTTAAAACATACAAACAAAGACAACCTTGTGATTGGTTGTTAGAGATATCATATGAATTTGTTTTGTAGTCCAAATTCTGGCAAGCGGCCTTTCTCATTGATTAGGAAGAAGTGGGTGCCGTGCAGGTTTGATGCGCCCACATGATTGAAACTGGATTGCTCCTCCTACGTGTCTAACTAGAGTACACGGAACAAAGAGCCGTTTCATGTCCCATCTCAACCACTCATCCCATCACGGTCAACAAAGAGCCGTTTCATGTCCCATCTCAACCACTCTTCCCATCACAGTCAACCCATCTCAACCACTCATCCCATCATGGTCAACAAAGAGCCGTTTCATGTCTCATCTCTTTCGTGTCTAATACTTACAATCACTCGCGCAAAGTAGACGTATGATTTATTCAGTTTAACTCATAGAACCTCCACCAAATGCATTTGTTTAATATATGTGTAAAGCACAGGAGAACATTAATAGAGTCAAGAGTGGAATTATGAATTTTTCAACAGATAGACTATAGCTAAAATATTTAGGATAAAATCTAATGATTTTTTTTCTTTTTTTGTACTTACAGTTTTTATAGTTTATAGAAATAAAAGTATATATTAAATCATACAAACCGTACTAGTTCATAGCTCTATTGACTAATTTCAAATAAATTTTAACATAACACAAATACATATTACATGCAACAAGAAACTAACATTATCAAAATGAAAATGTGTTCAACAACGAAATTAAAAGTATACCTATTTTAATATGTATTTTTATGACTTCCGTGTAACTAAATTTATAGAGAATTGGTTTTTTCATTTATCTTTCTTCACATACATGTTTGGTTTTTTGTTTTTTGTGGTTTAATTCTTCACTTTATTATAAAAAGATTTTCTGATGGTCTGTTACCAATGTCATAAAATTTCAAAATAGAATAATATCATCTAAAATATGCAGAGAGTGGAAAAAAGGTACCTAAATTTTCATATACAAGGGCAGAGAAGGCAGAACAACCAGAGGACCTCCAGTGAGCCAAGGCACAAGAGGATCATACTCTGGAGTACCCCTTCTGACTCAAAGAAGTAATACAATAGCCGCGCATCATCCGTGCCGCCCACTCCCACGTACCTTTATCTAATTAAAGCCACAAAGTATATGTAATTCATTGTCATGTTTTGTATTAATGTAACTCATATTGCACATGTTTATATATACAGAGTAGAGAATAACAGTTTCAAGTTTATGTGATGTGAATAATTGACTCAAACAGACACACAGGAAAGGCTTTACCAATCCAACATCAACTAATGAATTTTGCTGTGAACCAATTGACTTATTAATTTGGGGATACACCAATAGAAATTCTGACTACAGCGGGTAGTATGCGAACCACCTACTAATCATAGCATGACATTCTTCAGGTTTGTACTGTGGAGCTGTGTGACCGGCTCCCTGAAAAATCAGAAAATTTAGTCTCAGCTTTTGGTCAAGCAAATTGCAGTGTGGAATAATTTAAGTTCATGAATCATGATGGGTCTTGGCTTCTTGCCTTTATAGTTGTATATGTCAACTGGTACTTTTTATCTGAGTACTGCATTCTGTATCTAAAGGGAACAAAAAAAGGCATAACTGTGAGATAGTTGTAATCTGATTTTGTGACTAAACTCAACTTAAACAGAAGAAAGATGGAGGACATCAGAAAATAAAAAAGTACGACAGAAGCTGAGATAGATATCAACCCTGCAACCTGTCTGTTGACGAACCATGGCTTCCAACGACTGCCAATAGTCAAGTTCAGAGATTCTATCCAAGCCATAGTACCCACATACGGAATATACATGTCGTGATCACCAATGTTAATAGACAAGCTTTGTGTTCAGAAGAAATGATAATGTGAGAAGTAAGGTTAAGCCTATCTTTCAATTCATGTACTTGAATGTTCCCTCCCATTATAACTCCATGGATTGGTGACAAATAAGACTTTCTGCTTGACTAAAACAAAAGAAAACTGGACAGTTTATAAGCATGCATATGCGACAATATATAGTACCTGTAAATCAGAACTCTATAGCCTTGTTTTATGAGGTTCTCATGATAGACAAGACTAGATGAAACGTCAGATATATATAAATCTTGTAAGGCCTTATTTCATCTCACCCATTCCTTAATGCTTCCCTGATTGTCATAAGATCAGCAAATTTAAAGTACTGTGATATGTCATGAAAACCAGAAGAACATATTGTGAATGAACTAATTAATTACCTCTTGAATATGAAGAGCATCTTGGACAGTTTTGTCATTTGCCCAAATATAAGTGAAGATATAATCGTAATGCTACATTAAAACAAGGCAGGTATATAGACTCAAAGTTCACATTTAGTACAAAAAACACTTTCGAGTAAGCCAGAACCTACAAATAAGTTACTGCTATATAGTATGCACTGTGTGTGTGCGTGCACGTATGCGTGCATGGTGCAGTGCAGAGAGACTTACCCGACACCATGGCCTATGGAGTTGAGGAAAAGAAAGGAGGAGATTTACAGAGTCCTTATTACTGAGATCGTTTGCATACCACTTTGACCGCGCTGATTTTAATGATGGCATAGCACATGAAGATTCCAATATCTGTACAATGTTTATGTCTTTGATAAGTCAGTATTTTGATCCCATTACTTAGATTTGGCAAGCACTTGCAGAAACCAAAGGATTTATTTCTTTCCACTCACCTCGTTGTAAAGTTCAAGATCACTCACACATAACGAGTTGTTTAGATCCACATTGATATAGTCTCCCTCGCAGTTTCTTTTCGTTGACTTGCACAGCACAAAAAACATAACTACATTTAAGAAAGACAATCTTTTGTACAGGAGCCATATTTTGATCATACGTCAGAATAGCACAGAATGATTTGAAGAGCCAGAATCCAATATCTACATGAAAATCGACAAGAAGCAACATAATCAGTGCGTATTTCACCTGGTATAGCTCGTCTGATATAAGTGTGTTTAGGTAAGAAAATAGCACTCTGGAATTCTCATCCTTTTCAGAATCTGTCACTGGATTGCCAAGCACATATCCCTTCAGCCAATATATATAGAACATTAGGCCCACTGGCATATATTCAGGAATTAATTAACTACAACACAACAGAACTCATTCAAAATCAAGTGGCAGCACTTGTACTTTGAGATTCATTGGTGGCACATGTTCATTACGATTACCTACATAAAAATAAAAGTAAATTAAAATCAATACCTCATGAAACTAAATGTTCGCTTTATTTGTCCATCTGCTATATATATTGAGCAATTAGAGGTGACGAATGAAATGTTCAATATTATTTGCAGGTGAGACTGAAATAAAGGTTGGATGATTGACCCTTCTCTCAATTCTTGGTAGCTGAAACTGACAAAAGGTCAAATTTAAGAGGGTTACCAACTTACCATCTGATATTTCCTTAACAACGATAGGAACAATTATGCCGGAATAAGAATCTCCGACAACATAAAGTGGATTATTGTAGAACTTGGGATGATCCATAAGCCACTGCACCACAACATTGAAAACAACAATGTAGCTAAGCTAGATGCAAGAAAGGAGGGTTAAATTCCAACAGCCAATCATGTCAATTTTTGAAACCATTCCTAATCTTTTGAAAGATGAGCATGAACTAAACATTAACCTTGTAGGCAAGTGTACCCTCCTCACCATTCTAAGAAATTCATATTTTTTGCATAAGAGAATCCTGTGCCCACCGGTGCGTCTAGAAATATTATGTTGGCAACCTGAAAGTTTGGATATTGTTCTTCCCAATGCTAAAGATCACACGCAAAGACATAAACACAAACACCTAGAAGGCAATTGAAGTCTCCTACCTTTGTCCATGAGTACGGATTCTGTAGAAAAATAGACAAGAGAGAAGTTTGGGTTGAATCACTCGATGATTTGATTCATATTGAGATACACCATATATACAGGATTCTAGCGGTGGTCAACTATAACAAAAGAGGAAAATACATGATTACAGGGATTTGTACATAAATTGTACCAATCACGTTGTGATTGGAGGTTGACTTGAGATAGTGGGATTCTTGGCTTGATTGTCGTTCTCTTCACCCCCCCTCAAGCGAAACGGAACCAAGTGGAGATTGAGCTTGCCAGAAAGGAAGGAGAACCGTTCTCTGGAGAGACTTTTGGTAAAAATGTCGGCTAATTGATGTTGGGAAGAGACATGGCGTGTGCGAAGAACTCCACGTGCCAGTAGTTCACGAACAAAATGATAATCAATTTCAATATGACGCGTGCGAGCATGGAAGACGGGATTTGCGGCCATGTGAAGGGCAGAAATATTGTCGACAAAGACGCATGGTGGAGTGCGAAGCGGAACCCCAAGTTCACGGAAAAGATAACGAAACCATTGAAGTTCAGCAACTGTTGTAGCAAGGGCTCTATACTCGGCTTCTGAGCTGGACCTAGAAACGGTGGATTGCTTTTTGGCGGTCCAGGTGAGAATGTTGGGACCAAGAAAGATGCATGCCCCACTAGTTGAACGACGGTCGTCAAGAGAGCCGGCCCAATCTGCATCAGAGAAGGCGCGTAATGTGTAATCAGGGGAAGAGCGATAAATAAGGCCATGTTCAATAGTCCCTTTTATGTAACGATAAATGCGTTTGACGGCTTGTAGATGAGTAGTCTTGGGATTGTGCATGTATTGACAGACTTGGTTGACGGCATATGCAATGTCTGGGCGAGATAAAGTGAGATATTGAAGTCCTCCAACCATGCTACGATAGGTTTCAGGGTCTGAAAGGGAATCACCATCATGAGCAGAGAGTCGTTGAGAGGAAAGCAAAGGTGTAGGGCAAGGTTTGCAGAGGTCCATTTTAAACTTCTTTAATAAATCTGAAGCATATCTGGCTTGAGACAAGGACAACTGATTGGCACATCGAGTGACTTCCATGCCAAGGAAGAAATGGAGAGCACCCAATTTTCGACTTGCAAATGTGGAGCATAATTTGTCAATGAATGTGTTGATGACAGAAGCATTTTGGCCTGTGACAATAAGATCATCAACATATACTAGCACATAAATGGAAAAAGTGGAGGAGTGATGGATGAATAAAGATGCATCAGACTTGCTATGAAGGAAGCCTTGACCAAGTAAAAGGAAGTAAGGCGCTGAAACCAAGCTCGGGGGGCTTGCTTGAGTCCATAAAGTGCCTTGTGAAGTCGGCATACGTGCTTAGGGTGAAGAGGATCGACAAAGCCAGGGGGTTGCACCATGTAGACTTCTTCTTGTAAAATACCATTGAGGAAAGCATTGCGTACGTCAAGTTGCTGTAAGATCCAATTTTGTGAAACCGCCAAGGCCAAAATAGTGCGTATAGTGGCAGGTTTAACAACAGGACTAAAGGTCTCGTAGTAGTCAAATCCTTCCTTTTGATTATATCCCTTGGCCACAAGACGGGCTTTATGTCTCTCAATGGTGCCATCGGCCTTACGTTTGACGCGAAAGACCCACTTACATCCCACAATATTCATATTTGGGGAGATAGGAACTAGGGACCAAGTCTGATTACGCATAAGGGCATCATATTCTTCTGTCATGGCTTCTTGCCAATGAGGAAACTTGGAGGCCTGAGTGTAGCTGGAAGGTTCCAGTGATAAAGGATCTTTAAGACTTGCTGTTAATCCTTGCGGAAGTGGATGCGAAGGTGGACCGTGGATAAGTCTGTTGAGTTCATCAAGGCTCCTAAATTTGGGTGGCATTGGTGAAGATTGGGGGGGTAGATGGAGATATTGGAGTGGCATCAGGACTGTTGGCACGTGAAATAAGAGGACTGCTGAGAGGATCAGGAATATGAGAGACACTGTCACTGGGCTGAATTGAATCAATTGGGCCATCTGTGTGGGCTGGCATTGGCAAGAGAGGTGCTTGATCACGCTCTTGCTGAATGGGCTCTCTAAGGTTGCTGGTGTGTACACTTGGATTGCCAAAATCAGCTGCTGGAGTTACATCATTTAAAGGAGATGGCTTGTCTGGAATATTTCTTTGCTGTGAAAGGATAGAGAACTCCAATGGAATGGATTGCAGTGACTGCCCACTTGGTGACACCTTTGATTTAAGCTCTTGATAAGGGAAAGTAAGTTCATCAAATTGAACATTACGAGAAATATAGATTTAACCTGAGGCCACATCTAAGCATCGATATCCCTTGTATTTGTTGTCATAACCAATGAATATGCACTTTATGGATTTAGGCATGAGCTTGTGCTTATTATATGGTACCATGTGAGGAAAGCATGTGCAGCCAAATGCTTTAAGAAACCTGTAATCTGGGGATTGGTGAAATAATTTTTCATATGGGGATATATTACCAAGGTGAGTCATGGGCAAACGGTTTATGAGAAACACTGCTGTAGTGAATGCCTCAACCCAAAAATTAGATGGCAAGTGTGATTGAGCAAGTAAGCAAAGTCCCATCTCAACTATATGTCGATGCTTCCTTTCGACGGTGCCATTTTGTTGTGGCGTGTAGGGACATGACACCTGTTGGGATATACCGTTATCACGAAGAAAGTTGACAAAAACACGGCTAGTAAACTCACCACCACCATCAGTTTGCAACATTTTAATTGTCTTGGTAAATCGATTTTCTGCCATCTTTTTGAAAGTAATGAAGGTAGACATCACATCTGATTTTCTTGCCAATGGAAATAACCACACAAAGCGAGAATAATCATCCACAATTGACAAATAGAATTTATAGCCATAGTTTGATAACATAGGAGATGGTCCCCATATATCAAGATGCAACAACTCAAGAGGATTTTGTGTATTAGAAGTACGGTAAGAAAAAGGGAGTCTACAGGCCTTGCCTAGTGGACAAATATGACAACTTTTATTAAAGGCCATAGTACCACTAATGGGTAAGTGGTATTTATTCACCAACACTCGCAGAATATCAGAGGAGGGATGTCCAAGTCGGGTGTGCCACACGTCCTGGGTTGTTCTTTCTCCATAGAACACGAGCTTGCTCCTAACTTGCGGGTCTGCACGGATGTAGTAGAGATCTCCATGGCTACTCCCAATAAGTAAAATTTTCCCCGTCTTGTTGTCCTTTACACGAAAACCATTATAATCCATCTCAAAGTAACAGTTATTGTCACGTGAAAAACGTCTTATAGATAAAAGATTCTTTGTGATGGCAGGAACATACAAGACATCATGCAGCACTAGAGAGCCATGGGAACATGATAAAGTGGTTTTACCAATATGGGAGATAGGCAACTGGTTACCATTTCCTACGATAATTGAGTCGTTACCTGTGTATGGTTGGACATGGGAAAGCAAGGAAGGATCCGATGTCATATGATGGGTTGCTCCTGAATCGACAACCCAATTTTTGCTGACTGGTCCAGACACGGAGGAGGTGCTTTCATTGGCTTCAGCAACGTAAGCAAAATTTCCGCGTTCAGGACAAACCCGAGACGTGTGCCCAGGTTTGTTACATTGTTGACAAATAACTAAGAATTGGTGGTGCTGTTGAGGAGACGGCGTTGGAAGGAGGGGAGGCCGATTATCTGAGGATGGATGTTCTGAAAACCCACGATGATTATTATTAGAAGACTGAGCCCACTTGCCTTGCCGATTACTAGAGGTCCAATTACGGTCGCCGTTGCGATAACTATTGTCACAACCTGAGTTCCAGTCGCGACCACGACCACGTCCCTTTCCACGGTTGTGCCTGTTGTTGTTGTCGGTGTAAGGTCGAGGATTTGAGTGGTTCTGCTGATTATTTGAGGTCCGATCAGCGACAAGAGCTGTTCCTGTAGAAATAGAGAGAGATGACATCCTTTTGATCAGGTGTTCTTCTTGGATGAGGAGATCATAGAACTCGTCGAAAGTGAAGGACGAACGGAGATGCAATGAAGTTGTAAACTCCTTGTATTCGTGCCCCAAGCCATCGAGAATAAATTCGATGAGTTCTCCTTCTGTCATCATCGACCCGGCAATAGCAAGTTGATCATAAAGAGATTTGGCATCCAGGAGATATTCTGTCATTGCTTTTTATGGTTCTTTCTTTAGGCTACGAATTTGATCACGGAGTGTGCGTAAGTGAGTTTTGGACAGTGGTGAGAGTCTCTTTTCAAGGAGGGTCCAAGCTTCGTATGCTGAAGTGCAAGAGATTAGGAGGGTTTTGATAGAGGGAGATGCGGTAGCTTTTATCCAGCTGAGAACTAATTTGTCCTTGGCATAGGTGGGGTTGATTGAGCCATCCTCAAGCCTTTTAGCAGGGCGATTTTCATTCTTCACGACATCCTCCAAGTCATGGATTTCCAGGACATCAAGAAATTGCGATCTCCAAGAGAGGAAATTGTTACGATCCATAGGTGTATTGAATATGTGGGAGATATTGAAGGAGGTTGGAATTGCGGCTGACATGGAAAGGATAGAATTTTGAGAGGTTTGAGAAATTTGGGAAGAGGTTTGAGAATTGACAGAAGAAGGGATAGGCGAGCCTTCGTCGATGGCCATAGGAACTGTTGGATCGAGTTTTGAGCGTTAGCCCCTGTAAAGCTCTGATACCATGTAGAAAAATAGACAAGAGAGAAGTTTGGGTTGAATCACTCGATGATTTGATTCATATTGAGATACACCATATATACAGGATTCTAGCGGTGGTCAACTATAACAAAAGAGGAAAATACATGATTACAGGGATTTGTACATAAATTGTACCAATCACGTTGTGATTGGAGGTTGACTTGAGATAGTGGGATTCTTGGCTTGATTGTCGTTCTCTTCAGATTCAACTTTAATTTTGGTTTGTTGCCAATGGAATGTGTGCATAGTCAAAGGATAGTGGACCCAGTTTCAAGTTCGAAGGGTGTTAGAATTCATTGTTTTCAGTGTTTTGGATGTTTGGGAGGAAGGAAGAAATCAGAAAAACCAGATGTAGAAGAGAACGTTGCTCTAAAAGAAAGCTGAAGATTCTTTCTATTTCATTCCACTGTTCATGTATATTCGTATGAGAGAGAGAAGAGAGCTGCTTCTCTAACTGATTTAAATCAAAATTGAATCCTAGCCATTGATTCTATCATCCTGTGAGATGCTTACATTTGTCACTAGCTGGCACTAAAGTCTTAGGCTAGAAAGAGAGTCCACTTGGACTATGATCCAATGGCTCACATTACATCAGAAAATTAAAAACTTATAAAATGAAATCAAAACAGACTTTGTGACTTTGGTTTTCAGCTCAAGGGTTACACATCAACAAAAGGGAGGTCACCGCGAAAGCCAGGTAGGGCATTGATGATTTTGGAAGTCGATGCAACATGAATGTTCATAAGGATAACCAGAAGAAGTAGTCATGATAAACAAGACTAGAGGAAACATCGTGCTGATAAGCTGTTGTTGCATCTCACCCATTCCTTAATGCTTTATCGTTGGCCCAAACCTCAGAGAAGATATAATTGTCTTTCTGCCATGAAAAGCAAAGCAGATATGCTTAGTTAAGGAGAGTTCAACAAAGGCATACGAGTAACCTACAGCATAAAGATCAGTTATTGCTGGTATGCATGTGTGAGATATAGAAACTCACCCGACACCATTGCCTGGGAAGTTGAGAAAAAGGAAGGAGAAGATTTACACAGTCCTTATTAATTTCAATTAATTAAAGTTGTTTGCTAAAAATTAATTTCAATTCATTTTTTATATATAAAAAATAAAATAAAAATAAAAAAATAAAAAAAGGACCCGAAACGCCCAGGCCGCCTAGGCGGATTTTTCGAACACTGCTAAAAATAAAATGATGAAAACGAGTGACGCACTTTGAGCTCTTCTGCAACTCTAAACTCTCAAATGGAGCAGTTCAAAGGCCAGCCTCGGCTGCCGAAATTCGCCTTGCCGAAAGGATACGACATAACGTTCAAACCGGACCTCACCGCTTGCAGTTTCGGCGGTGCCGTTGCCGTCGAGCTCGATATCATCTCCGATATCTGGTTAGTCGTCCTCAATGCGGCCGACCTCTCTGTCGATGCCGCTTCCGTGTCTTTTACTCACAGAGACTCTTCCAGCAAGGTACTATTGATCCATGCATTTGCTTGCTTGCTTTAGACAATTTACAAAACAGAACAAAATAAAAAAGCTATCTTCATTTGGAATTTGGAAGTCCTACTCAATTTATCTGGGTGTGCAGTGGAGATCAATCATGCTGCTGATGTTGATGAAATAATAAGTTACAGAAAAGGAGCTTCTGTTCATGATCGATTATGATACAAGGACCCCCTTTATAATTTGTCCCTTGATATTTCTCAGCTCTACTGTTCTGGGTTGGATTTGCTATATATATGCTCATGAGTTGTAATTTTTTTTCTTCACAGAAATAACTAATATTGATGGGTTAGTTGTCCACGAAGTGGTTGCTTTCAATTTCTTAAAGAACATTAATGGTGTCCAACTACCTTCCAAAAAAAAAAAAAAAAAAACAAAAAAACAAAAATAGAGGTCTGTGATGAAATAATTTAATAAAATTTTGAGATAAAATCTCACACCTAATTGATTCTTAGTGGACAATGTCGCCAAACAAGGTTCACGCATGCAAATAATGTCACCTCAACTTTCATACACTTTCGCGTATTCGTGTTGAAGGTTGTAGATTAAAATTACACTCAGATAAGTGATCAAGTACTTTTAGTTACAGTGATAAACATTACATGTGTATAATGCAGTAATTTTTCTAATTTAGTATACTAGGTTAAAGAGGAGAATGCGCCAGTCACCTATTGATCATATCAAAGTATTCCTTAGGATTGTACTCTGGAGCTGTATGCCCTCCTTCCTGCACATTTGCAACTGGGAATTATTTATTCCATCATAAGTGATTATTAGACTTACTTCAAAGAGAAGATCAATAAAACTTGGAAGCCATCACTCATGCCTTTACAGTCGCATATGTCAAATTATACTCGTTGTTTGAATAGTACATTGTGTATCTGTAAAATGAATCAATGAAAAAGGAGAACAAAAGATCAAAGTTAGTATTAAACATTGAAATTCCTAAACCCAAAAATAAAAATCCAAACCCGAAAAAATCATGAAAACAACTACAAATCCTGCAACTTGATGATCAGAGAACCATGGTTTCCAATCATCCTCAAGTGTCAAGTTCAAGGATTCAATCCATGCCAGTGTACAAGAAGACCCTCTTCTCACAAGGATATTTATGATTTCCTTACCTATTTTATTTATGACATTTGTTTAGTAAAATCAGTTTACCATTTTCAACAAATCAATTAAAACATTTTGTTGTTTAGAAAAGAATAGAGTTTGACAGAGTTAGCTCATGTGAAAAGCGATTGTTCAAGAGTTTGACGGATCACTGAAATACAATTGATAGTGAACTTCACAAGGTGTCAATAGAAGGAGATTGAATATGTATATATTCTGGCAAATATAAATCTGGAGAAAGTTTGATGTCCTGTTCTACAGAAGGAATATATTTCTCATCCAAAGAAGGAACATGTGTTACACAAAAGTAACATTGACAAGCAACAGCTACATCCAATTGACAATATTCTTGGAAATTTTTTCACCGAAACACTATCAGCTGCAGTGTGTAAACTAAAATATCTCAAGTTCATGGTGAAATCGACTATGGATTTCTTTAATACAAGAGATCACCCAAATGGACAAATTTTCAATACAAATATATAGGTGTGGAGTTGCTTGAATGAGCTAATTAAACATAGTAATATGCGAGCCACCTATCAATCATTGCAAGACATTCCACAGGCTTGTATTCTGGAGCTGTGTGGCCAGCTCCCTGCATACGTCAAACAAAAGTTAATTTCCATTATTTTAGTTTTTTTGTATTTGTTTTATTTTAAAGAAACATAGCTGAGAAGAATTAAAACAGGATTTCCAGTTCTTGCCTTTACAGTAACGAATGTCAAACTGTACGCTTTCCTTGTATATGCATTGGTGTACCTATTGAAATTTTTTTATATAATTAAATTAGAAATTGTTGTGACATTATGAAAATAGTGAAACAATATATGCGACTAACTAAAATTGATAGTGGCAACGGGGTCTAGTCCAGTGGAAAAGAGTCTTGACTTGCAGACTAGTGATCTCAGATTAGAATCCCTATGACACATTGACAGTGTATGTACGTATGAGAAAATCCTTTACCCCTAATTGCATGTATAAATAAAAAATGAAAAATAGTGGCAAGTAGGAAGTAGCAACCAACCCTGCAACTTGGCCATTAACAAACCATGGTCTCCATTGATAATCAACACTCAAATTGAGAGATTTTATCCATTCTTGAGTGCCCACATATGGAATAAGCATGTCATGATCACCACTGTACCAAAAAAATAAAATCTACAAATTAACTATGATATTTCAGACAGAGGAATTATTTATCTATTTATTTGCACAAACGTTTGTGGTTTTTTAAGGATGGAAATGGAGAAAATTACGAAAATTGTAACCCGTAAACCACTGCTCTAAGGTTTTTCTTGGTGAGGTTTCGATGATAGTCAATACTAGTTCTAACATCATGTGCATAATTGCTAGATATGCTCTGATTGCATTTTTCCCAACCCTTTACTGTTCCCTGCACATTGTAATGGTAAATAAAAGTGTGAATATTTTATGTAGGTATTGTAATTCTCAAAATTAATACTTACCTCTCGAACGTGAAGAGCATTTTGGACTGTTTTATCATTAGCCCAAATGAAGGAGAACAGATAGTTATAAGTCTGCAAAGAAGTAAGGGTAGTAAGGTACTAGCATGCCACACAGTAAGTATAAAGTCTCTATAATTTGACGATTTCATGAAAATTTGGTGTATATCATGAAAATTTTGGCGATTTCAGTTTTGTAATTTTGTTTGGTTTGTAATCAAGTCCAAAATGTAAACTTTTGTAAATGAAATTCTGGCAGGGCAATAGGCAACTTCCACATTTGAGGGCATTTTCGTCTCTCCAAAACATTTGCAATCAACAGAAAACGTAACTATTCAGAGTTCTACACTTGATTGCTAACCAAACTGAATTATAGGAGTAAATTCTCAAATCTAAGTTAAAAATGAGTCAAACCATAAGAACCAAAAATAAGTGATTTGACCTAAATTTATAAGGGTATGTATTGTCTCTGAGAGAGAGAGAGAGAGAGAGTCTGAAATTTACACGACACCATGGTTCTGTAGAATGATGTAGCATGTCTAAGAAGTCCTCGCCATTGAAGTTTTGATCCCATTTGAATATTTTTGGGTTTGGAGACATAGTACTACACTTTGGCTCCAATATTTGGTTATAATATATCTTCTGGGTGCACTGAAAATTTGTTAGAGTGGCAAATGGATCTTCAGTTCAAAGTTTGAAAATAAATGTGAACTAAGAACAATGTCGTAAATTAGTAATTCTCACCTCAGTGACTCCTTGGAGGTTTTCCACACAAGGTGCATTGCTCGGATCTACTTGAACATACTCGCCCTTGAAATTTGTTTTAGTTGACTATATATAATGCGAAGAGATTAGGTCTCAAATTATTGCCCAATAACAGACATTATTTCAGTGTTTTGCTCGGTCATTTGCACAAAAATTATACACACTCAAATGCAATTTGCTCGGTCATAGTGAAGACCCAAAAACAACACTTATTGAAGAATGTATGCTAGAATTCCACACCTATATATTAAGGTTTGTAGATAGTTAATAGGGACAATATCAGTGTTAGTTGTAGTGAGCCGCTAAGCATTTTACCCATTCATTCAACTCTCTCAATTTTCTTTCTTCAGAGTTTAGGAAAATCAAGGAAGTAATTTTCACATTGTCATTTTACACTCTCCTTTTCTTTTCTAGTTTTATGTTTCATCGATAATTATTGTCGCTTTTTCTAAATAAAAAAAAAGTCACTAGAGAGCATTTATACCTCATAGAGTGTATCGGAAATAAGTGCCATGCACATAGTTGACAAGAATTAAGCAGGATTTCCAGTTCTTGCCTTTACAGTCACAAATTCAAACTGTAGGCTTTCCTTGTATATGCATTGGTGTACCTATTAGAAAAAAAGAAGAAGAAATTGCAGTGACATTGTTATGAAAATAGTGAATTGTTATGAAAATAGTGAAACAATATGACTAACTAAAATTAAGAGTAGCAAGTAGCAACCAACCCTGCAACTTGGCCATTAACAAACCATGGTCTCTGATGGGGATCGAGGTCAGGACACAGGTCACCAACCACATACACGAGCACCGAAATCTAGGGCTAGTGCAAACTCACATATATCGTAGCAAGTCCATGCCATAAATAAACTATTTCATTAATCATCAATATTCAATTTTCTACAACTATTACAATAGCCTTATTTATAGGCTTTACAAGACTTGGGCACCAAGACTGCTTGGTCCAAAATTAAACTAATTAATTATAAAATCACACATAAATAATAAAAGATATCCTAAAACTACCTAAATAAGAAAATAACAATATATCATGAAATAACTAATTAAATGATAAATATCTATCTTGATCCACCCCTATGCTCCTGCATCAGTCTCCATTGATAATCAACACTCAAATTTTAGAGATTTTATCCATTCTTGAGTGCCTACATATGGAACATCCATGTCATGATCACCACTGTACCAAAAAAATAAATCTACAAATTAACTTTGATATATTTCAGACAGTAATTCATCGGTTTATTTGCACAAACGGTTGTGGATTTTTACGGATATACAAAATTTGGAAATGGAGAAAATTAAGAATATTAACCAGTGCTCTAAGGTTTTTCTTGGTGAGGTTTCGATGATAATCAAGACTACTTCTAACATCATGTGCATAACTTCTAGATAAGCTCTGATTGCATTTTTCCCAACCCTTTATTGTTCCCTGCAGGTTGTAATGGTAAACAAAAGTTTTATATAGGTAATGTAATTCTCAAAATTATAACTTACCTTTCGAACGGGAAGAGAATTTTGGACAGTTTTATCATTAGCCCAAATGAAGGAGAACAGATGGTTAAAATTCTGCAAAGAAGTAGGGGTAGTAAGGTCTTAGCATGCCACACACAGTCATGTACATATACAAGTATAAAGTCTCTGTAATTTGACTCATAATCCTCTTTGTTGTATACCATTAAAATTTTGGCGATTTTAGTTTTATAATTTTGTTTGGTTTGTAATCAAGTCCAAAATGTAAACTTTGTAAATGAAATTCAGGCAGGGCAATAGGCAACTTCCACATTTGAGTGCATTTTCGTCTCTCCAAAACGTTTGCAATCAACACAAAATGTAAGTATTCAGAGTTCTGCACTTGATTGCTAACTAAACACTGAATTATAGGAGTAATTTCCCAAATCTAAGTAAAATTCG